GAGACGAAAATTTGAGATCATTTTCTAGAGGCATTACTTTCAAAATAAACTTGCTTCAGAGAGCATCTTTTCGTGCCGGTAATTTAATTTATCCAATAAACTGGTGGAGGAAATTAGATTTAAACTTTAACAATTTAGCGTGAAAAAAAATAATAATGACATGATGCAAGATTTGTACTGAGTAGCGTTATGATGAAATCGGGTCATCGACTTGCAGCATCGGTCAGATAATTGTTTAGCACAATGCAGCTGTGTGGACTCCAAAAAGGGACCTATAAAAGTACATTTTGGTGAATAAAAATACAACAATCAGCAGGAGTTCGTCAAACTTATGGAACATAGACCACCCAAGTTACCAGCTTCAGCAAAAGGGAGAAAAATGTATTTTTTAAGTTTGAAAATGTTATGGGGCAGTTACACGGAAAATATCAACCTCAATGAAAAAAATCCAAATACCACCACAAGTGTATGTCATAATTTTGAAGAATATTTTCTGTATTTTATTAAAATAAAGTGAATTTCTAACAAGTTTCAACGGTTCAGTTTTTAGATTTGACTTTTGAGAAAATTAATATCATTTAAGTACATGCATGGCCAACCGCCAACAGCATGGTGTTATCAAGCCGAATACTCCTATACAGCAAAAAAGTTGCTTGGATAATTTCTTTTTCATTTAAAAATCATTGTAAAAACTAACTGATAGGTTTAATCATGATAATTAAAATCCATTTTATAATTATACTGTTATGCAGACTGCGAAAATGTTTTAAATGTTAGTCGGACACAGTGGAAGTGCTCTATGATAGACATTAATTAAGGCACTGTACTGAGATTAAAGGGAAGATACAACATTTGCAAACATCAAAAACTAAATGATCAAATTATCACGAAATATCTGGCCGACCAGCGTTGGAGAAAATTGGCTTTTTTTCAAAAACTGCTCTTAATTTTTCATTATTAGTGTTGCCGCATTTTCTTTGCAATTGATTATGAAAGTACAAGCCTGCTAGACTGATTCTCTGACCTTATACAATTCCCCAAAGTCGACAAACTGCTCCGTTTCATCTTGAGTGGGGTCAGGGAACCAGACTACAAGAACATGATGTTTTTCTTGGTTTTTTCCAGCATCTTCAAGCCCAAAACGTGAAACAAGTCAGTTTAACAATATTTTTTATAACATTGTAGTCCCCCAAATCTATTTACTACTGAAAACTGCAGCAAGAGCAAATGTTGTACATTCCTTTAAACAGTTGTGTTTCTTGCTAGGAAACTAAAAATAATTGATTAACTTTATTGAAACAAGTTTTCGGGGAGTTACGTTTCCCATCCCGTGTCGACCTACCGAAGCTGTGTTTACACTGGGCTGATAATTGAAAACATTTATCATACACAAACTTGAGATCAACAAAAGGACCTCACTGCAGCTCAAAGTTTAAACAGAGAATCAACTGAATAAGAGGATGTTTGATGCGCTTGAAATATTTCCCAAAGATAAAGATCAACCAAAACAATCTCATTTGTTATTTGCGGAACTGGAGCACTTGAAGAAAAAAAATGTTTTTGTCAAGTAAGCAGAAAAATTTGCCAAGCTCTGCAATATTTTGCATTAGCCCGAATGCCACATTTGTGTGAATTACTTTTGACCGACTGCCAGAGGACGTTTGATCGACAGGGAAAATTAAAAAAATATTGGCTAATTTAGCTTTTGTGAAATTCTGCCCCTTGAAGAGTAGCCCTGGAGGTGTTTTTGAGTAAGGTACTTTTAAACAATTTTTGGGATTGAGAACAAAAGTCAGTTTTTTTATTAACCACTAGCCGCCGGGATTAGTATTGGTCGGAAAAAAAAAATACATCTACCAAATTTTAAAATGAAGTCACATGATAAATACTGACTCTTCAGAGCCCATTTGTACAATATTTGCACCATACTCCTCACCGTAACTTTCCATTTTGCGATTACACTCCAAGGTTTGTCATGGAGTGATATTTGCTAAGATGTTAGGCCACATACAGTGGCCGAGTTCCAGTTCAAAACATGATATGAACAAAACCAATGGGAACCATTGACGTACCGTATCATACGCATCCACCAAAGATGACTCGGGGGAAAATGCTTGACGATTTTACTTGTCACCCTACCCTGTGAATATACATGGCCAGATTGTGTTTAAAAGATAAGTCACCTGGCGTTAACAGATTAAAAACGAAATTGATGCCCGGCCAGTAGACAGTTTACATGTACTGTATAAATAACTGTCCCTTGCTGGTTTTTTTTATTGTTGTTTAAATTTGGGCCTAGACTTTGAGCTGACCTTTTGTACGTGGAATTTATTTGCTCACAGAATCCTTGTTCATTGTAATTAACATGTGCCTCACCCGACATATTTTAATTGACTCTGTGGCAAGCAAGACGTGTCAGTCGTTACCCTGATATTTATTCACCCCGAAAGTGAACATGTAAAGTGGACACACAGTATTAATGGGTTACAGTTTCATTTGACTGTTCAGTGTTCAACTACTCTCATTTTGTTTATTTCTTTGTATCTTTGAAAGTTGTCAGGATTCTTTAAAGGGAATATACATCATTTGCTTTTGCTGTAATTTTCAGAAATGGATGGGATTGGGGGGTTGGAAATATAAAGCAAATATAGTTACACTGACTTTTTGGAGGTTTTGGGTTCGAAAATGCTAAAAAAACCAAGAAAAACGATCATTTTCCTGTAGTCTGGTTCCCTGACTCCATATAAGAAGAAACAGAGCAGTTTACATACATTGGGGAATTGTAAGGTCAGGGAACCAGTCTAGCTGGCTCGTACCCGTTCATAGGTTTGTAATCGATTGCAAACAAGTGCGATGGTCAATTGGGGCCAGTATTTGAAAAAAAAAGCCAGTTGTTTCCAACGCTGATCGGCCGATCAGCGTTGGAAATTGATACAAAAATACCACTTTTCTTGAAAATGACAGTATACCAGGTGCCATAATTTTACAGGATGCTTTAGACTGTCATTTACCAACATCCTATTAAGGTATTTCGCAAAAACTTGGTAGTTTTATTTTTCGATGTTTGCAAATGTTGTATATTCCCTTTAAGCTTGAATCCAGTCATGCCAGTAAGGAAGAGAATGGATGTGGACCACAAGATTTTTGGAATTGTTTTTTATATATTTGAAACCGAACCCTCAAACCGAAATCTTATTGAGTTATTGAAAATTGAAAACAACATTTTGTCAACGGTGACTGATGTTTGACTGCCGCAATAAGAACACGGTTCGAAAGTTTCATCAGTGAAAGAGGCTACCAAGTAGAGAGGGCAAAGACAGCAAATTAGTATCGGAAAACATCTAAAGAAGTTAACCAATCCGTCCTGTTCAGGTCTACCATTTCTTCCAAAAGAAGAAATGACCATTGTTGCAAAAAAATGCAAAATTAAAAAAATCCAAATAAAGAAAGAAAGATTGAAAAATTAAAGAAAGCAAAACTAACCTCACTCCACATGCATTACATTTCTAATAGATGATGACAATTAAGACCGTGGACAAAATGAAAAAAAATCGACACTTTTTTTTAATTGGCCATAACTCAATAAACATCAACCCGATTGGAAAGATTTTTTCGTTGTTGAAAAGCCAATGAACTATACTCTCCAAATATGTAATGATATTTACAGTGTTTGTTTTTAAAAGCTGCGAAATAAAGGACGTTTTGAAGGTTGGTTTTTCTGGGACACCCTGTAATATTTAACATTCGTTATGTTTAAAAGCCACCGACTGTTATATCGTAGTCATTTGAAAGCGGGAGGCACAACCTAACCACATATTTTGGGCCAGTAACCCTGTACACATATATACACGCATGGTATTATTAGTCGTCAACAATACATCTTTTCAACATACAAATCCTTGGTTCACATGCATGAACGAACCCAGGAGAAATCCATAGAAATTGGGAACTTTTTCATGCCAAGGGCAAGGTGTTTTAGCCTTCAACTGACCTAGAATTTGGCGCTGTAGCTCGAAATTTATCCCCACTCCTTTTAAACCCCCCCCCCCCAAAAAAAAAAACTCCAACAGATTGTTTTCTATGGGAAATCTAAATTTGAAAAAAAAAATTGATCTTGGGCATATATTTATTGCAAATAACCAGTGTGAAGATCTTATCGTTTATGTTTTCTTCGTTTTGTTGTGTTGTTTAAAAAAAAAAAAAAAAAAAAGACTTTGGGAGAATTTGTCCGACCTAAAACTTAAGCCAAATTAGGTGTTAAGTCCAATTTCTAGGTCTGCAGTCTCCATAAAGTAAGCAACTTTAAAGTGTCCCTAGTAAGCAGTACATTTCCGAAAAAAAAAGCAAAATGTTAAGATGAAGAAACTTTAGAGATCGCTCGAATAGGGAATTTTCAGAGGATGAAATAAGGTCATAAACTGCACATTTTCTCACTGTGCACATTATTTTTGTCGAACAGAATTTGTATTGTATTCTGCAACAGCTCAAAATCAACTGCACTTGTTCACTTTGTCAATTTTGTTTTCTTCTTTCGTGTAATTTAACCTGCATTTCCAACTGCACTGAATAGGGTTGGTGAGAAAATGTCCACAATGTCAACTTTTTGTGTGTGTAGTTTGGAGTGCTGTGGTTAAGGGCATCGGATTTGTGGTCTGCAGGTAATTCCGCAGGTTGTGGGTTCGAGTCCAGCCTGGGGTCATGGTGCGTGTGCTCTTGGGCAAGGCCCTTTGTCACTCGATTGCTTCTCTCCACCCAGGAGTAAATGGGTACCTGTGAGGGCAGAGTTGGTTATTGTAGTTGATTTAGCTTCCTTGCGCCTAACAGGCAGTATTGAGCTGTAAACTCCCCCAGGCCCAAGGGAGCTGAGATGGTATTTGGAATGTTTCATGGGCCCAATGAGCAGGGGTAATAATGATGGATACATGCACTTTATAAATACCCACTAATAGTATTATTTATTACTATTTTCTAATGTTAGTTTTTTGGTCTTGATTCTTCAGCTGCTGATCAGCAAGATATGGCAGTGGAAGAGCCCGAAACCCATGCCGCAAATAATAGCGGCCATCCCGACACACCACCCCCACCCTACGATGAAACGGTCGAGGTTGCCATCGTGAGCAATGGCAAGGGTGGGCCCGCACCAAAGAAGAACGGGGAGGTCCTGCAGAACGGCGAGCCATCCAAGCGCAAGGGCAGCCAAGAAGACGACAAAGATGACAAGAAAGAAAAGAAGGAGGAAGTCGAACCAGTTAGCGTCATCAGCTTGGTGAGTTTCTTCGTTGTTGTTGTTGATTGAGAATTTTGTGACCTGTGTTGTGTCCCTTTCCAAAGGGATTCTTTATTTTCCCGACATACTTTTAAGTTACCACGACCGAAAAAATGTAAACTGAAAACGTTGGTACAACGGTCAATTATTCAAATAGCCAAGTAATCTTTGCTGGCCTAATTAAAACTTCAATTTCTGTTTTAAACAATCCTCAATGTTTTCTGTATAACCCTAATTCCCAAGGTATTTTTGCTAGGATGCAACCTCAATCCTGCAAAATCCTCCGGCTGTCTCCATGTAAAAATTGCATAAAGCTTACATCATCCAAAATCATTCGTGTTTTCTTGAATGTGGTCCTTGGAGGGGTGGCCACTGCCTCAATCCTGCAAAATCTTCCAGCAATCACTGTCAATATGGTGAGGCAGAGCCAGTGACATCCTAGAGCAGTGTGGAGGATTTCAAGTATTATCTAGGCCTTGATTTACATGTATGCCTGGCTGAGCATAAACTATATACCGTAAGGTCCGGCCTAAGACATTGACACAGTGCATCCTCCAAAATCAGCCATACATTTTTGCCAATTAGCCTCAATCCTGCAAAATCCTTCATGTTTGCAAAGAGGATTTTGGAGGATTTGGGAAGGTTAGGCCCCCCCCCCCCAAAAAAGTTCTGCTTCCGATTACATGCCTTTCAAAAATAGGGTACATGTAGGTAGGTTTGAATTTTTTTGGGGGGGGGCAAATTTTTTTTGTGCTGATTGAATGGGGTTTGATTTTGCAAATTTCAGCCTGAACTATTTCCATTTGCACTACGAAAGCTATACAAAAATGACCACAAAAAGTGATAAAAACTTGCCTTAAATAATGTCAAAAATATTTACGGTCGATAATTCTTAAAAATAATGGAGTATTCAGGTCGTGCACACCAATATGCACAACGCTCTGTGTGATGCACTCTGTGTGACCTCGTGTAACGGCAGGAAATGTCGGGGAAACGCGCTGCGCTATCATTCCCCGTACGAGCGGTACAACCTCGAAATAAATTCATGGAAAATACATACATGTACACAGACAAGAGTGTTTTGTTGTTTTCATCACCGCTAAATTTTTTAGGGTCGCGGCCATAATATTAGGGTAGGTCAAGTAACCGGAAGCAGATTTTTTTTTTTTTTGGCCTTTGAAGTATCAAACAAACAAATATGTCAAGGAAAGTTTCCTACACAATGATCAAAATAACAATTTAAAACAAATACTAACCCAATTACGACCGTTATTCCTACTACCGTTTTTGTTCGTTTCTCTGGTTATTATCATCAGTACCGTTTTGCCAACGCGTTGGATATTCTCATTACGCTGCTGGCTGTGTTGTTCTCCATCGCACAAGGCATGTCCTTCCCCCTTCTCCTGCTGTACTTCGGCGACATCACCGACACTCTGATCGGCTCGGTGGATTTGGGCGGCACAAATTCCACCGCCACCCCCGAGCAGCTTCGAGATGCGTGAGTACCATAGCAAAGAGGGTGGGGTAGTCTGGGTCCCAGACTGGATTTTTTTTTAGGTCACGCTCCTCTAACGGATCCTGTTTTGCTGTCGTGAGGAATCAAATCTAATCTTGGGAATGTTGGCGCTGCGACCCAAGAAATTCCGAGTATGCCTCCCATGCTCACATTAGCTTGAGTATACTGGCCGTGAGGTTCGCTTAGATTTCCTTAAGTCTTCGTCCCCAGCGGTTACTTTATTTTCAACTTGGTTCCTACAGTAATCCTTGGGTAGGAAACCTGGGGCGTGTTTACGCGACCGCGACCAGAAACATGTTTGTGACGTCAAATTGATAACCAGGAACATTTTTACACATGCGCACAAAAACGCTGAGCCGAAAACAGTGTCAAAAAGTTGTTAGCGAACATGTCGGACATTTTGACAACATTGATAATTTTTTTAGGTGCTTGCGGCCAGTCCCGGCGAAATTCGGGATAATACCTTGTGGGCTTGTAAGTTGTTTAGACATTTTATTACAGGCCACTCAAAATGTACAAACTTACGATGTACGTATTAAAAAATAGGCATTACAAGCTTATATTTCCCAACACTTTTTAAAATGTCGTGTATTTACCTTTCTGCCATCTTGAAATGCACTTTTGTCTCTTTTACAGCTTCATATCCGAAATCGTCAGATTCTGCGTCATCTACGCCATTCTGGGCGTGGCCGTGATGGTAGTGGCCTACTTTGCCCACTCCCTGTGGAACACCACGGCCGCGCGCCAAATGTTCAAGATACGTCAGCGGTTCTTTCAGGCCATCCTCCGTCAGGAGATCGGCTGGTTTGACACCCACGAGAGCGGAGAGCTGAACACGCGACTGTCCGAGTAAGCACATCGCCGATCATCAATATTATCATGTCTCGCGCAAATCCACTTTCACACCCTCGCATGGAGACTTGACTTATTACTACACGAGTATCATGAATATAAACAGGCGGCGCCAGACTAATGCGCATGTGGTGTGTGTGGTATAGATTCTACACGACGAGCAAGCCTCGCACAGCTGGTCCCAAAGCACTGTAAGGCCGTGTCCGAAACGGGCTTCCAGAGCTACGGCTACGTCTATTGTCAGCGTGTCCCTGCGTATTTTCAATGGGCACAGACCTAGACCTAGCTCTAGGCAGTTGATTCGGATGCAGCCTTAGTCACAGGTGACAGTCAGTCAGTGAGACAGGTAACCAGTCTAATTCACAGTCTAATAGATACCACATACACCACATGTGGGTCGCCAATGGTTACGGTGTTTGACTCACGTGCTGTTATTCGAGGGTTCGAAACCCTGCTTGTGTTGTTGGGCAAGGCACTTTTCTACAATTGCCTCTCTCCACCCAGGAGTACAAACGGGTACAAATGGGTACAAAAGGGTAGAGACCAAATTGCGCCGATCTTGAGCTTGCTGCAAAAATATGGTCTCATTCCTGATGAACTGGGATAATAATTGTAAAGCGCTTTGAAACCTTAGGTATAAAGCACTGTATAAACACCATGTTAGTAGGTACTAGGCTAGCCTTCCAGGACCAGAAGAAACAGTATGAAAGTTCTAATTTTTCAAAAACTTTGGTTTGGATTTGTAGCGACGTGGAGAAGATCAAAAACGGGATTGGGGACAAGGTGGGCCAGTCCCTGTACATGCTGACTGTCTTCGTAGGGGGGATCGCCTTGGGCTTCGTCAAGAGTTGGAAGCTGACACTAGTCATCCTGGCCATCTCGCCGTTGGTCGTCCTCAGTACCTTCCTCATGACCAAAGTAAGAGGACCAATCAGAATTCCGCTTAGCAGAAAGGAGATTTGCTCAGTGAAGCTACAATCCTGGCCAAATCTTGCTGCCCCCCCCCCCCCCCTGTTCCCGTTCAATGTTGTCTCTCATTGCGTGGTGGGTGCTCCATCAGCTGGAAATAACAGCATTGAGCGGGGAAGTGGGTGGCCGAGGGAGGCTAAGGTTATTTTCAAGTTATTAATATAATCAAGGTTATTAATATATTATTATATTATATTCATAAATACCTCAGACTGTTTAGCCATTCCTATTGGTCGAGAGCCCATCACATGGCTGGTCTTAAACGGATGATAAAGACATGATATGATAAAAATCCAGTGCCTCTTTACTGTTTCATTGGTTGAACGTTCACAATCCTCACGTAGGCATGCGCAACACTACCAGGGAGCCAGAATTTTATAGTTCTAAATTCAAAACGCAACGCGCCAGGTGCGTTCTGCGCGACATCGCGCAGAACATGATACCCGCGTGTCAATCTCCTTAAAAGGGTTGTTTACATCTTACTCGCCAGCTGAACACTCCATTATTTTGCAAGAGGGATGTTTCAAAAAGCATAAAGTGAATTTGTTGAACAAAATCGGGATGTTTTGAACGAATTATATGATTTTTTCTTACCGAAAAGGTATTTATGAATGGGAATAAATATGTGCTCCGTCGGTATTTATCACTCTGTTTAAGACCACTTAGAGTCTGGATGCTGATAATTACCCTCGCCTCCGGCTCTGGTAATTATCAGCACCCAGATTCTAAGCGGTCTTTAATAAACAGAGTGATAAAAACCTCCAGAGCACACATTTATTCCCTTATTATATTATATAACTATTTATATATATATTAGGGCGACCGCTCTATAGACGTGAACAAAATTTACAAAACTTTAATTTACTTTAACTTTAATGTGATCTAACCCATACCTTATCCGACCCAAACAAATTTGGGTATTTTTACGTTTTGGACCAAGAGCAATCGATCAAGCCAATTTGCGACGTGCAAAATTCATTGGCTATCTAGTACTTTTGTGTTATGGCGACCGGTAAAATGTCCCCCTAAAGACAGTGGTCGCCCTAATGCCGCAAAAGTAAGCACAAGCGGTCACCGTATGAGATGATAAGTATGTTATGTTATGTTATGTTATGTTACAGGTCTTGCATGTCACGACAATTTGCTCAGTTCCTTTCTGCTTATCAGCTCGGTGAAATTCGTTCCAGGTCATTGCTCGATCTCAATCTTTAATTTGAAAAAGAAAGACTTGAAACTTTCCAATAATCTCATTTTGATTATCTTGTCTTTTTTTTTTTTTTTCCCGATTCATCTAGATTCTGCAAACTCTCTCGCAGAAGGAACTCCAGTGCTACGCCAAGGCTGGAGCCATCGCGGAAGAAGTTCTGTCTTCCATCCGAACTGTGGTGGCCTTCGGCGGCCAGGCAAAAGAAGTCGACAGGTTGGCCTTCTTGCTCTTCCCTTATTGGCCCTTTTGCTCCTAGCCGATAGAGGGCGCTGTTCGGTTGACATTTTTGCTGGGAAAAAATCATACTTTAGAAACGGTGGTGGCATTTTTGAATATTTGGATTTTGATTTTCTCTTTCTTTAGGTATTCTTACAGGCTGACGGAAGCCAAATCGCAAGGTATTAAGAGAAACGTCGCCCAGGCTGCCGGTATCGGCGTGGTGTATATGGTCATGTTTGGCGCCTACGGCTTGGCTTTCTGGTAGGCACTGGTGTTATGTTTGTGTTATCCTTGTGTTACTCTAGTATCAATGTAGTGTTAGCTTAGTGTTATTCAAATGCCATTCTAGTGTAAGTTGAGAATAACGCAAGTGTTATCGTAGTGTTATCTTAGTATTACGTGAGTGTCATCCTTGTGTTGTGTTTAATAAAAGTATGCAAACTATTCTGGCGATTTGGATGGTTTTTCCCCGAAAATTTGAATCTTTGCTTCAAGCCAGGTCTAGCTCAAATGAAGAACAGATGCAAGAATTGCAGAAAAGGACCCAACAAAATTTTAAAAATCTATTTTTGCTAATCTTTTACAAATGCAATTCTTTTGTCATCAGGTTTTGACATTTTTGTCTGAAACTGTGTTACTGATTGAGAACTCTTGGATGATATTTTTACAGGTACGGCACAAAGCTATTTTTGGACAACGAGCTCGCCCCTGGAGACATCCTAGTGGTAAGTTCAAATACTCCCAGGTATTTTTTAAAAAAATAAAAAATACAGTAAACTCCGGCAAAGTCGGCACTTTCGGGACCCGAGAATTTGTGACGACTTTTGCGAATGCCGACTTTTGCTGTAAGTCGTCATTTAGGAAATTTCATAATAATTTGGTAGTTTTATTTTTTTTGTTTTTTGATGTTAGCAAATGTTGTATATTCCTTTAACAGCTCTAAAGAGTTCCATCATTGTTCGTTCCGATTCCATTTTTAGGTGTAAAGTTCTAAAAGTGTTGTAATATTTTGTTTGATATTAGGTGTTTTTCTCCGTGCTGTTTGGGGCCTTCTCCTTGGGGCAAGCCGGGCCGAACATCGGCAACATCTCCCAGGCCAGGGGGGCTGCTGCTGTCATCTGGAAAATCATCGACCAGGTAAAGACAAAAAATAGTCAATCAGCTGGCTCACATTGCTCAATTTTCATGTCCTTGAGCAATGTGCTTTATCACAATAGTTCCTCTTTATATAGTCCATCATTTGTAATTTGTGCATTTTGTTCGTTTGAAGCAACAAAAATGCTCAAAATCTAAAGAAGGGTACTGAACAACTAACCTGATGAAGTTTCAGCTCAGCTTCTGCTGTATATTCCGAGAAAAACAGCTTTCTAGGATCTCAATTTCAAATCAAAAGTTGCTGAATCGTGTTTTGAATTGGGCCTGAATTCAGCGTCCGAGACACGTTCTCACAGAGCCGACTGCAGCAACGCGATGTCGCGCACTGATCCGACGAATTATAGCAACCGTGCGTGTGTGTGCGTTGTGCCAATGCTTGCGCGCGCTTCGCCGAATAACAAAACGAACTACTAATTTAAATTACCTACGGTGCGTCTTAAGAAGCAGCGTTGGAAAAGCTTTCTTTCGTTGATTACTTCAAAATGACAGCTTGCCAGAAAGAATAATTTCACAGGGAGTTTAGTCCCCTTATTATCTTTCAACCAAGTATGTTTTTCAACAATAATTACGCCAGTTACTTTTTGGATAGCTGCAAATGATGGACTATATAGCTTATAACCACTCGGTCTGGTTCCCTTCCCATGCAGGTGCCCAACATAGACAGCAGTTCTGAGGAGGGTCTGAAACCGGACTCCATGATCGGTGAAGTCAGCTTTCAGGGAGTCCATTTTGTTTACCCCTCAAGGCCCGAAGTCAAGGTATGAATTTTTTTAAATAAAATTGCGAAAAACGAAACATTAGAACATATTTAGTTCAAATTTAAATTTGAATACTAAAATAACACCCTAGAAATTTTATTGTATGGATAATTGTGGATTTTTAAATTCATATGTGTCCCCTCATCGTTTCTTACTCCCCTAGGTTTTGAATGGTATAGACCTAGAGGTCAAGCAAGGCCAGACCGTGGCGTTGGTGGGTAGCAGCGGTTGTGGGAAGAGCACAACCGTCCAACTAATCCAGCGATTCTACGACGCCATAGAGGGAGTGGTAAGCTCGGAACATAACAAACCGCTTAGCAAATGGCTTAAGAAATGTCATTATTCCTACAAATGTACCATTAGGGAGACACGTTATCGTAATTTCTTCAATAATAGGGAGACATCGGCTTTTAGGGAGACACATAACTGTCTCCCTAATGGCGCAGCCCCCCTTTAGAGGCAAAATTTTACCGTCGCAATCAGGTTGTATTTGTTGCTCATGGTCTAATTAGGAAAAATACCGAAATTCGTTAAAAAAGGACAAGGGAATATTGGGTTAGGGCACATTTAAGTTTGAAAAATTTTGTGCACAAGTCTATGGGAATGTCTCCCAAATGACCCATTCTCGGTAATAGTTCTTATTATTATTTATTGTTATTATTATTTATTTGGACAACAAATGAACATTTTCCTATGATGCTTGATCTAACTGCTGAGGCATTTCCATTGAAGCCTTCCTAAATACTTCAAAATCCATCACTGTTTAGGAACCCAATGGGATATTCAGAAACCATTTCAGCCCAACTGCTGATTCTTTCAAAATCCATCTGTTTGGTATTGGTAAGGTTTTGTAGGATTGAGGAACAGACAGCCCACCCACTATTTCTTTATAATTATGAGGCTCCATGCATCTTAAAAGTTTCAAGTACAAGGAATGTAACATTGGTTTCATGGATTTTGGAGGATTGAGGAAGAGACAGTCCAACTATTATTCCTTTATGTTGAAGCTCGATCCACCTTGAAATTTTCATGTACAAAGAACTTGACATTGGCTTCATGCATGGCGGAGGATTTTGTAGGATTGAGGAACAGACAGCTCAGCCACTATTCCTCTACGTGAAACTCGATGCATCTTGAACATTTCAAAAGTATAGTGGAGAATTTTGTAGGATTTTGTAGGATTGAGGAACAGACAGCTCGACCATTCCTCTACGTGAAGCTTGATGCATCTTGAACATTTCTAAAGTACAAAGAATGTGCCATTGGTTTCATGCATAGTGGAGGATTTTGGAGGATTTTGTAGGATTTTGTAGGATTTTGTAGGATTGGGGAACAGACAGTCCAGTCACTATTCCTTCATGTGAGGCTCGATGCATCTTGAAAGTTTCAAGTACAAAGAATGTGCCATTGGTTACATGCATAGTGGAGGATTTTGTAGGATTTTGTAGGATTGAGGAACAGACATCCCAGCCACTGGCCTTCAAGTGAGGCTCGATGCATCTTGAAAGTTTCAAGTACAAAGAATGTGCCATTGGTTACATGCATAGTGGAGGATTTTGGAGGATTTTGGAGGATTTTGTAGGATTAGGGAACAGACAGTCCAGCCATTTGAGACTTGATGCACCTTGAAAGTTTCAAGTACAAAGAATGTGCCATTGGTTACATGCATAGTGGAGAATTTATAGGATTTTGTAGGATTGAGGAACAGACATCCCAGCCACTGGCCTTCAAGTGAGGCTCGATGCATCTTGAAAGTTTCAAGTACAAAGAATGTGCCATTGGTTACAGGCATAGTGGAGGATTTTGTAGGATTTTGTAGGATTGAGGAACAGACATCCCAGCCACTGGCCTTCAAGTGAGGCTCGATGCATCTTGAAAGTTTCAAGTACAAAGAATGTGCCATTGGTTACATGCATAGTGGAGGATTTTGGAGGATTCAGGATGATTCCAAGCAAAAACAGTGAGGGCGGTAAGGGTAAAAAAATTGCATCCTTTTTCTGTCTTACAGGTGAAAATTGACGGCAACAATATCAAAGATCTGAACGTGAAGTGGCTTCGCCAGAACACTGGCGTGGTCAGTCAAGAGCCGATACTTTTCGGATGCTCCATCGAGGAGAACATCCGCTACGGCCGCATGGACGTCACGATGGAGGAGATCATGACCGCTGCCAAGGAGGCTAATGCCCACGACTTTATCATGGCACTTCCAGAGGTATGTAGGGGAAAAAATGGATGTGTTCTGGAAGAACAAGGAGAAATGAAAGGATGGAAAAATTGGTATTTCGACAAACTTTTCCCAGTAAAACAAGGGAAAAAAATCTTAAAATTTTTGTAATACGAAACTTGAAGCTCAGGGAAGTGGAGCTTCAAAAGGGCTCAAGGAAGAACAAGGAAATTTGAAGGAAACATAAGAAAACTTAAGGAAAAGTTAAGGAAACACAAGGAAAATTAAGGAAAAAGAAGGAATAGAACTAGGAAACACACCCAAAGAGGTTGAATTGCAAGGCTCTATCTCTTGAATTCTGTACTTACATGTATGAGGGTTGTGGACAATGTTTCCCAAGAAAACGTTTAGAAAAAAATGGGAATTGTTCAGGGTTGAACTTGAAGCCCAAGGGAAACGGCCCATGGAAAAACAAGGAAAATATAGGAACTAATGCGTAAACTCCAACTTTTTTTTGTGATTGAAAGTACTGTTGCAAAAGAGTAGCATCATTTTCAATGATGTTCTTAATTCAGGCATATCAGACCCTGGTTGGCGAGAGAGGGGCCCAGCTCTCTGGAGGCCAGAAGCAGCGCGTGGCCATCGCGAGGGCGCTAGTCCGCAACCCCAAGATCCTCCTGCTGGACGAGGCCACCTCGGCCCTGGACACGGAGAGCGAGGGCACTGTCCAAGCCGCGCTGGACAAGGCCCAGAGCGGCCGGACGACTCTGGTCATCGCCCACCGCCTGTCCACCATCCGCAACGCCGACATGATCTGTGCGTTCAAGGACGGGGTGATCGTGGAGCGGGGCAGCCACGCACAGCTGATGGAGATAGACGGCGGTGTTTACCAGCAGCTGGTCTACATGCAGGCGCGCAAGGAGGAAAAACCCGAGGAGGCCGACAAATCGGAAGAGGATCTGGACGATGAGGACAAGGAAGAAACAGAGAAGATCATAAAAGAAAGTAAGATTTTCTTCTTTTTTTTCAGACTCTATTGACATTCGCCTCTTGGTAGTGACAAAAAGCAAAATAACGGACAATAACACCTCTGCCGCGTTGCTCATGCATAAACTGCGTGTTCATGCACATTCAGATGCAATATTTGCAGCGACTGCATCTCTCCCACAATGCATTGCACCACCGAGCCATTTTGCGCAAAAAATTACGGCATTCATAACATTTGAGCTCATGCCCGCTGATCTCAAATTAAAAATCTCATTATTGCTTAATAACATAATACTGACTTTTTTTTTTGTATGCTTTACTTTTTGCTAACCCATTTACCTAAGCTGTGAGTCCTAAAAAAAGTGCAGTTGCGATTCAGGAGAGTAAGTAAATTTAACACCTTGTGCAAATTTTTGATTTTGCCTCCTGCATGATCGTCACTTGTAGAGTAGTTCACGAGACGAATTTCTGTTAATTTGTGAAAAGTGGTTTCTTTTTATTGTACAAGGTTTCGTTGTCTGTGTGTGTATGTATTCAGTGACTTTACTAAGGCTGTTCATTTCGGCATAATGTAGTATTGAATTACTCGTAACAGTGTCTGACCGAATATTCAGATATTCAAAACTGCCAGCTACAGCTGTGTGCAGCGCCGGTCAAAAGTTGCACGCAGCGCGCCTGTTTAAAATGTGCGTGCAGTGATCGATATGGAGTGTTTTGCAGTCGGTATTTTAATAACTTCCAAGGGCTTCAACCTGCTAAAAGTATAGAAACAATTGACAAAAAATTTACCGTCGACAAAAACGTGGAACCTGGCAATAAAATGGCGCAAACTTATGATACAGTAACAATACAGTCATGCGTATATGCGTAGTTTTTTGTTTTCGAATATTCAAACCTGCAAAAAGCTTTTTGAATATTCGGTCGACGATTGAATAATCGAATTTCGGTATAATCGGGACAGCCCTAAACGTTATTAGGTGGTTTTTTTTGGGCAAGATAAAATCTAGCGGGAGTGTAGAAAACGATGACAAAAAAAATGGCATTTTTTCTTTGTTATTGTTACAACTTCTCTGATGGCTGTGGCTGTCTGCTTTGCTGTTTGCATGTGGAGGGGAAATATATATCTGGTCATAAAAACAGTTTTTGGTGTTTTTTTCATGAAAAGCAAAATGTATGGCTGGTGGGGAAATATACCTGTTGAACTTTGGTCGTGTTTACTTTTCTATATTTGCATGCTGAACTGTACGACAAAGAAATGCCTGACTGTGTACACATTCTTTATCATATGAAGCTCTTGACAGTTACATTCAATAAATTGTTTACATCTGGGTACCGGAACCCCAGCGTCGCCATTGTAGTAGGCAAAAATTGTATAGTGCTGCACGGAGTAGCCATAGTAGGCAAGCCGTCAAAGCTGTGATGGTTGGCAAAAACTGTGAGAAAAACGTAGAGCCAACACCCAATGCTGGTTGGGCACGATTATGACAATCGCACTACTGTACACAGCCCAGCTAATGCCATTATGCCATAAGCGGTTGATTTTACGTGAACCTAAGCCTTACTGTCTTGTTTACAACATACAACGTGTTTGCTAACCAAACGCTTGCCTACTGCAATGGTGGTCAATCACGGGGAAAATGGATGGTCACATGATAATCAGACGCCCTACGATCGGACGCTATTCGTCCCGAAAGCAGTCATCAAACTTCTGCTTACTGCGTGGCTCAACGAGCCATTTTAGCACATTTCTCTTCATATTTTTGCAACACTTGCCTGCTTCTGCTTTTAAGCATTTATCCTCCAATGTTTTTTCTATTCCGAATCTTTTCATCAATTATAAAACAGACCATGAGAAACCCATGGGTAAGTTACCGACAAATAGTCATCCAAACATCTGTATCCTATGTGTGATCTATTCATATTTTCACCCAAAAATCCACAAAACATCTTTCTTCAATGCTTTGTGTATTTGGTTTTATAAAAATTGTCTGGCAAAATCCAAAAGTGTTCTTTGTTTTGAATCATAAAAAGAATTCTCCCACAACAAATCGCCTCTTTTTGATATTTCTTTCTTTCCTTTTTTGAAGAGAAAGTTTGAAACCCCAAAATGGAATGAATTTGAACCAACCAACTGAGCTATTAAGCTAGCTCTGTGTTTTTAGAAAGAAACTTGTCTTTTGAAAAGGAAATAATATGCTTCCAAGATGAAGTTGAAGAGAATTTTTTTATTTTGCTGAAAACAATTCACTAAACAGACTGGAATAGATTTTAAGTTTCTAACCCAAAATATTCACCAAATTTTGTTTTACATACGTATACACTTCTGTCCATCACCCATTCTTGTGTGCTTAACATAGGCATTCTTGCGTGCTTAACTTGCATTAAAAAAATATTTGTCTATGATGGTGCAGAAATGTTCTTTTTAAAAAATTGCCAAACTACATTATCTGAAAATTGCAAATAGCTAATCTTTTTTGGAAAATAGCCAAAAAAATAAGTGTAAAAAATGTTAAACATTCTGACAATTTTGGAGTTATTTTTTTTAAAAATCATCGCGATGATCTAGTTGGTTCTATGGAGTACCGAAGTGTGACGTCACTTAGAACCAGAAAATGTAGTGCAAACGAATGGAGTACGCGCGCGTGCTGGTTCACGGGCGGAAGCACGCGCTAATGTCTTTCACACACATTTTGTGCGCGTGACGTATTCACTACGGTACTCCATAATGGAACATTTTTGCACCAATCGTTAATATCATGAACATCATACATGAACATTACATTTTCCTTCAACCACTCATAATATTTTAGAATGTTTACATTTTTTGTTCTAGATATTTTTCACATCTCTTGCCATCGTCGCAAGGATTCACAACATTTCCTGTCCAACTTTTCATTTATTTTGAATCGGTGAAAAAAAAAACACATCGTAATTGACCGTTGATGTATCAAATATTTCAGGATAAACAATGAACATAACAAAAGTGGTATTAACAACACTGTCCTATTGGTCTCTCTCAAATGACGTCATTTTGGGTGGCATGGGTGGCTTGTGCGTAAAGCGCTCGCCTTTCACCAAGGTGACCACGGTTCGAATCCTGGCCGTGGATCACATGTGAGTAGAGTTGTGCGTTGGTTCTCTCCTGTGCCACGAGGGTTTTTCTCCGGGCCCTCTGGTTTTCCTCCCTCCGGAAAAATCAAACACTTTCGATCTCAGGCTGTGCTCCGTGGTCATATATGGGTCGATGTGGCCGGCAGCCATAGGCACCTTTACGTGCCAGCGGCCCGACCACGTTGTAGCCGCGTCCTTCACAATTCAGCATACCAGCTGCTAGTAGGATGATTAGCCTCCCAAATTATTATTATTATTATTTCCTACAGACCAGCCATGTGCATGGGCATTTTGAGCGTAAACTTGCATAACGCGCATCGGCTGCATCGTATTTCGAGCACATTTTGAGCGACAAGCGCGTGTGTTTGGAACGTTTTCAACACTGCGTAATGCGTGCTTGATTGCATTGATGGCTGCCTTTGAGAGAGACCTATTAGCAGGAAAAGGTTTTTTTCCATGCAATTTTTGGGAAAACAAACTGCACACAAAAATAACACTGAAACTAAACTGGTGGTGGAGGATCAAACCCTTGTTGGTTAATTTAATGAGCTGTTCACACTCCTGACAGTAGGTGGCGCTGTTTGATCGCCAGTAACTGGAGTGCCCCCTCTCTAGTTGACGCACTCCTGGGATGGACCAATCTGAGCAGCTATCACTGTACAACCACGGAGGCCCCTTTCAATGGCGACAGCATTATATACTAGCTATTGTACAAAGCAACTACCTCATGGCGCCATTGACGGGGGCCTCAATTGGTGTACAGTGGTAGCATGCTTGAATTTGTCTATATACATGCACAGGGTTATTAAAAAAAAAAGCGAAACCCAAACCTCAAAAAATATATTTTGTATTTAAAAAACATGTAGCACCAAAGATAATAATGACTGGAAAGCCAATTTCAGAAACTACCTTTAGATGAAAAAAATACTTAAATTGCTCAATCCATTCAAAGTGTAAATCACCATTTGAACACAATAACCCTAAAACCTCTTTCGTCCAAAAATGCGATTTCAAGAATCTTAGTCACAATTGTCTTCAAACATCACCAGTGATAAAACCTCAGTTTTAAAGGTAAAAATATTCAACAGAGTCCTTTTGAAGGCCCGTCTTTTGAAAAAAAGTGGATTTTATCAATTGTATTGTTTGCCTAGTATTCTTTGTCATTTTCTTTGTTGTACCAAACAGTCAGAATACACAATAAATTGTTTTGTTTTTTGACAAAACAGGTTTTCGGGTCATTGCGTTTAAATGGTGATATTCTTTGAACGGATTGAGCAATTTCAGAAATTTTTTCATCTAAAAGTAGTTTTTGAGATTGGCTTTCTAGTCATTATTATGTTTGGTGCTACATATATTTTTAAAATGTGAAATATATTTTTTTTTGCGTTTGAGTTCCGCTTTTTTGACTCACCCTGTAGCACATCTTTCACTTCACAAATTAGGTGTTTTGCAAACCGTGGATATGACTTTGACTTGGGCTCCTTACTTCACTGTCTCTGGCTCAATATGTGACCATGCGACCAAGGCCAGAGATGGGGCCAAAGCTGGAAACATAGCCAAGATTTGAAAAACATCCCATGTATGACTCTCTGCCTCCTGGATATATTTGTTGATGATTCATTTGTTGAGCTGGTATTTGCTTGTCAATAGAGGGCGCTCCGTTGATGGACGGCACTCAGCATCCAGGCACCCCGGAGCCGGGAACCCCCCATGCCAGGACGTCCAGCTTCAAGGGTATGAAGCGCATGCACTCCGTCGTGTCCACCCACTCCAAAGATGGGGAAGAAGAGGTGAACAAAACATTTAATAACAAATTTCTTAAGCTGAAACAATACTTGCTAATCGAAAACAGGTAACCAACCGAAGTGCCATGCAATATATATTCAGGGTTCGAAATTACCGGTAGACCGCTAGCCAAATGCTAGTCAAAACAGCCGCAGGCCAGTCAAACTATTCCTTAAGTAGCCCGGCTGGCGAGTCAAAAAAATAGTGGGATACGGCAAAGATGAACGTACAGGAAGAAATAAATCATTAAAATCAGAAAGCAAACTCATCAATTTGTGTCTCTAATTTATCAATCGTTTTAAAGGGTTCAATTATTAGCTCTGTTAAAACACTGACAAAATTGCCTCAGAATTGAGCCTGAAAAATACGGCATTGTGTATTTGAGCTAAAAAAGTGGGCTAGTGAAAATGCCCGCGGGCCAGTTAAGTGTCTGTTTCAGTAGCCCAGCTGGCTAGTGAACAAAAATGTTAAGGTAGAACCCTGTGTATATTGCTCACGACTGGTACTGAGATGATTTTTACTAAGCGCGTGAGGTTGGTAAACAGCTTTTCCGCTTTAAAGAAGCGCTTAGCAGAAACCGGTTACCAGCCGAAAGGTCAATGAGATGTATATCACTATTGACATGATGGACTGGTACTCCACTGGCTGTGGCCTAGCACATCAATATTCTTAGCACTGTTCTCTGGAGATGATCAGTTCCTATTTTCTCATCAATTTTTAACCTTGTGCAAAAGAAAATTTGTCCAGAAGTAACAATGTCTCGATGCTCTGGATTTTGCCCAGTTAAACGTTTGTTAGGATTTAAATCTTTTCAAATAAACCACAAGAGGAAATTAATTTTTTTTCTAAGTTGAACAAAGAAATTGACTACAGCGGGGTTTGAACCAACGACCTCCGGATTACCGTTCCAGTGCTCTACCAACTGAGCTAGCTATCCAGCCCTAGATGTTGCTGGTTCCCAAATTTAGTCAATGTCTTTGTTCAAGGGGCGCTAGTCAGAAGCCATAAACCTATATATGCCATACAGCCAGCGATCACACCCAAAGTCACGATGCAAACAACATTAGCAATGCTACAAACCTAGAAAATAGCAAACGGGGATCACTCCGAGAGGCAACGGCTGAACTTTTCAATAAATCTTTAACATCTGACAGAAAATTCCCTTTTTTTTTTGTCTTCTGTCGGTAGGAGACTGAGGAGGAAAAGCTGAAGGATTTCAGCCTCGGTCGCATCATGAAGCTCAATGCACCGGAGTGGTTTTATATCGTCATCGGCAGCATTGCTGCGGGCATCAACGGTGCCGTGCAACCCGCCTTCGCTGTGATTTTCAGTCGCGTGCTGAAGGTATAGACTTAAATCATTCTTTGCTGTGCCTGGTGCAGCTAATTCGGGCGATGCACAATGCAGTGCGCCACCAAGAGTTTGCCATGGAGAGTCCATTTCTCAAGTTTACGGTTAACAGAACATGGCCCATTTGAATGCGTGTCAGTAGACAACTTAAGCTAATTTGTTACAAATTGGAGCATAGCTTTCTGCCACCTTACACAAAACACCATATTGATAAAAAAAAAAAAAAAAGGGCAAATAGATAAATAAATGATTCGCTGACGAAACTACTGACGGGAAAAACGAACAATTTCAAATGTCCCACGCTGTGAATTGTCGACCATCTCCCACAATGCACTCGGAAACACAAACGCTCTTTGGCAAACTCTTGGTGGCGCACTGCATTGTGAATCGCCCAAATTCAACAAACTTCGTCAAAATGGGTCACAAACACTGCGAGAAATGGACAGAAAGCAGAGATGAACAGAGCTAGAATGATTCATTGAGCCTAGTGAACAGACTCACGAAATGCTTTTGGAACAAACAAAAAAATAAAAAACTTTAATTGGTTTTCATGTTTTGAGTTAACCTGCCGGTACCGTGCCCTGGCCATTTGGCCTTTTCCCAAAAATCCTTCAAGTAATCTACCACTGTGGGGAATCAGATGGGACACCCTCTGTCACTTAGCGTTTGTCTCAAAAGTATGGAACGTGCCTTTAAAGTTATAGTCCATCATTTGTAATTTGTGCATTTTGTTTGTTTGAAGCAACAAAAGTGCTCAAAATCTAAAGAAGGGTACTGAACAACTAACCTGATAAAGTTTCAGCTCAGCTTCAGCTGTGTATTCTGAGAAAAACAGCTTCTAGGATCTCAATTTCAAATCAAAAGTTGCTGAATCATGTTTTGAATTGCGCCTAAATTCAGCGTCCGAGACATGTTCTCGCTGAGCGGAATGCAGCTACGCGATGTCGCGCACTGATCTGACGAATTAAAGCAACCGGGGGTGCGTGTGCGTCGTGCCAATGCTTGCGCGCGCTTCGCCGAATAACAAAACGAACTACTAATTTAAATTTTCCTACGGTGCGTCTTAAGAAGCACCATTGGAAAGGCCTTCTTTCGTTGATTACTTCAAAATGACAGCTTGCCAGAAAGAATAATTTCACAGGGAGTTTAGTCCCCTTACTATCTTTCAACCAAGTATGTTTTTCAACAATAATTACGCCAGCTACTTTTCGGATAGCTGCAAATGATGGACTAAAGCTTTAAGGAACACTGTGCATGCCCATAGGGAACGTGCTTTGTTCCCGGCATGGTTCCAACTGGGACTGGCCATTCCCGAGTAAGCGTGCACGGGCATACACTACGTGGGATCACCTAGCGTTCCTGCGCTGTTCCCAGTGGGATCAAGGCATGTTCCCAATTGGAACAGGCCATTCCCGAGTAAGCGTGCACGGGCATACACTACACGTGGGATCACCTAGCGTTCCTGTGCTGTTCCCAGTGTGATCAAGGCATGTTCCCAATTGGAACAGGCCATTCCCGAGTAAGCGTGCACGGGCATAGACTACGTGGGATCACCTAGCGTTCCTGCGCTGTTCCCAGTGGGATCAAGGCATGTTCCCAATTGGAACAGGCCATTCCCGAGTAAGCGTGCACGGGCATACACTACGTGGGATCACCTAGCGTTCCTAGGCTGTTCCCAGTGGGATCAAAGCATGTTCCCAATTGGAACAGGCCATTCCCGAGTAAGCGTGCACGGGCATACACTACGTGGGATCACCTAGCGTTCCTAGGCTGTTCCCAGTGTGATCAAGGCATGTTCCCAATTGGAACAGGCCATTCCCGAGTAAGCGTGCACGGGCATACACTACGTGGGATCACCTAGCATTCCTGCGCTGTTCCCAGTGGGATCAAGGCATGTTCCCAATTGGAACAGGCGATGTTCCCTGGTGGAAGGATCCAGGCATTCCGCTTTTTGAGATGTTCCCTTACATTTCAATCTGCATTATGTCCTTTCTAAAATTATAGTGGCTGGATCGTGCCTTCCTGAATCCTAGAGAATCCTCCAAAACCTGATGGATTTTGAAGGATCCGGGATTGTTAGGATTGAGGTGGTGTTAATCTCTTTCTTCTGGTCTGCCTCCTTTCAGGTGTATTCCTACGACAAAGTCACTGAAGTGGACCTGATCAACTCACAGACCACCCTGTTTTGTCTTCTTTTTGCCGGAATCGGTGTCATCACGATGGTGGCTAGTCTGGTCCAGGTGAGTAGCCCAACGTAGAAACCGTCATGTTGCTTTTGTAACATTCAAAATGAGTACCTGTTCTTTTGGAACATACCCTATTCCTTGTGTTATGTCTCCGTTCTTTTCAAAATGTTCCTGGGGCCGATTTCACGAATCACTAAAGACGCGTCTTGGGAAGAGTAACTCGTTTTAACTCGGGATGCGTCCTCTGATTGATGTCACCAAACTTAAAATGCATTCAACGCATCGTAACTTCCTTTTGCAACGCGGCTGAACTGATCATTATTATAATCAGCAGACAAGATTTTCAGAACAAAGTTTGTGCTCTGTGCACACACATGGAAAAACTAGGTGTAAAAAAAAGATGATAAAAAAAAACATGATATAGCTGTCAAATGAGCAATTTTGTCCTCGTCCAAGTAATAGCTGTTCCCTTACTGTATTTCTTGTTTAAGATGTGTTAAGTGAAATCAGTCTTAAGATGCATCTTAGCTAGGAATGATCTAAGTGCAGGAATTCATCTCAAGTCCTAAGATGTGTTGTAAAGATGTTTGGGGAAATCCGGCACTGTTCTTTTTGGATGCTCCTGTTTCATTCAGAATGCTCCTTTTTTTTCGAACCATTTCCCATCCTTTTAGAATGCGTACACTCCGTTTGAATGCATTAATTTTGTACTTTTACCCTAATTGCCAATCAATATGTATATTGGATAGTTCATATTTTATCATATTTATCCACTTTTTTTGTTTTAGGGAGCAGCACTTGGCAAATCAGGAGAAGAGCTGACAATCCGACTGCGACACATGGCGTTCAAAGCTATGCTCCGTCAGGTAATGGCCACCAGTCGTACTCTGCACAGCGCCCTCTCTTGACTGCAAGGAAGCAAGTTCTTGAGACCTTATATACGGCCCCTAGTCCGAGTCCAGACTTTCAGAGTCCAGACTATAAAGTCCAACCACAAGCAATCATCCACATTTTAAAATCCAGAACTCAATTCAATACTAGACTTAAACAGTGTCATTGTTAGTCTCAGACTCCAGCAGACTTTTACTGTTTTGTACCTAATTACCACTGTTTGTTGCAGGAGATTGGATGGTTTGATGACAAGAAGAATAGCACCGGAGCATTGACAACAAGACTAGCAACCGAAGCCTCTGAAGTCCAAGGGGTAAGTTCTGTCCAAAAATGGGATTATTATTAATTTAAATATAAATTATTACCCCTGATCTCAAAGCCAATAGAGACAGTGGGGGGGGGGGATAATGAGCTGGACGAAATCAATTTTTATTGTTAATTATTATTATTGTTTTTTTGGCTTGGTACTCATCAAACGATGGGCGCCCAAAACTAGTATTAATCATAAATACAAAACTGTACCTTGATTACTATTTTGTTTTTGCCTGGTACCTATCAGGCCATCGGTGCTTAAAACCAGTATTTCAAAAATACAGAAAGTTTTGTTGATTATGATGTATTTGCTTGGTACCAGTTAGACAACCGGTGCCCAAAACCTACTACTTAATACAGTAGTTTACTTTCATAATTAAGTAATTTTGTTTTTGCATGGTACCCGTCAGGCCACCGGTGCCCGCATCGGAGTCATGATGCAGTCGTTGTGCAACATCGGCGTTGCCATTATCATCGCTTTCATCTACGGTTGGCAGCTGACCCTGCTGGTTTTGGGCTTCCTGCCGTTCATCGCCATCGCTGGCACCGTCGAGTGGAAACTCATCCAATCCTCCTCCCAGCAGGACAAGGAAGCTCTGGAGATTTCAGGAAAGGTACGGAAAAGGGGCTTCTAAGGACATCTTTCCCGTCCCCCCCCCCCCCCCCAAATATATGGGGTTCAGTAACTAGCTCCATTTAAAGCCTTTGATTGGATCGTCACTGCGCGCGCGCATCACGATTGTTTATCTTGAGTCGCTGTTCGGCTTTTGTGCATGGACGCCACGCCGGTGATTGAACTCACGATCATCACGTAACTCACGCCTGTCTTACCACAAAAAGTACACAAAATCACCAGTGTCTCCAACTGCCCAGGTTGTAAATTTTGAACAGCTATATTTCCCTCTTTACTCATAATTTGCCAGAGATACTTGCAAATTCAGCAAAAATCCAAGCTCATTCCCTCCGAAATTGTATGTTCGTGGCCTATCGCCTATTTTGCTGTAGGCCGGTTGTGCACGAACATTACTGTCGTGATTTTGAATGCACACAGGAGGCGGAATTCAGATGTCGTGCATATAATTTGCATACATTCACGCGGATTTCCATGTAATGTGTTGAAGATTCACTGCTAGTTACGTGTCCTCATTCATTTATTGCTACAGATTGCTACTGAAGCTATCGAGAACATCCGTACCGTGGCTTCCCTGACTCGCGAGGAAACCTTCTACAAGAGTTACTACGATCTACTTGTGGGACCTTACAAGTAAGTCAAGTCTGTCACAAGCTGATATGGCCCGTCAGGCCAGCGTGTATCTCCAGTTTTCTAAGCGTGAAGCGACTGAGGATATATTTATTCCCCCTGGACGGGATGTCAGTCCATCGCGCGTTACTCCCCAGCTAATGCCGGTACCATTTATACTCCTGGGTGGAAGGAGGCAAGTGGGGATAAAGTAACTTTGCCTGAGGACACAACATATGGCCACTGGCTGGATTCGAACTTCTGACCCTCTGATCATGAGTCACAAACCTTAACCACTAGCCACATGGTTTAGGTTTTTTGTTTGGCTTTGTTTTTGAATTTATAGGTATCAAACATGAAGAACAGTATGTAAGATCTAAGACTCGGCATTAAGATCTTAGTGTTGTTTTATTGAGTGCTAATAACCAAGCGAAGAATACGTACAGGAGACAGCACAGAATATTGGGTGTTGTCCTAAGGAGTCGTATTACAATGGGTTCTCATTGGACAGTGGGAGGTGGTCTGATGTGGTCTGATGTCTGACCATACTTCTGGCCTGACCTACAAGTATATTTATGTATGTCAAGGGTCACACATGTGTACTTCCATGTTACTCAGTAGTCTTTCATGTTCCCTTCATTGAAGAAGTCGAACTTGATAAAACTGATTGAAGTTCATTTCTTGCTGGTTTGTTAGGACCAACATGAAGCGAGCTCAGGCCAGCGGCCTAGCCTACGGACTCTCCCAGGCAATCATCTTCTTCGCCTACGCCGCCGCCTTCAGACTGGGCGGCCATCTTGTGGCCGACGGAACGATGCTGTTCGAGAATGTCTTCCTGTAAGTCAATACCGCCCTCTTGTGTCAATAAACCAGTGAATACATTTTTGGAGTTTGACTATGTATTTTTTTTTTCGTTTTCGCAAAAAACAGTTCCTGTACTCGTATTGTGTGCTTCTTGCGTTGACAGGGTGTTTTCGGCGATCATCTTTGGAGGTTTTGCTCTCGGCGGAGCCACTGCCCTGGCGCCAGACTATTCCAAGGCCAAGTTTGCCTGCGCCAACATGTTCCGCCTGATGGACCGGGAGCCCGCCATTGACTCGTACAGCACCGAGGGAGAGACTATGGCAAGTCTCGTTTTATTCCTTCCTCATTAAAGCCGAATACCTAGCAGAAAAAAATTTGGCTCAGCAGATTTTATCAATTTAAGCATGAAGAAGGTGGGAACCAGTTACGCAGTATTCATCCCATGACTTCTTGGCTGGTAACCTGTTTTTGCTACACTTAGCGAATTTGTATGCGTCGATGCTCCATGAAAGTAGCCACAATTAAAGACAATCAGTTACTTGAAAGAACTTTGAGCTTCCATTACAAGTCCCAAGATAAGTTTCGAGCTTCTCAATTGAATGGTGACAAAAGTATTCCTTTGTCATTTTTCTTCCTCATTAAATTTTGATCTGACTTGTGATGGACTTGTGATGGACATGTGATTGACTTGTGATGGACATGTGATAGACTTGTGATGGACTTGTGTTGGACTTAAAACGGGCTTGTGATGGACCTGTTATGGACTTGTGATGGACTTGTGATTGGCCTGTGATGGACTTGTCATAGACTTGTCATGGTCTTGTGATTGATTTGAGATGACTTAAAATGGGCTTGTGATGGGTTTGCGGTTAGTTCTGACCCACTTATGATGGACGTGTAATGGACTTGATTTCAACATTGCCATCAGTTCTAACCTCATTTATTACCTTCATTCTTTTCATACAAACAGGACAACTACAACCCCGAGGTCCGATTTGAGGACATCCGCTTCCGTTACCCATCTCGCCTCGACGTGCCGGTCCTGCGCGGCCTGACGGTCTCCGTCAAGCCCGGAGAGACCCTCGCTCTGGTCGGAAGCAGCGGCTGCGGGAAGAGCACCTCCATCCAGATCCTGGAGAAGTTCTACAACCCCAGGAGTGGCACTGTGGTGAGTACGACAACCCTGAACCGTGTGGTCTAGCGGTAGAGCACAGGCCTCATGATCGTGAGATTGAGGGTTCGAGCCCCGCCATGGCCATGCGTGTCATAATGTCAACAGATTCCTTTTATCCCTCTTACTACACTTTGTTTCATTGTCACAAAAAATTATGACCTATGCCTTTGCAATTTCTTGCAGCTTTTGGACAATCACGGCCTGGACACCCTGAACATCCAGTGGCTGCGTGCCCAGATTGGCCTGGTCTCCCAGGAACCCATCCTCTTTGACCGCACCATCGCCGAGAACATCGCCTATGGCGACAACTCCCGGGAGGTGGCCATGACGGAGGTCATCGAGGCGGCCAAGAAATCCAACATACATGACTTCATCGCCTCGCTGCCAGCTGTGAGTTACTCATTGAGGATTTTTTCATCCCTTGGAAATGGGACACTTTTTTGTAACTCCTTGCTTTCTATTTTCACTTTTTCTTTATTCATTTTTTGTTTGTGAGATTTTTCAAACTCTGCGTACTAACATAACAAATGTCTGTTCTTACAGGGTTATGAGACCAAAGTCGGTGAGAAAGGCACCCAGCTGTCCGGCGGCCAAAAGCAGCGCGTGGCCATCGCGAGGGCGCTAGTCCGCAATCCCAAGATCCTCCTGCTGGATGAGGCCACCTCGGCCCTGGACACAGAGAGCGAAAAGGTAAAATTCTAAAATATAACAGGTTTGGTGCATGCCTATGCCTACTACTGGTGAAAAAATGGCTGTGAAGTGAGTTCACCTCATCTCCACTTTCTGTTGTGCTCCCTCATAAGAGGGCATTAGTGCACCTCATATACTACCATTGCTTGATCATGTGTCTCCCAATTGAAATGTTGTCCTCTACTTTATACTTTATCCTTTCTTACTTGTATTTTTAAATTTTTTCCCCCTCCTTCTAGGTGGTGCAAGCGGCTTTGGATGAAGCCAAGAGGGGACGTACCTGCATCACCATTGCCCATCGGCTGTCCACCATCCACGACGCCGAGAAAATCGCTGTCATCCGACACGGGAAAGTGGCCGAGATCGGCCGACACGAAGACCTCATGCAGCTACAGGGCCAGTACTACAGCCTGTACACCAAACAAGATATGCAGAATTAAGCATTGCAGAAACCTGCACGTACAACTACAGGGTACACCGGCTTCAGCAATGGACCGTTCCAAATTGGCCATTCGTAATGGACTTTTCCAAATTGCCCATTAGTAATGGACTGTTCCAAATTGGCCATTAGTAATGGACTGTTCCAAATTGGCCATTAGTAATGGACTTTTCCAAATTGCCCATTAGTAATGGACTGTTCCAAATTGGCCATTCGTAATGGACTGTTCCAAATTAGCCATTAGTAATGGACTTTTCCAACTTGCCCATTAGTAATGGACTGTTCCAAATTGGCCATTTGTAATGGACTTTTCCAAATTGGCCATTAGTAATGGACTGTTCCAAATTGGCCATAAGCCCCGCCCACCTTTAATTTCTGTTCACTTCTCACAGAGCCTATGACCAATTCGAATGAGCTGCCGCGGTCACATGACCAAAAGTCACAATCTAATTGGCCAATGCCTATGCTTGACTGACAGGCAGGAACGGTCCATTGTCGACTCCGGTGGTGTGGGACACGGCTTTTTTTTTCCCCCTCACCAGAAGCCGAGGGTGACATGCGTCCTAAGGAGTTTTTTAAAAAAACGTGGCCCACATCACACTGACAGCAGTCAACATTTTGTTGCATCGTATTATATTGTATTCATATATCACGTCATAAAGTTTGTATATCACTTGTCAATCTGCACAGTTTAGGTTTTGGGAGGGAAAAACTTTGAACTTGACATCCAAATTGTTTGGTTGACCTTCCATAAAATGAGGTACGTGTTGAGCAGTTGTTAATGTATTCCATAAATTCTCAGATTTAGCTCATCCTCAAATTCTAGATTTACCCAAAAATGATTAAAAATTTGACTAGAAGTGCCTTGTGCTTTGGTGTATAAAGCCAAGAAATCAAAGCAAATGGTTTGTGCATAAAAAGTGTTAAATGGGCATTGTTAGCGGGTATTTTTTAAATCAGCTTGACTCGGGGGAAAAACATTACTATGAGGAAGCTTTATTTTTGCTACGATTTCAGTCCAAACTGTTCTTGAAAAACCATATTGGAGATTTCAAAAATGTACTCCATGTGCCACCTCTTGAGGGTGCTGTTTGCCTAGCAACAAGAGTATTTGGCCTCCCAAAATTTCACTGGTACTCCGTACAGTTGCTTTGCTTGTTCATGCACTTAAACAGTTGTATGCATGTGAGGTGTGAGGTAACCAACCACTGGCCAGATTTTTGTACATGTCTTGTAGAAACGCCTGCTTTTACTGTGTACAATATTGTTGTGTTTCAGATTCACGAAAAAAAATTTGCACTTGAGCGTTTTTAACATATAATTATTAACCGAGCTGTTTCTGTAAATAGTGCATCGTAATAGGATTAGTGTACATGTTGTATCAGACTATTTTTCAAATTCAAGTAATTTGATGTTAAACTGAATCGTCTTTCTATTATTTAGAAACCTCAGAAATGCAGTGTGTGAAGGAATATATTGAAAAAGAAGTTTTTGAGTTTGTTGTTTTGGTGATGGTTTTGAAATGTGTTATTTCTGAAAACATCAAAGGGAAAAATAATAGTGCTCATTGGAGCGTGCAAACTGTTTGAAGTTCTTAATCGGTAAATTACTTACTCGACACAAACTTTTCAAAAAGCCTTGGGCAACTTGTAACTTTACATCACTTTATTGTGTTAATTGTTTGCAAAATTTATTTGTGATTTATTGCTTCAAGAATAAAAAAGATGACTTTGTTTTAATGGAAAACTTCCTCATAATTTTTTTTGCGAAACAATTTATTGTATATTGTTTGTAATTCACTAGGACCAAACATAACTAATCATTTTACTTAAAACTTGCAAGAATTTTAAAAGTTAGTAAAGTATTTGCAATTTGATTTCAAAAAAAGGAGGGGAAAAAATTGAGAGTTTAGTTTTCCTTCAATCTGTTTTGGTGGTTCAGTAAACTCTGTGGTGGCATCACAATCAAAACAGGAACAAATGCATGTTAATTTTGTTTATAAATGATAATTTGTATTAATATTTGGGCTCTTATCTTTTCGTGATATGAAAGTCTTTCAGAATTATAAGCCATTCATCACAAATTGTCTTAAGCCAGTTTAATAACTACTTTGAAACAACGAAAAAAACTATAATCCAATTGTACGGTAGTTCAGTGGGGTGTATAAATTTCAGCTGTATTACTAACAGTTATCACATATTTATTGTTATATTTTAGTCTTTGATCTGTGTTGTATATTGAATTAAAAAAAAGGCTTTTGTTTGAGTTCAGTGCTAAAACCAAAGGTCAGTGGTGTTTGTCTGCATTTTTTTTCTGTTTGAAACATGTTTCTTTTTTTCATTCACATCAATTTTTCTGACGATCGTAAGTTGTTTCTATGTAAGCCATTCTGGATTTGAATCTAGTGATCAATAAATTGTGGGATGGGTAAAAAAAAAGGGACATTTAAGCCAAAACGAATTCTCAATTGCGTTACTTTATGTACACTCTTAAATTTCTCTGAACCCTAACCCCCCAAACTCCATCAAAATCCCCCCCCCCCCCCCCCCCCCCATTTTCGGGGACTTGGCCCTGCAGGCCTGGTGTGACTAAATATTGATGGAGTATGATGGACTTGGGCCTGGAGGCCTAAAGCAAAGCATGCATTGGAAGCAGTGTGATTGATGGATTTTGGCGGACTTGGTCCAGTTATTAGTAAAAGACAGTAGGGAGTTAGGTTAAAAATGTATTTCATTGCTATGTTCGAGTTGCACCTCGCAAAAAAAATCCCTTTTTTCGATTGCTATTTCCTAGAAAGATACAAGTTATTCACATTCGAATGAGACATTGAACAAGGAAATCCCCATATAACAATTAGTTATTGAATTATTTCTTCACAAAATTTGAATTATTGGTTGCTCTCGCAGGGCGGGTTATTAATTGAACAAAAATGAAAGCCTCTTTGCAGTGGGTTTGCAGACTCCCAAAATTGGAATGAAGTTTGTTTTCATCAGAACAAAACAAAACATACAAATTGAACATTGGTGTGGAGAAAAATTCCATTTTTTTTTAAAGAGGGTATTTAAACTATCACGTGTCGCACATCACAACGCTTGTTTTCAAGTTAATCAAATGAATGCATTTACATACAGTGCAGACGTACAATGCTTTGGAATGCTTGAACTGAAGATGAACAACTTCTCAGTTTCAGCTTTAAAGGGTAGATTTTCGTAGGCCAATCAAACTCCAAGAAAGTGGAAATTATTATGCAAATCAGCGACTTTGAGTGACTTTCAGCCAATCAGTGCAGTTTCACTAAGCATGCGCATGGATCGGACGATAGCATGTGGAAGGTGGGGATGTCTGGTAACTAGACGTTGCCATACTAGGTAAGAGGCGTATTTTGTCAGGGGATCAGTCTTCACACAACATCAGCACGAAATTTCAGCGGTGGCAGACACGGAGAAATTTGGGCTCCTGTTTTAAAGGTATTTTTCCGAAAACCTCATGAAATATGTTAACTTAGAAGGGACATGACAACATTCTTCATTGTACAGTAGAGCAAGTGGTTCTGTAACGGACTTTAAGTATTAAATAACGGTGTTGCAAACCGAGATGAGCTGTTATATCGCAACCAGTACAGTTGGCCTACCAGCCGTTCTTCCGCACTGCATATCGCGTATCGCATGCAGAGGTACGGTTTGCCAGAGCCCGGCCCCACTGCACAGCCGCTGCACTCAAGCTAGCTGCACACGTACACGGTCGATCATGAGCACATCGCGTGTTCAAACTTAGGAGAGCGTCATATCATGGAGCAAGGAAAATGGTCATATGTTCTAATGTAGTTGGCAAGATTACCATATGTGAAGTTCACTAATTTTCCTCTGTACTGGCTAACAAGCCCCCAGATAGCAATTTCATGTCATCAAAGTCAATTTGAGCAGTGAGAAAATACAAGCATTTTCTTAGAAAACACTTAAAATTTTCAGTCCACTCTCATTCATAGGGTTTGTACACAGAGTGTTGAGTGAACTTCGTATATGGAAATCTTTCCAGACTCTCACAGCCACAGGTTGAATTACAGTAAATTTTATTATAAAATTATTAAATTACCAGACAAACGAGTATCTACTGACATATAACAAGTAGTTATGCCTACCTGGAAAAAAAAAAAAAGTAGGCCCTATACTACATTATGAAAGACTTAAAAAAACAAGTACGAGTGCACAATTAGCTCTGGCCCGGTTCCGGAATGTCCGACTTCATATGCAAAATAGACGCGCATGCGCATCGATCGAGACAAAGGGGCGTGTTCCGAAAACGTTCGCCAAGAGTGATTTACTGACAAGGGCATTCAGTTGCATTTGGTCAATTTTTGGTCCATTGGTAGTTACATTTTATGGGAAACTGAAGGGGCCCGTTTTTGGGTCAATTTTCCGGGGACAGACCTACCAACTGACCGACCGACCGACCGACCGACCAACCGATCAACCACAAAGTGACATGTAGAAGTTCCTGCCAGAGCTTAAAAAGATCTATAAAATAACCACGAGATTTTGGAGAAGCTACAACCAGGCCATAATCATGAATTGTGTATAGAAGTAAGCGAGATAAAAACATGAAGAAGTTGATATATTTGAATAAATAAATATATTCTGTAAAACTAAAAAGGCATGATATTTGATTTCTCCAAGTAGGACTCCCGTGAATACATGTAAAATTTCGATTGCTTTTTGTTGTCTAGCTTCGGCCACAATGAGGATAATTATCCTAGCAGGCGGCTACGGAACCCGTCTCCAGCGGGACCTGCGGGACCACGATCCCCAGGATGCGGACAGCTACAGACACCTTCTGGGCATGCCCAAAGCGCTGCTTCCCATTGGTCACCAGCCACTGATATCTCATTGGTTCGAGGCATTTTGGGCCTGCAGAACCCAAATCACCGAGATATATGTTGTGGTAAATGCACTTTGTTTTATTTGTTGGAGAAAATTTTAAAACTGGAAGTCGGAACGTGATCATTTGTTATGAAATACAAAATTTGACCCTCGGCTCAGGTTGACATTTTCATGGAATTGCCTGCTGACATTTTGCTTGCTAGTACCAGTTGGCCAATTAAATCGGGATCTGGTTTTAATTATATTCAAGGATTAAAGTGGTAGTTTGTAGATGCATAGTGTATTATTCCTTTAGCTTGGCTATCACCTATGTGCTTTATTAATGTGAATGCACTTTGTTTTACTTGATTGAGGGAATTTGCAAAATTGAGTCATATTCATGTATATGCAAGAATACATATTCCATATCCCCTTGTAAAACTGACAGTAACACAACTAGTATAGAATACGCAAATTACCCAGGAGTAAGATTTGTTAGGATTTTTCCCGATTTGAGGATTTTTGTCAAATTTTTTTTCTTTTCGAAAATTTTGAATTCCTGAGCTTTTACCACAAAGGTTTGTTTTTCTTACCTGAAAAATATTATAGATAACATAAGAAGTCGCTAATCCTGCAAAACCTCTGCTGATTATTTCGTGGATTTTTCATTTTCTCCCAATGTCACTCCTGATTACCAATAAGATGTTGGAGCAAAAAGTAAAAAAATACCTGACACCCTTTCTTCAGTAAAAATTGGTTTGCATTAAAATTAACATCAGTTTTGGTTCAGTTTGGTTAAAGGGAATGCACAACATTTGTTTTTGCTGCAATTTTCAGAAATATATGGATTTGGAGGATAAGTATGTTAAAGCAAATATTGTTGAAATGACTTGTTTCACGTTTTGGGCTTGTAGATACCGGAAAAACCAAGAAAACCATGCAATCATGTTCTTGGAGTCTGGTTCCCTGACACCACTTAAGATGAAACTGAGCAATTTATAGACTTTGGGGAATTATAAGGTCAGAGAATCAGTCTAGCAGGCTTGTACCCCTTCACAGGTGTGTAATCAATCGCAAAGAAAACGTAGAATAACTAATTATAAAACAATTAGGAACAGTTTTTGAAAAAAAAATTGGTAATCTCCAACGCTGGTCTTGGAAAAATACAAGTTTTCTTGAAAATGACAGCACACCAGGAGTATTTACAGGATGCTTTAGTCTGTCATTCCCTAACAATCTAGTAAGGTATTTCGTGATAATTTGATCATTTCGTTTTGTGATGTTTGCAAATGTTGTATCTTCCCTTTAACTGTTTTTGGCGGATTTCGTTTTCAGTGTAATGACTTTTACTCCAAGAAATTCGAGGATTGGAACAAAGACTGGGAGAATGCTATTCTTTGCAACGATGGAACACGCACAAATGAGGTATTCATTCACTTAAAGCCAGAGTCCATCATTTGCAGCTATCCCAAAAGTAACTGGCGTAATTATTGTTGAAAAACATACTGGTTGAAAGATAGTAAGTGGACTAAACTCCCTGTGAAATTATTCTTTCTGGCAAGCTGTCATTTTGAAGAAATCAACGAAAGAAGGCCTTTCCAACGGTGCATTTTAAGAAGCACCGTTTGAAATTTCCGTTAGTAGTTCGTTTTTTTATTGGGTGAAGCGCGCGCAAGCGTTGACACGATGCACATGCGTGCGCAGTTGCTATAAGTAGTCGGATCGGTGCGCGACATCGCGTAGCTGCAATTCAGGCCCAATTCAAAACATGATTCAGCAACTTTTGATTTGAAATCGAGTTCCTAGAATGTTGTTTTTCTCGAAATATACAGCTGAAGCTGAGCTGAAACTTCATCAGGTTAGTTGTTCGGCATCCTTCTTTAGATTTTGAGCACTTTTGTTGCTTCAAACGAACAAAATGCACAAATTACAAATGATGGACTATACCTTTAAATTATGATTAATTGCATACAAAAATACTCAATTTGAATATTTATGACTGACTTTTGAAATTTCTTTTACATATTTTAATAAAATTCCTTGCTGTTATCATAAAATCCAGACCAGACTCGGAGCTGTGGCCTGCATGAACTTGCCCATGGAAGGCCTTGGATTTGACGACGTGACTATCATAGGCGGGTATGATTTCTCCTTTTAAGAGTAACACTGTTTTCTGTGAGAGGAATTTGCATATTTGTTTTTAATTTAAAGGTAAGATACAACATTTGCAAACATCAAAAAACGAAATGATCAAATTATCACGAAATACCTCACTGAATTGTTTGGGAATGACAGTCTAAAGCATCCTGTAAAATCGTGGCTCCTGGTGTACTGACATTTTCAAGAAAAACTGTATTTTGCCAACGCTGGTCGGCCGACCAGCGTTGGAGATAACTGGCTTTTTTCAAAAACTGCTCCTAATTTTTCATATTTAGTTATTCCACAGTTTCCGCAATTGAAAAAAAAAGAAAAAAAAAAAGTAAGTGTTCTTTCAGCAAAATGAAAACAAATCACATGGGAATGTGTATGAATTGTTTTCGTTTCGCTGAAAGAACTCGCACCTTTTTTTTGTGATCCGTGGACAGAACTTTAAAACGGTGGTTGTGTTTAGAATTCCGCAACTTCAAAAGTACATGAGTGATTTGAATGATTCTTGTACTAAAAGGAAGCTTATGAATTGGGCTTTTATATCCTAGATTTTGAGAATGCTACTTGCAGGACTTCACTAAAACAAGGGTCCAGACATTTTTTTTTTTTTTTAACTCATTCTGTATTATTATTTCAAGTAATCTAAAACGAAAGTTATAAATTGAAACACATGTGTTCTTTTCACCTTGTAACCGATCTATCATCCTTTTAAAGTCGACGCCTTTGAAATCGCCGTAGGCCCTGGGGATTAGCAGGACATTAGGCCTTGCGGTGTGGCTCTATTGTGTGCACTGCTGGCCAGCTTTGGTAATATGTGTGATGATGACACCAGGCCCTGTGCTTTGACTCATAAGTAATGCGCTCATTCAAACCAAACTCTGCCGTACCCATCAAAATCTCAAGGTACCTCGGGGTTTAAGGTACCGCCTGCTTAACTTCGCATCCGTCCTTTCTTTAATTCCTAGAGATACACTATTCTATGACGACTTTGATTTGGCGGCAGTCTGGGCCGAATTCAGACGACGCCAACAGCAGAATGCGGACGCTAGTCTGGTGCTGGCCTGCCCGTGTTCAGATGCAGGTGGGTAAGCAGTGGGAACCAGACCTGGGTGAAAAGAAACAGAGACCATCATGAGCTCCAGACTTTTAATGCCAGTTCATAAAACAAAAAAATAAGAGAAAATAAGTTCTCACACTGTATTGTGATATTTTCTTGTAAATAATTAGGAGATAATACAACTGTACGATTTTCAGAAGTGGTTCCCTTTTTTGAGCTCATACGCTTTTCTGTTTAGACACATTCAAAGTGGGCATTCTTGAGACTGACGAGGACAAAAGAGTCACTGCTTTCTTGGAAAAACCAGGACCTGATCAAACTACCTCAAGAAAGTCGGTAAGCAGTTGTAGTTTTTGAAGTACGGAAGAGCCAACTGCACCATCATTTGTTAATGCACAGGGCCATAAGTGTTTTTGAAAACTTGGCTGTGCCTCCAGCATCGCCATGTTTCGCATCACGAGCATCCAATGTCAAATTTATGGCCAAAGTTTAGAACATTTCAAATTAGGTTTGGAAACTAAAGACTTCGAAACCAGATATGAAACCAAACCTGGAGGGAGGCCTGGATTTCAAAAAAAACTCCTGCCTTTAATGTATGATACCCATGTGACAATAGATATTGGAATTTGGGGTTAAACTTTTTTTTTTCACTTTTTTTTTGACCATTCACATTTTTTAGTGCCCCTGCTTCTATGTCCTATCCAAAGCAACTCTTCCACTCATCAAACAGTTCTTGGAGGAAAGAAAGGTAATTGTATTTTCAAAACTTGTGTAATTACACACAGGTTTAAAAAAACATAATACAATGTAATAATATCTGTCAATGAAATACAGAACTGTGTCTATAAAACAAAACTCGAGTAATTTGTTTGAATATTTTATTTTTTAAGAATGGACCACTTGAAAAGAGAGATGCGACTGGACATTTTATTCGGTATCTGTATCCAAGGTAAATGTTTTAAAAGATAACAACAAAATTGCCATATTTACAAAATATGTCAAGTATAACCACAGGAGATAATTGACTTGGTAAACTTTTTAAAATATGAAAATTGACTGAAACAGGATTAGGCCCAAAAAAAAGTCTCCGGTTTCTGGTATGGAGCTTGCCCAAAAAGTGGTGCGGCAACACGGCTTTTTTTTTTTTTTTTACCTGTTTTTTTTTTTGCTTCAAATGTCTGCGGATGACTGCAAAATGGTGCCCGACTAAACTTAGTGCAAATATATGGGAGTCCAGAGATGCCACATAAAGCTTATTCTCAACCATAACCCAATCTAAAAACACGTTTAAATTTGTGCAGCAGCAGGATTCCAGTCAAACCAGTGAGTTTGGCGGTTTTGAGACATTATCTTTCATTGAAAAAAAACTTTTTCATTTTGCCGACGCGCATGGCTACGGCAATGCGCGCGCATACCAGAAACCTGTTGCAAATCCTGCTTTATAAATTGTTTCTATTGAACGAAATAATTGATTTTGAAAACATATTTCCAAATGGTATTCGTTTTCAAAATATTAAAGAGACAAAAATAAAAAATTGGCATCAAAATTACTCATGCACAACCCATACATGCAAAAATATATACACAGACATTTCTTACTTTTCTTTTGCAATTTTGTTAGTTTTGTTTTGTGTTTAGTATTTTATTCGTATTTTTTCCAGATTGCCAGTGTACACCTACGACATATCAGCAAGGTTCGATGTTGGCGCTCTGCCGACCTACAAAACCTGCCACCAGTACTTTCTTCATGAGCACAAATCCAACATAAACGGTGAGAAAAAAAACCTCACATTTCCACTTCCATTTTAGTCACACTGTAAAACCATTTGATATGTCTACAATTTGGAATTCCGACAAGGTAAATTTTGTGTCCTATTTTTTAACCCACAGAAGTCAGACGCGAGTACCTTGAGTGTTTTGGACAAGGAGACGCGAAACAACCACAAAAGTAATGCTTAAATACACCGATTCTCATAAATTTCATTGATAATTTTTTGTTGTTGATTTTTTCACGTTCCTCTTCATTCTCGGGTCGATCCATTCTTTTAATGTTTGAGGAGGCAGAAAAGAAGATGATTGTTTATTAATTTCTTTTTTTTGGTTTATTTTTTTGGGTTGTTCGTCCATTACCTATTGTGGAATTCGTATTCAACGGTGTAAAAAAAAGAAATCGAAAAAAAAAAATTCAAGTTCATCGTCTGATTGGTTTGTGGTTGCAGGTTACCAGCTACTTTCCTCCCCGGTTTCCATGACAAAGCAGCAGTGGAACGCATGCGGTACAACAAATTGGGAAAAACGGGCCTTGAGGTTTCCGTCATCGGTCTAGGTAGGTCGAGAAAGCAGAAGCTTTCCTCTTTTAGAATGTTCCTTTATCGCTCTGGCGCCCTCTGTCGGTCGGGCACGAGGCCATTAAAACTGGACATTTGTCTTGCTATTTTAGGCGGGGCCCCCTTTGGGAGCGTCTTCAATCCGATGACACTTGAGACGGGGACCAAGATTGTCCGCAAGGCACTGCAGAGTGGCATCAACTACATCGACACGGCTCCGTACTATGGCGATCGCAAGTCGGAAACCATGCTGGGCAAGGTAGGACAAGAATAAAGTTAATCAATACATTTCCAAATAAAAACATGGGAGCAGCCAATTTTTACCATTGAAATGTACGCACCCTTTTCTTTGGTGTTTTGCAAACCTTGGGTTCGTTTTTCATACTCTGCTTCGGGCCCATTTACACTATTGAACAACAAGTCATATGACAGGTTAAATTATTGCAATAATTGCATATTCATATTGTTACTGCATATTTAAACCAAGCGATTTGGTTTGTGCATTAAACGATCCTAAAGACGTTGTGAGCCACAGATGGAGCCGAAACTGGTGGCATGGCCAAGATTTGGAAAATGGCTCTTGCATACTTTTTTTTATTAGTCTACTGCCCTCTGGTGGCCGTGCATAGATCCTATACACTCCAGGTTACCTTAGTTTTTGGCTTAAATATTCAACAGAAATTCTGTTTTCTTCACAGATCCTGAAAGGTAATCCGCGCGAGTCTTACTACATAGCCACCAAGGTGGGCCGATACAAGCCAAACGTGGAGGACATGTTTGACTTCTCGGCCGAAAAGACGCTGAGTAGTGTGGATGAAAGCCTGCGATTGCTGGGCCTGGACTACGTGGATATAATACAGGTAAACTCAAAAACAGATTCCACCGGAGAAATTAGTATCCAAATTTCCCGTAAACCATAGCAACATTTTCTTGACCATGGAAAAGTCTTGGTTGTCCGAAGTGTTGGGTTACCATTCAGTAATTGGTTCCCGGTTGATTTGTTTTTCTTTGTGAATGAATCTGCGTTAAGGCCAAAAAAAAAATATTTGGTCTCTGGTCAGACCAAAGTTCCGGAATATTTTTTTTTTTTCTTCAAGCTTGGATTGTACAGACAAGGTAGGTACTATTTTGCTTTTTTGGTGTCCTCATGTACATTGGTGTCCTCCATAATTTGCCTCGGGTGCTTTCAATCATTTGCCTTGGTGCAATTTCCCATTCCTTGGTGCTCTTTGTTAAAAAAAAAATGAGGAGGTGCTGAAATAGAGGGCGCTGTTGGAGCTACCGCGGAACATTTTGGAAAAAAAAAAGATCGACGCGCATGATTAAAATCGACGCGCGCGCTGACCAGAGACCGACTTATTTTTTTTTTTGGCCTAATCATAATTTTTCTGCTTGTGTTGACTGCGATTCGCTGAATTTTTTTAATTTGTTCAAAAGTTTGTAAATTGTTTAAAACTTTTAAAAATCTGTTAGCTTTTTGCAAAGCACTTAATTTTGGTTTTCATTTTTTTTTTAAATATTCCCTACAACCTCTTGAAAAGCACTTTTCCCACAATCAAATTAAATTTTGAATTCTTCCTCAAATGTTCCACCCCACTTAATAGCGCAAAATTCCAATAACCATGCTGAAATTAAAATCAATGAATCACTTTTTTAAAATTATTTTATTGTTTCTTATCACCCTTTTTGCTTACCGTTTTGCTTACCACTGTTTTGTCAGGTGCATGATATGGAGTTTGCTCCCAACCTAGACGTCGTTCTTAATGAGTGCCTTCCAGCCCTGGAGCGTGTCAGGCAAGCAGGCAAGGCCAGGTTCATCGGCATCACTGCCTTCCCCCTCGACATATACAGGTCAGAAATTGACTAGAATTATTATTAATTATTAGTCCATCTATTAACCAGTTGAGGTCAGGTTTATTTTGACAAGAACGGACCCAGGCACAGGTTTTTCACTCGACAGCAATGCCAGCAATCTGGGGCTGCGAAGTCACATTTTCAGCCTCGGGCGGTGGCTGTGGCTGGTTTGCATTTCAGAAGAAAACAAATACTTTAGGAATCCTAGTCCTGTATTTGTTGAAACGGAAAGAATTTCCTACACCAGTGTGCTGGAACTGCTTTTTAAAAATTGGAACAAAATGTAATACAGCCATGTTAGTCTGCTAGATACAGGTATACAGCGTGTGTCAATAAAAACGCAGGATTACAAACAAAAATATTAAGAATATAAACCACCCCTATTCATCATAATGTTAACCCTCTTTTCAAAGTACCTTTCCTTTTCTTCACTATGCTTTTTATCCCATCTCATTTGGACAATCCTGTCCAGAGATAGAGTACACTGAAGAAGGGTTATAAATTCCAAGCTGGTCTGATTTGTGAAATCACACATACCTAATGAAAGGTTTGAATTCAGTACAGGTGAAAGTATTTGTGGATCACAAAGAAGGACATGTGTGGCAGGATTAGGTTTACATAATCCTTTAGTCCACAATCAATGTTATTTGATATGTCAGAGACGACATTCATGATGCTTTGAAACAATGATAGTCCAGTTATTAAATTTAAGTGATACTTATCATCAGTTGTTTCAAAGAAAGTTTTGTTCTGGTTTAATTGTCTTCAATGCATACCTGCATTGTACATAACTGGTCGTTGTGTTAAGGTCATTGAATCAGACCAACCCGCTTCAGAAGGGCTTCACAAAACTTGTCATAACTTTTGAACCAAAATTCCAAATTCCACCAAAAAAAAATCTTGTCAAAGATGAAATTATAGACAATCAAATCCTTATCAAATTAGGCACACCAGTAGCATAATTTTCTCAGAAAAAAATTGCTTTGAATCCTGCGTTTTTATTGACACAGGCTGTATAATAAAGGTAGCACTTTCAAAGATTAACTAAAATTAAAAATATGGCATAAGCTTTTATAGCTGAAGCTTTTTCATCAAAAAATTGAAAGATCATGGTACGATATTTAATAATGTTAAAAGAATCTTGCTCGCATTTCAAGATGGTATTGTTATGGACGATCTTGTAGCTGTTGACATGTTTTATCTGTGCTTCAGGAAGGTCTTGGAGCAGAGCACTGTGAAGATTGACGTGGTTCTCAGTTACTGCCATCTCACCATGCTGGACGTGTCAATGCTCAGCCTGATCCCATACTTCACGGTAAGTTAATCTATTCAAATTATCAACTCAGTTGCAATTAGATCATAAGAAACAAGGGACGAACAACAGCGGAATGCCTTTGTTGCCGCCATTTGAATAGCTTGACTTGTGATATTGCCTTATGATGACTTGTGATCTTGCTTTATGATGACTTGTGATATGCCTTATGATGACTTGTGATATGCCTTGTGATGACTTGTGATATGCCTTATGATGACTTGTGATATGCCTTATGATGACTTGTGATATGCCTTGTGATGACTTGTGATTGCGTTATGATGACTTGTGATTGCCTTATGATGACTTGTGATTGCCTTATGATGACTTGTGATATGCCTTGTGATGACTTGTGATTGCCTTATGATGACTTGTGATTGTCTTATGATGACTTGTGATTGTCTTGTGATGACCTGTGATTGCCTTATGATGACTTGTGATTGCCTTATGACTTATGATTGCCTGATGATGACTTATGATTGCCTTATGACTTACGATTGCCTGATGATGACTTATGATTGCCTTATGATGACTTATGACTGCATTATGATAACTTGTGATGATAAGTGATGAATTTATTACAACTCTTAAGAGAAACATTATTTGTGGAGCGTTTGAGGGAGTTGGATATTTTTATAGCATAACGAATGTTGACTGACCATTGATATGAGCAAAAGTGGGTAATGATTATGTATTTGTATAATCGTCATTATTCATTCCCAATTTTTTATTCAGGACAAAGGTCTAGGCATCATAAATGCCGCCCCAACCGGCATGGGCCTACTGACCCACCGTGGCCCCCCGCCATGGCACCCCGCCACGGCCGACATCAAGGAAGCCTGTCGCAATGCTGCCCTCTACTGTCAATCCAAGAACGTTGACATCTCCAAGCTGGCCGTGTTTTACTCCATACTCCAGAATGCCCCGGACGTGCACCTGATCGGCATGGAAACGGAAGAGGTCGTCGAGAGCAACGTGGAGATTGCGACTGGGTCCTTGACACGTGTGGAGCAAGAAACCCTGGAATATGTGATTGAAAGGTAAATTTTTTGAAAACCAAAAAATCTTTAAATCAAAATCACATACACATTTTTGATATACTCATCACATTTTAAACAGTTAGTTTGTCTGCATTTTTTGGTTTTGGGACTTATCCTTGACAAAAATAAAGTACGTAGCCCTATACCCCTTGAGTGATTTACTAGGAACCTTCCTCACTCTTGCAAAATCAAATCCAACACCATATGGTAAACTCTACACCCAAACTGTTGGAATCTGATTATGGTGGTATGCCTGACCCATGTAAAGCATAATCAGATTACTAGTGCAGTACTCACTCCAACAGATTCCAACAAAACATGCAGTTGGATTTTGAAAGGTGGGGGAGGGTTAAAATATCCAACATTATTTCTCAAAATGTAAAAGTTTGTTCTTCAAAGTTTGAGTATTCAGTTACAATTTATTATTTGCAGATTATTTGTGCTTATAAAAAAACTTGCTTATTTAGTTTGTTGAAAGTTAAAGAGGTTGTGGAATGCTCGAAAACATTTCCGTCATTTTTCGGGTATATGTAACCTAAGGTGTGATGAAATAAAAACGACTATTGTTTCTGTCATAAAATGAGTACAAAAGGTACTTTTGAGAGCTGTTTTTCAAGTCCTGTCATGCCTGTTTCGAACCAAACGTGCAATTTGTGTAAAAAGTCGTCGTTGCGGGCAGCAAACAAAACACAGTAAATCGTGACGTGATAAAGATGACTCCCGATGCAGAGTAGCATAAACGAGTCCTGTTTATTACGTCACGATTTACTGTATTTTGTTTGCTGCCCGCAACGACGACTTTTACACAAATTGCACGTTCGGGTCGAAACAGGACCTGAAAAATAGCTCTCAAAAGAACCCTTTGTACTCATTTCATGACAGAAACAATAGTCGTTTTTATTTCATCACACCTTAGGCTACATATACCCAAAAAATGACGAAAATGTCTCCGAGCATTCCACAACCTCTTTAATCTGGAGGAGAAGTACCGAGTCGTTTGTCAGAGAATCAGCTTGGCAGTCCTTGGTGTGTGTGGCTTCTCACCCAAATTACAGTGAGCAAGGAACATTTCCTCAAAGCTCCTTCTGTACCAGATGGTCTTTTACTTCAAGAGTTAATATTTTTTCAAAATCTTGGTGTTTTTTTTTCAGGTTTCTAAGACCCGTGAGGAACAGGAGTTGGGAAGGAGTTGAAGTCAGCAACTACTGGGCTAAGCTGAGAGGTTTGCAGGAGGCAAGTTAACTCCCTGCCGATGCCTTAAATTTGATATTCCTAGCCAGAATACCTGAGTTCAGGTTCAGAACTAATCATTTTTTGAAGTAATTTTACCATTTTTGAGGGATGATATCCACGTCGATCATTAGCCAGTTCACGTCAGATGACGTGCATACACGCAAAGATTTTGCGGTATTTGGAACGGATGACGGATAAACACGCAACGAGCGAGGCCGGAAGTATCTGTCTGCGACCCGCTTGCAGCGAGCGAGGCCGGAAATATCGGGGTGTGCTACCCGCAGATGACGGCCTGAACCCATCTGGCATCGAGGTTCGTGAAAAACATCCCCCGCCTGGGTCTGTTCAATGTCAAAATATTCCTAGCGCGAACTAGTTAAAAGCAGTTGCAGTTTGTTTAAATATTTGGAAAGTCAGATAATTTTTTCAAAATTCACATTCCGATTTGAGGAGATTCTGTCATATTTTATAGTTAATGTGGTGGGTTTGATTGGGTTACTGCAGAATATGAGCCACTTTGAAGTTTTTCACAATTTAAAATCATGGGAATTATCACAGTATCCCTTTCAGGTTACATGTCACAGTTTGAACTGTCCCCCTGGAAAAGGAAGAGCTGTTGTCTCTAGTTGGCCAATCAGAATCCGAATCAGAGTAGACACAGCCAATCACATTTGTTTCAGTGTGCTTGCTCTTCTAATGCCAGTTGGGGTAAAAACAAATTGGCCATTCACAGCAATGCCACTTTGCTAATACCACTTCAGTTTATTAGATTGGCCAACCATTAGATCACGTAATCTTGGAATAAAGAAATTTGATGGAAGAACCTAAAGTACCTCATTTTTACTTGAAAATCTGTGTTTTATTATTATTTTCCACTATATCTTTATTCAGCCAATATTTACGTCTTCCAACAATAAGGTGCAAAAATATACAAACCTACCTAAGTTGTAGTGAACTATTTATACAGTTTTGCATAAGAAGTGAAACTTTCAACAAAGTTTAATTGTACATAAAAATATCATAATTGCATGGTTTTTTTTTATATCTTGCCACAACTCACGAAAAGAAAATGTAATTGTTTTCTCGTATCCAGTATTTTAAGAAACTATTAATTTTTCATGTAATTTGTTTTAGGTTTTCCATATTCTACATGTGATTAAAAAAAAAGTCATATTTTTGTATTCAATTGTGAAGGTAATTTGTCAGGTGAGATAAATTCCACTTTTTAAATAAAGAAATCTTACTTCCTAGCTTATCAACTTTTTTTGCATTAAAAGTGGGAAATGTTGGCAAATCAAGCTTTTTGATGTATAAATTCTTTAAAGGTTTTTTGCATTTTATTAAACCTGAATGAAAAAAAAAGTAATGGGAGGTCATTTTAGTGAGGGCGATATTAAAAGAATAAAAAAAATTAACACTTAAATGGCAAATTTGTAAAAAATTCTACTGCTTTGAAAAAAATCACAGTAAATACTTGATTCATATTTTTGCAATCCAAGTAAGTAAATTCTCACCTAGACAAGTAAGCTTAAATATTGCACTGGAAGTGTTTTCCTACAATTTTGTTTTAGTTTACAAATCTAGAACTGTGTTAAAAACTTAAATCAGCCATATCAAAATCAGCAATTTCGGCCACTCAATCTGCCTAACTCAATATTTGTGAAGACAGCGAAATGAATTTTATGCCAGAAATCAGCAACTGGCATATCTATCACTCTTTAAACTAAGGCATGAAGTATATAAACACATGTCTTGTGGAATTGCAATGGAAGTGTTAAGCAGGCTTCGACAGCTTAGCTCAGCAGCCTTGTGTCCCTGTTGTTCAGTTGAAATGCTCTCCTTAAAGTATCTACAGTTTAAACCCTGTTTGCTTTCACACTGGATATTTCAAGCCTGGAAACCAGTCAATTTTTAGAAAATTTTGCTTAAAAATTTTATGTACTAAGCAAAAATCCGCTGAATACCAGGCACAAGGAATATGTCAAGCATGATGTTTTGACCGGTAACCCGTTTTCGCTAAGCAGATGTTTTCTGCGTTAAGCAGAAATTGGCCCCTGCTCCCAAGTAACATCAGGATACGTCCATGCTGTATTCGTTGGCTGAGCTTAGCACACTCCGACTGTAAGCATCCTCGTCTCTACTGTTGCCATGGCTACCCATCCTCGCCCTGCTGCCATGGTGACTCCCCGCATCACTGTACTTCTGCCCGCTCATCTGTCTGTCCACCCGACCGCCGGTCTGACCGTTATCGCCCCCTTCCCACGGGGAGCGTACGGTAGAAGCGGAGGGCATCTGTGTCCTAGCAACCAGTTGCCTAGCAACCTCCTCTCGGAACTGCTTCTCCCTCTTGTCTCTTTCCATCTCCTTCTGGATGCGTTCCCGCTCACCATCCTCCTGTTTCCACCTCTCTTCCAAAGTGTCTTCAATTTGATCGAAGAGGACCGTATGAGGAGACCGGTTTTTCCTCCGGAAACGCTGTAAATCGGAAGAAGAAAACAAAAAATACCACCCCACAAATGTAAGAAAAGTAGGTTTGTAACAAGACTTTATATTCCACTTCTGTAAACTTCGTAAAAGGTAACTTTTTTGGAATGTGGAAATTTGGATCTTGGACTCACTGTGAATTCACCGGACGTCGTTGGCCATTTCAACGATGGCATGATGAGCTCGGGCTGGTAGCGGGGTTGAGGGGTCATAGCCTGACCCATCTGACGACCTTCTGACCTCTCGGATCGCGGCTGAGGAAGCCCAACAACTGGAGGAAAGAAAAACAAACAAACATACATACGTTTAGTTAAAATTTAAATTATCAAATTTGCCCTTCACTGCATTATAAACAATTCATGAGCCATGCTTGATTTGATTTGGGGACAAACAATTCATCAGCTTTTGTGGCGGGACTCGGCCTGCAACCTCTTGCTTACTTGTGCAGGTGGCTTACCATTCATTGGAAATATTTATAAAACTTAAATCTAAATTGTGCCCCTCACTGACATGATGTTCAAATGTATACTCGGTGCTTTGCATAATCTTGTGAAAAAAACAAAGCAAAAATACTTCCTGATAAGAAAACAAAATCTTTTTATTATCGGTTTTTTTTTGTTGTTCAAATTTTGAATTTACTTACTTATATCTCTGTTTCTGGACTTAAAGTGGATGTTGTATGGATCGTGCTCTGGTGCGGTAACAAACTCGGGCAAGCCAAGAGGACCCAGTGGAGGATACTGGAAGAAAATGTCACAAAGTTAAATTGATATTTTTTTAAAGTAAAGAGTGACGAAATAAACAAATTTTCAAATTCAGACTATTGGGCCGAAGTGTGACTTGAGCAAGGCTAATTCACAAGGGGGAATCGGGGAGTCGGTCAGTCAGTCAGTCAGTTGGGTTAAAAGAGGACTATATACTGGCCCTCTGGGACCAGCACATTAACCAACACTCGGAACAGAAGTTACCAGAATCAATTTTCCCCCATACCAAACTCCAGACCAGATAGTTGTGAATTTCTTTACGCCCGAGGACAATGCTTTGTGTTTCCCTTTGTCCCTGTAATATTACACTCTCCCAAAGACTAAGCACATAACCCTACAATCCAGGACCGTTTTTAACAAAAGATCCAACACTCGAGAACTGAAAGGATCTTTTGTTCTCCCTTTGTGTGTCTGTCCTCTATCGTAAAGCCACACATGTACATTGAAAAAAATATTCAAAACTCAACTCACCCCTCTGAAGTCGTGTTTCTTGGGCATTTGGTATTGCTCCTTAGGGTACATGCCTTCCCTGACAAACTTGGCCCTTGCTTCGTGAGGGTCGTCGATCTTGAAACGGGTCACCATCTGCTCGCTGCGCGGCCGGACGGGCTGAAGGATCTTGGGTAACGCTACAGACTTCTTGCCTTCCGTTTTGCTCATTGCCTTCTTTTGTCCTTTTATATACACACACAAATAAAACCAAGGGATTAGCTGTATGCTGACGTCGACACATACAAAGACCTTTAGTGATGACATAAGATTTGTGAGATTGTAATGAAGTTATTTTAGGAAAGAAGTTTGACATTTTTTCATGGTTTTTGGTTGGTTCGTCCCCTAAATACTCTGCATGGGAGTTTTAACAGGAGGCCAGAAACACTGGTGCAAACTCCTTCTCTCAGCGATAAGCGTCACTGGGTTTGTTTATATTATATACATTGCATTACACAGCACACGGGACCTCCGGCTTTACGTCCCATCCAAAAGACAAAGCAATAATGCTTAGGTGCCTTGCTAAGGGCACAAGTGTCCACCCGGGCTCGAACCCACGCCACTGTTGCCTCTGAAACACCAGAGCATGAGTCTCGTGCCCTTAACCGCTAGGCCATGACACTCAAATTTCTTTTACAAGTAACACTGGAAGATGAAATCAGGTGGTTTAATTAGCCATCTAACCCCCCCCCCCCCCCCAAATAAAGCCACCCTTGAAAGATAAAATACCTGGAAAAGTTCCATATTTCCACGGCTGCATGCTCTCCCTTGAGTTCCTCTTTGGGGGTTTGGGGAGGTACTGCTGGGGACGGAAATCCGGCGGCGGGTGTTCCCAGATGTCAAATTCCTTCGGCGGCTTGCGGATGACATAGCTGTCGCTGCGCGTGAGCACCAGGTCGCGACCGGCGTTAAAGCGGCTCTGGGTCGCGAAGGAGAACTCACGGATGTTCAGGCTCTGGGCGGCCGAGGGCTGGCGGGCAGGCTGACGCGAGATTGAATGACCACTGACATCTTGCGAGGTGACCATGGTTGCCATTGGCTTTAACAGGCTGTAAAAAAAAAAAAGCAGTAAACATTAAAATAGTCCAAACAAAAGTTTACATAAAACCATGGAGTACTTACTACATTTTCTCAATTTTTCAAAACTGGAGAAAAACATTCCAAGCACGGATGCAGAAAAGATCGAAGCATTAATTCGACAGCAGCAGATCGGATAGCGTCTGGCTTGCACGACACTTGACATATTACTCCCCGGGCTATTTATGCATCATTGCACTGTCTGATATTGATCTGGTGTGTTAGGTATAAGGTAACACAGCTGCAGGGCTACTGTTTTTGTCTAAATTTGTCTTCTGGAAAGAGGCCCAGGTGTTTTTATCTATTAGCATAAAGCATGCACTTGCCTACCCCAAAATAAGAAATATATGCAAAATTTGTTTTTCATTTTACACACAGAACCACAATTTTTTTTAAATTGGTGTGTCTGCAGGCCCGGATCCAGAGTGGGGGGGAGGGGTGAGGGGGTTTAATATTCATTCATTCATTTCTTTTATTTGTCTCAGATCGTGGCCCGGAGGGCCAAATTCCAAAAGACAATTACATTATAAACAATTAATTCTAAAAGCGATTAAAACTTGCTGAATACAAAAAAATGAGTAAAATACTAGGCAGGCAATACATTAAAACTGTACATAAACAAACACCACATAACCAGGAAGACAGAACTATTCAAGAAAGGAGGGACAATCAACATGCAGCCCCTCCCCCCCCCCTAAAAAAAATATTGCACACAATAAAATCACACAGAGCTGGCATTTAAAATGTTAATGAAGTAGTAAGGGATGGGACTTTTTTGGAAGCGCTTGGTTCTAATAGGGAGTTGAGTTATGTGGTTCAGTACAGTTCCTTAGGTTCCTACCATGACTTGCTAGCCTCGTGGGGGGGGGGATAAAATAATCCCTCCCCCCTTCTCTGATACCATATTTATTTATTATATATATTTATTTCAGTAAGTGCATCAGTAACAATGTGCTGCATTACTTAAATGTCCGTTTGTCTGCAACAATCGGACATAAAACAATCTGACGGACCTGACTCCCCCTGCAAAAATTCCTGGATCCGCCCCTAGTGTGTCTGAAATAAATTTTCTCTAGTAGTCGGTTTATTTCATTCACATTATTTTCATTTATGCATTAATTAATTTTTTTGTTTGGAATAAACAACACGAAACAAGATCTGGACACCAGCTATCGACAACAAATACCCCCCCCCCCCAAAAAAAGAGGAAATTAATAAATGAAATAAAATGTGAAATAAGAAAGACTTAACTAACAAAAATAAAAATAAAAAATATGCATTTTAATTAAAACGAAAACAAAGGGAAACAACGTTAACATTATTTATGAGCATAATTATTTATTAACACTAATAAAATCAAAAACACAAATGTCAATTATATTTATAAAAAAAACACAATTCACAACTTACTTTTTCGCCAACAATTCGAGAAATGTCTCTCACGAATAAGCTCTCATCGTCTCTGTCATTCAAACGTTTTCAGTATGATAGGTCGTCTTCGATTTTTCACATGAAATTGTGGTTATTTTACACATTTATCGTTTGTATTCATAAGACGGTTTCCGTTCACCGCGCGGGCCACATGCACTTGTTGCCATCACCTGTTGTATCCACGAAAGGGGTGTACACATTTCGGTTGATATAGCAACTTGGATTGATCCAATTGTTGGTAGGGGTGGCATTCTAAATTGATTGGATTTGCGTTAAATATTTTTTATTTATTACACGTAAATTGAAGTTACATTTTTAATCCTAGTGCCTGTTGTCTTTAGTTTTTGGGTGTAATAATAATCTTAAAACTTTTCAATATCGATCCAACTTGGAAAATTTAATCGATAATAAATTTGTTCAACCTAGATTTGAAATCGATCATCCTGTCACCTCTACAGAAACTTACCGCTCGGGACCTTTTTTGTTGGGGCAATTATAGCGCCCTCTTGCGGTCATATCAAACGACAAAAAGAACGAGGGGGGAGGGGCATTTTGGATAAACAAAGGGGCAGATGATTTGAACATAAAAGTGGCCCTTACTTAGCTGTAAAAATCCATGAAATTTGAAAGGGGAAGTGCTAGTGAAGGGCACCATTTCGTCTAACACTTCCAAAAAGGGTTAAAATAAAAGTGAATTTTAATTTGAAACTAATTTGAGCCAATTCCCTCTTTATGTTGTTAAGGAGGTCATCATGCTGTTTTATTTTGAACAAAGAGCATCAGTAATGTTGTACTGTCGTTTCTTGAAAACAAAAGGAACGGAGATAAAAGAAGACATAGGCCTAATTCTGTGCACAACAATTTTGTGAAAATTAGTTGCAGACGACAAGTCGATTTCCTGTTCAGCCGGCCTGTCCACATACTGCCGTTGAGGTCGCTATACTGCAGTACTGTGGTACTAAAAAATTTGACCGGCCGGTCGACCAGTCACGTCACGTCGGGAGATTTACTCCATGCATGGAGCTATTGTCGATGTCATGACTCTCCGCAAAAACTGAAATCAGAGATTTATTTCATCATATTATGTGAGGGTTTTTACGTAACCAGGGATTACTGGAGGGCACACACGGATTGCAAGCATTTGGGAAGGAACTGTGGACGGGGTAGGAGTGCATGAAATATCGTTTTCTGCGGACTTCATTGTCTCACCGGACACGCCGGAGCCGGGAGCACTTTCACCGGCGAGGGTGTGCGTGTTGAATATTGGCGCAACATTGCCGTCTGACACTCGGTACATTTTCAGTTGTCGGTGAAACACGTACAGCACTGGCACGAATATTTGCTTCAAGAAACGGATAAATAAAACATCCTTCCCTTCAGTCCAGGCTCCAGGTCCGGAAGAGGTATTTTCAGTTAAGTTCTCATTTATTAAAGATTTAATTCATTAAATTGTTTCCACTTGCATGACTTGAGGTTGAGCCTAGCCGTTACTGGTTTTTTTTGGTATTTTTTGAATGAAATGAAAATTAAGTTATGAATGAAATTTAACATGTAAAACGTTATTATTCCTGCACATGTTTATTTTCATTAGCTTCAGATTGAAGTTGAGAGAATTTACGAAGTGGCTATCGTTACAGCAGCCGTTGTTTAGCGCCCTCTACGATACTTTTTTGATACGCACACAGGTATATAATTATTTGTTTCCCCATGTTTTAGCGAGCAGTGCGACAGCTCAGTTGATAGAGGGTAGGATTTTGCACCGCCAGGTTGCGGGTTCGCATCTCAGTTTTGCACTCGATTTTTTTTCCTTTTCTAACCTGAGGGATTGGAGGATTTTTTTTAAAAGGGAAATAAAGTCCGAATTTCATAACGTTCAAATTCACTTTTTTTCCTTCTTACTAATTTTATATTTTCTTCTCATGTTTTTATAAAAATTGCAGTACTACCGCAACAATAGAAAATGGGAAATGCGTTACGGCTGCCGTAACGATAGCCACTGCGGAGAATTTAAGTACGATACTTGGTTCGTTGCCATTATGCATTCTATGTTTGGAGAAATTCAGAAGTATTTATTTCCATCGCAAATTCGTATTTTCTCCTGTACCGGTAGCTTAGAATTTGGAATAGTTTAAGGCTTATGGGAAATTTCTCGTGTCATGAGCCTAAGAACTGGGTATTCCAAGCTAATTTTCTCCAACTTAACTGCAGATATAAGAAAGTTTAATTAAAAAATGAATATTTTCTGCCTTGAATTTTTTTTTTTTGAAATTGCCTGCTATTTAATTGTGCATTACAGCACAATGTTTACCAGTACCCCAATAAAATTCAACATCATTTGGCAGAAACATAGTCCGAGTAACTAGGATTCTACAAATCGCCTAACATTTGGACATGGTCGGGCAATAGTCTACTGTCGCCCGACCATGTCCAAATGTTAAAAAAAAAGGCGATTCGTAGAGTCCTATTTTATACTCGGACTAGCAGAAACAATACAAAAACATCAACAAAATTTAATTGGAACGAGTCAAGTGGTATTAATGATTGGTGAAAATAAAACCTTTGAATGAATAAATTACATTCAATAAATGTTTTTACTGAACTGTGTGTATTGGGAACTGAATTAGGGGGGGGGGGGCTTTGTGTACACCATGGTTTCCAAGAATATTTCAATTCAAGATTATGTCATCTATCCATTGCATCAGACATGATCCAAATTTTGAAAGAAAACCACAGAATATCCTTGCAACATGCAGAGTTTGACAGTGTAGATGATGTCATCCCAGATGATGTCATGCAGGCTGCATGAGATCAGATTGGGTAACAATAAAGCCTGTCACTGGATCTGCAGACGATTGACTCATTACAATAGCACGAAGTACGCGTTGAAATATTGGGTATGAAAGGACTCAGTATAGCATTTTCCAAGTGTAGGTAAAAGGTCAATGTAAATAAACCAACACCATCTGCCACATCAAGGCACCGGTATCTGTGTGAAAGGTCAAATTAAATTTATTTTGAGCTGTTTTGAAACAAGGAAATCCTCAAATTCTGATGGCGCTGGGTAATGGATCAGTTCCTGTGGTTTCGTTGATTGTGCAACAAATATCGATAAAATTTCAATAAGGCCATGTGAAAAAAAAAAACCAGTTTCTCATCCCTGCCCATTTCCTGTTTTCACGGCCACTTTCTTAAAAAAAATTTTTTTTAATGCATACATTTGCAATACATTTTGCACATGTACATTGTCAATATTGCCTTTTATGTACTAAGAACGCCATGGTCCAGTGGTTACGGTGTTTGACTCAAGTACGAAGGTGCGTGGGTTCAAACTGTACTGGGAACATGGTGTCTGTGCCCTTGGGTAAGGCACTTAACTACAATTGCCTCTCTCCACCCAGGGGTATAAATGGGTACCTGTGAGGGTCGAGGACCGATTGAGCGCTGATATCGGCTGCCGCCTGGTCCCGTGGCCTGATAAACGGGTTAATAATTGTAAAGCTCTTTTGAGATCGTTGATACGATGGAAAGCGCTATATAAGCACAATTATTTAATTTTTTTGTATTATTTTTTTAATTTTTATTTTATTTTATTTTTTTATTATTAATATTATTATTTATTATTATTTTCTGCTTATTTGTTTTTATCAAAATTGTAGACCTACTTTTGACACTCTTTGGTGTCAGCAAAATAGTAGAGAAAATTCCAGAATCCATCTTCTATCTTGGAAAATCTGCCATCTATTTGGAGGAAAAAGTCCCTGCTCACCTCATTTAAAAAAAAAAGACTGCACGAGAAACTACTTAATTTTTTAACTCGGCCTAACAATGTGTGTTACGTGTGTAAATGCAGATGTAGGCAAAAGTTCATTTTTTTATGAGGGAGGCTGGTTGGGGGTGTGTGTTTTGCACATAAAAGGCCCTTGTGTTGAGGAAACTTTCATTCAATCCGTATTAGGGATAAAAGCACTCCACACATGTATACATAGCTTTGTGTTCCGCTCAAATGAACAATCTGTGAGCCTGAGGCCTTTTCACGTAAAATTGAGGCCAAAGAACGGGTTTCCTTGACCTATACCACAGTTGCTCGTACCAGCTAGCTTTGCCGAGTACTTCCAGGCAATTCGTTTTTGTTATGGTCTGATATTGTTTAGATTGAGTGTGTAGGTATTTCTGTTTATTGTAGCAGTGAGTTATTTCTCCATACTTGCAGTCTGTTTCAGTTCTGATCAAGTAGTTTTGTTTTATAATGTTTCAAAGTTGAGTGATTTTTTCTGATGGTTGCTCTCAAATCTTGCTACAAAGTGGCTTTTGACAAACAAAACCACGCAACTTGAACGTTTAAAAGAACATTGTGGCCGTTTTTCATCATCTCCCCCAGACCTGCGATTTGCTTACGCCACTGTGGAACCGTCAGTGCAGCAGAAAATAAGGTCACAAAACTGAAAAATCGTGTTTTCTCGTGAAACAAGCAGCATCTTGACACAAAATGATCTCACCCATGCTCACGTCACCAACAACATGACCACGATTCCTTAGCATCTATCGTGTGACGTCTTCAAAATGGCGGTGCGCTTTTTGATAACAATCAAGCGATCTTACGCGGCCACGTCTATTCGTTCGACCATTTTTGCCGCATGCTGATTGTCGCATACAATGAAATTAGATGATCTGAATACCCGATGCGCGCACAACGTCGTAACTTCGCACATGTTGGCTGCGATTAATTCCCGCCTGTAGAGAACACTTTCTGCTGCGGCACAAAAGTTGACATTTGTCTACTTTTGAGTCTGTTGATCAGCCATTCCATGTAAGGGTCATCACCAAACTCAAAAATTGAAGTGAAAGGAATAAATTTTTGTCAGTTATATTTGATAAGAGGAATATTGAAACCGTCTAAATCTCAAAAGATTTTTTAAAATAAATCATTTGAATTAAAATTTCAGCCTCCTGAACATGGATGAATGTTGCGGGCGAAACGGAGGGTCAGGGGTATAAATCACAAACTGAGGAAGTAATTGAAGCTCATTCATAAGATTGTGCTTTATCTGCATACATTTGGTAGCTATTCCAGTCTATTTGATAAAACATTGAGAATTTTTCGAAATGTCTTCAGTATTTTCCCACTATTTCATCGTGAAAACACCCTCAAAAATATGTCACGCGAGTCACAAAAAAAGGACTTTTTTTCAGATTACTTAATAACTAGAGAGGGATTCAGCTAGTGTTTCATATTTGTAAATGAAATAGATGTGGTCTATCAATAAAAGTATGAATATTCTTATTTGCTCTACATTCCTTGTAGAAAAAACTATCTCAAGAATGTCACGCGAGTCACATATGATGTATGTCACGCGAGTCACCAGGGGTGGATCCAGGAATTTTCGCAGGGGGGGGGGGGTTCATCAGCCAAAAAATTTGAAATGTACACACTTTTTTTTTCTCTGGACACTCGCTTCCGTAAAATAAAAAACTGGGGGGGGGGGGGGGGGGGGGAGGGGGGGGGGGGCTGGTACCAATTTCAATCAGGGGCGCTGTTCAAATTCGACGATTATTAACACATTACAGAATGGTGTACCGTATTTTGAACAGGCGGACATTAGACCAGTATAATGTTTTTGGGGGTGTCACGCACTTATTGTTCAGGAATTTGTATGAGAATTTTTTTTTGACAGAGCTGGGGGGGGGGGTTGACTCGCCAAAAAACACCTCTGGATCCGCGCCTGGTCACAAGCCAGGAATGTTTCATTTACATGTAATACAAAGAAACAATGCCATAGGCCCTATTAAATTATAGAATTCGAATTAAGTCTTTAAAAGCATTAGTTATGTAACAAGAAATTGAATCAGTTTTTTACAAATGTATATACAGTCGAGTCTCGTTAATACAAACTCGTTCGGACCTAGCCAAATTGTTTGTTATATCAGAATTTTGTACTAAGAGGAACATCAGTCCCATTCATTGTGCACATAAATGCACAGTCGGGACTAAGGCTTTATGTTTGTTATAACCAGAATTTTGTATTAACAGAGTTTGTACAAACGAGATTCAACTGTACTGTATACATTCCGATACAACTGCATCATTAATTGCAGCTCGATCTTACCATTTAAGGAAACTGTGACTCTACATGACCAAGAATTACAACTGTTTTCCTGAAATAATCACCCGTGGATTGATGACATCACTTCGTAACTAAAATTCCAAAACATTTTTTTCTCTCTATGTCATTGTTAAGGATATTGTGTTTAAACCAGATTTCCACCCCCAACATTTGCCAAAGTAAAGGGATAAATAGCAGTTTTCACACTCTTTCATAAGGTATTCACAGGTAAATCATTTTTATTAATATAATATTATGATTTGATTCGTTATACTAAAATTACAGTTATAATGTGAAAGTGAAAAGCTACTGTGTCACGCGAGTCACGAATTTGTGTCACGCGAGTCACATTTTCTTCAGGCCATTTCTTACAACAAGGGATATTTGGCACAATACAACTTACGCATGTATTGGGTGAGGGTATTAAGTTCTAAGTTCTGTAAGAATAATTTTTAGAACACTGGTAGATCCATAGGAAAAGCTATTTGAATCAAGGGATGTCAAAAATCCCTTTTTCTATCCTGTCATGCGAGTCACGTCAAAGAAACTGTGATACATGAAAAAATAGCGATTTTAAAGTAATCATATAAAGACTAAACCATAAATTCACAATGCCCTGACTCAAATACATGCTAATTTGAGTTGAATAAATGCCAGGTTAACAACAGTAATGCATTAAAACTTTACATTTTGTTCAAATGTCACGCGAGTCACCATGGAATGGCTGTGATTGTTTTGAGCGCGGACTGATGCTGATCGTCTAAAAATTATCCCAGTTACACTCTGGTCGAAAAACAAATCGGCAGCTGAAATGTTCCTGAAGGGCGTAGCTCAGGTGCAGCTTGATCCAGGAAAAGTCAGTGGCCAACCGCTCTGTGTCGTCGCAATTTAGTTGACCTAAGGATGGCCTAAAAGAACTGGGCAAACACAGCCTGGTTTTTTTTCTCTAGCTTTTTTTTTTGACATCTCAGTGTACAGTGTAAATTGTCTTTTTGCTTTGCTCAAATAACTCTTGATCCATTAAACTGTTAAGAATGCTTATTTTTGGAAGTTGTTTTGTTTGTTGATAATATTCATTATTCACAAACCGAGGGTCAGAGCACATATGGCTAAGCACAAAAAGTAAATTTGTTTAGCAGAAACATGCCACCAACCAAAGTGTCATGCAGTGTATATTGCTTGTGAGGTAATGCATAGATTTGGTAAGCAGTTTTTGTTTTAAGCGGCTCCATGAAGGCTGTCGTGGGAGTAATTAACTTTTATTATATTTTCTACGTCTGTAATTTCAGACGTGTACGTCCGACACCAATAATGTACATGTGCAGCCGACACCCGTATAATAAATGCCATTTCTGTAAGTCGCAATCAAACAAAAACATGTTTTGCCATGAATTGCGAGTATTAGTACGTGATGAAACTACAAACAGGAAAAAGATTGCTACAAGTCCAAACACATCACAGTTTTTATAAAAATGGATGCACAAAAAAACCTGATTCGTCTGAGTACGTCTGACACTATGGTGTTTTGAGCAAATTTCTACTATGTTTGGATGAATAATTTCCTTTCTAAATCAATATAAACTAATTGATAATTTTTTATCAGAAATAAAATCTACTTTATGATAATAACTATTATTACGCACACTGTTGAATTGTCCAAAATGCACGTGTCCAACATTGTGGAACTGCCATTATCTGTAACTGCGCTGCTTTTGTAATATACTATTTTTAACAGTCCATTAAATTTACTGGTTCTGTTCTTGCCTAAGAGGAGGATCTTGTTAAGATCAGAACATCAGGCCGCCTGAATTTTTTTGATCCATTGAATTAAGATTAACACAATGTCTGAGATAGGAGAAAATTTAGCAAAGTTAATACAAAGATGTAAACCTAAATTGTTAAATTTGTCGGCCTTTAGTCCACATGTAATTATGCGCTCTCGTGACTGCGTTGCACTCTCAGACGTGATTGCTTGCTGACGTAGGGGTCTATTAATCATTACCAGAAGTGAAAACACTGGAACTACTTGTACATATAAAGACCATGGCTCTAATATCAACAATATCTGTATTATTCATTAATCACATGAAATTAAAGGTACTGTATCACGTACGTGTAATAAAAAAAAAAGGAGCTTCCATTTCCCTCAATACTCCGGCAGGCAACGTTTCCTCGGATCAGCTGATTTCCTTCATTTTTCTTTTCTCTTAACTTCTCTTGTAGCCGTTTAAAATTGAAAAACACAGCCCTGTCCACACAGAGTCTTGAAAAGATTGGAGGTTTCTCTTTTTTTGACTTCCTATTGCGTGCATGAAATACTTTTTCTGAATTTTTTTGCTATAATATAGCCAAAGAATCAGAAAAAGCATTCACGCAAAGTCATGCCTGCAAAATGCACTATTTCCCGTGATTGTTTTTGAAATTGTCTTTGAAACTGTGTTCTAAAAATCACGAAGAGTTCATTTTTCCCAGTGCATTGTGGGAGATGGCCGACAAATTCGCAGCACGGGACATTTGAAATTGTGGGTTTTTCCGGTCGGTAGTTTCGTCCACGTATGATTTGATTATTCATACGTTTGCCCTTTTCTTTTTATCAATGTCATTTTTTTTGTAAGGCGGACGAACGCTATGCCCAAATCCTTAACAGCTTAGCCTAAGTTGTCTACTGACACAGATTCAAATGGGCCGTGTTTTGTCGACTGTAAACTTGAAAAATGGACTCTCCATGGCAAACTCTTGGTGGAGTGCAGCATTGCGAATCGCCCGATTTTTCAGGCAGTACTTAGGGTGTTCAGAGCTCTGCGATACTCTGTACATGTAAATACTGCTTTGTGCTTGAAGGTGACCCTAAGTGAAACTGCACAGTCATCTCTGACATGAATTGTGAGACAGACAAATACGGTATTCAGTTCATCCATCCGACTGCCGGCCCCTTTATTACTCAAACCATGCTCAAACACTAGCTGTGGCAGTCTTTGTCTAGCTGAGAGCTTACCACTTGAAGCCATGGGGCTTTGCAGTACAGACGACCCTAATTTGACAAAGGATCTGGAGTTGCGTAACCCCTTTCACCGGGTATGGAGCTAAACCCTGGAATCAACACAATGATATGCCAAACTTCTTAATTCAAGTCTGAAACATCGGCCTTCAGATGAATTATGTATTGACAGCCAATTTTACTGTCATGAATATTTTTTATTGGATACTGTTGGACATTAATGTATACACAGTATGCTTTTCCTGTACATTATACTAGTGTGAATGCACTGTTGAACTTTATTTGTTAGCTCTTTTGTCTAAACAACAGATTTGCTTGCTCAAATTTTGTACTTTTTACAAAATGTACATGTAAGTGGCCCCTGACAGCTCCAAATTGACATATTGCTAAGTTCATTATGTTAAAGTTGTTTATCTATTTTCTTCCTCCATGATCTGGCTAATGTCATCCTGTGGTTCATGCACATTTCATTACCCTGTTCGCCTAATGGCTTAAAGGGAGGGTAGATCGATCATTTGTCATTTGTTGTTGTTTTCGTTTTAAGCTACAAAATTGCTCAAAATCACAAGATGGGTGCTTAATTGACAACTCTACCTGATGAAGTTTTTGCTCTGTGAATGCTGTAGGCTTATATTCCGAGAAAAAAATATTATAGGACCTCGGTTTCTATTCAAAAGTTACCAAGTCATGTTTTGAATTGCGCCCAAAATAAGGGTCACATTCTCATTTGGCTGATTGCAGCTAAGTGATGTCACACACTGAGCGAACGAATAGTAGCAACCATGTGTCAACGCTTGCCCACACCCATCACGGATTCGCCAAATTACATGTACAAACCAACTTGTAACGGAAATTTCAAAAAAATGTGTCACTTGACGCTCTTTGGAAATGGCCTTCTTTTATTCTCTTCAAAATGACAGCATGCTAGAAAGAACAATTTCACATAGAGTTTTGTGCCGTCACTATCTTTAAACCAAGTAAGCTTTTCAACAGTAATTTTGTTAGTTACTTTTTGGATCACTGCAAATGATCTACTTTGCCTTTAAGTAAAATCAGACGTGAGTGCATAATTGCGGGACCCAGTTTGTTTGTAACGGTACCTGATCAGTTCCACGTTTTCTTGTGATGTGAATTAGTGATAGTTCACTCCCAGTGTATTACTATTAGTCTGTTCATCATTAACGATAATGGATAACTTTCCCCCTAGCAAAGGATTAATGATACACAAGTCTTCCTGTTGGTGATTCTGTTTCTACATGTATCTCAGCTTTCCAATTTACAAACTCTCCGATCTTCCTGACAACTGACAAGATAAAATCTCAATTATTCTTGCAGAAATCTGGTAGAGGCTTTGGAGAACAACATATTGAACGTCGGCTGCCCTGAAATCTAACCATGGCGGTTGATGAGGACGATCCATCGCCTAACGGAGCCATCAACAATGACAATCAAGCAGAAGAAGTCTCGGACGAGAAGACAGAGGATCAAGAAAAAGGTAAATCTTGTCCGTAAGCTTTCACTTTGTGATTTTTATTTCTAAACCGAAGCTTAACTTGTTTGTCATATTCCATTACCACTCAATTCAAATAAACACATATCGAAACGTTAATTCCATGCATTCAAATCATGGCCAGAGCAAGGACAGAATTGTGAGAATTTAAAATTGGTTGGCTACTAACTGAAGAAGTTAAACATTACAAATCAAACCAAAAAATTAAGTGAACATAAACGCATGTTCATGAAGCTGACAAAATACAAGCCTTTTGGTGATTCAGGCCCGTTGGCTTTGCATTTAATTCAATTCACCCTTTTTTGGTTATTCTGAAATGGAACAATTTTTGTTGAAGAAACAGGAATAGGAAATTGTCTTCTTTTTTTTTCCTTTTCTCAAAAAGATCTAAATCCACCAGTACCAGAGAATGGCAATGTGCCAAAGCCAACACATGAGGATGAAAACGTGGTGGATGATGCTGTAGTTGCCAAGGATACGGAAATCGAGATGAAGGAGGCGGTGGAAGGCTATGAGGAGATGGAGGGACGAGTGGTGGAGGTGGAAATGAAGACCAGACAAGTCAGCTCGCTCCAGCTGGTGAGTAGGATGGTCTAATCTAGCCTCTAGGGGGCGTCTTATATGCGCTTTTCCTGAAAAGGGTCCTTAACTTTCACTGCTACATCTAAACTGTGCTTAAAAATCACTGCTACCTCTAGAGGGCGACACACAGGATCTTGGCTTCCTCTAGAGGGCGCCACAAGATCACAGCTTCCTCAAGAGTGCAACCTCGTTCCCATGGGTACGAGATCTTGCTGCGCCATGTTGTTTCCCATCATGCCTTGCGCGATCTCAACCCCTGGAATTGTGTAATTTAAATGTGTCAAAATATGGCACATTATAATTAGGCTGCAGTTTATCCGTTTTACGCGCCGACGCCATCTTTAAAATGTTGAAAGTTGTGTTTTTGAAGAATCAATGCTTTCAAACATAAGGTTTGGACGTTGCGTTAATTAGCAAAGATTTGTATTAAAGGTACGTACCCCATTCGTCCCTTTACAACTGCAGATACAGGTTTTTTTATAGCGAAAAACGAGGCTGCCATAATCCATATCGTACAGGCATCACGCAGTTTTGAATATTCGTACGTGACGTGACGTGCAAAGTACGCGAGTGCATGGTGGGCGCGCCCGGCGTGCAATCTTCGAAATGCCCGCGCAGTACGCTCTCAATAGCCAGTCAGCATCGTTTATGTGTACATCACAGCCAGGGGTTAGTGAAGGAACGCGCACGCGCCCATGGAGTCGAGGCTGTCAAGAGTGTGCTGCACTCTAGAGGGCGCTATAGAAAAATTGCTACCACTAGAGGGCACCACAAGATCACTCTTCCCTCAAGAGGACGTGGCAAGGCCACTGCTACCTTAAGAGGGCGCTGCAAGATCACTGCTACCTCTAGAGGGCGCTGCAAGATTTACTGCTTCCTCTAGAGGGCGCTTCAAGATCACTGCTTCCTCTAGAACGCGCTGTATTATCACTGCTGAGGGCACTGCAAGATCACTACTACCTCTTGAGGGAACTGCAAGATGTAATTTTAAATTTTTTTTTCATTAATTAATGTTCTCTTTCGTTTCCCTGTAGTTCCGGTTTGCCGGTCCCTTTGAGATCTTGCTCATCGTCCTCGCCATCGTCTTGTCGTTTGCCCAGGGCATAGCCCTTCCATTGGTCCTCTTCTTCTTCGGCAGGGTGACCGACTCGTTCATCGATGTCGGCCAACAGACATACGCTATGAACCAGAACCGAACTGCGGGATCAGCTGAGTGAGTATAATTCCAACCTCATGTTGCGCTTGCACAGGAGTTAAGCTTAAGTAGATCCATGCCTGAAATAATGAGGGCGCTCAACAAAACGAAATGGAAGTTACAGATGCTTACTTTCATCTTTAGCCTTGTTTAGCTGTTTTACTCTTGATTAATCAAAGCGTGTTTACCAGAGGAGGAAAAGTTCGTATTTTTCTCCTTCCCTCACATTAGCTGCCCGTTCTTTGACGTTTCCATCATCGTCAACTTCTCCGGCTACTACGCCATTCTGGGCGGCATTATCATGGTAGTGGCCTACCTGCAGAACATGCTGTGGAACCTGTCGGCCGAGCGTCAGATCCACAAGATCCGGCTCCGGTTCTATCAGGCCATCGTCCGGCAGGAGATTGCGTGGTTCGACACCCACAAGGCCGGCGAGCTGACCACTCGAGTGTCAGAGTGAGTTTGTTATCGTTGATTTTTGAAGTACAAAACACGCCTGTTTTTTACACCTCTGAGCGTCAGCAACCTTTTAACCATTACCAACATTTGCCATAAGCCCCGCCCACCTTTGACAGTAAGCCCACCCACCTTTGGACGTAAGCCCCACCCACCTTTGACCATAAATCCCACCCACCTTTGACCATAAGCCCCACCCACCTATGACCATATAAAGCCCCACCCACCTTTGACCATAAGCCCCACCCACCTTTGACCATATAAAGCCCCACCCACCTTTGATCATATAAAGCCCCACCCACCTTTGACCATATAAAGCCCCACCCACCTTTGACCATATAAAGCCCCACCTACCTTTGTCCATAAGCCCCGCCTTCTTTTTACCATAAGCCCCGCCCACTTTTAATTTTTTGTACATTTAGAATAAGATTGTGACCAAGATTGACCGAGCTACCGTGGTCACCCGACCAAAAAGTCACGATCTCATTGGCCCACGATTAAAATTCACTGTTTGACCAATATTTTTTTTCTCTTCTGCAGGGACGTTGACAAAATCCGGAACGGATTCGGCGACAAGCTTGGCCTGCTGTTGCAGTACATGGGGACCTGCGTTGGAGGCATCGCGTTAGGATTCACCAAATCCTGGAAGCTGACGCTCGTCATCTTGGCTGTTGCCATTGTCATCATGGTGCCTTCCATTGCTCTCGGTGTCAGGGTAAGCCAACTGTTTTTGTTTTTGTAAATTTTTTTGTCTTCTTTGTTCTTCTATCTACCATCCCTAGCAAACTCATTCTACTCATAAGATAGAATTTTGCGTCGGGGTGATGTAAATCAAAGTAGGTTTTGCCGTTCACCGACATATAAACACTGTATACTCAGTGTGTTACCTCCCGAGTGAAAGTTGGAAAAATCACTCGGGTGGGACTCGAACCCACAACCTCCTGCTTTCTAGTGCAGACGTATTACCACTTGACCTGAGCTAAGGAGATCGGTTGGCTGGTTCTAATCTCATGTACATAGCAGCGGGTACCGCATAAACTATTCATAAGATGGAATTTTGTGTCGGGGTGATGTAAATCAAAGTAGGTTTTGCCGTTCACCGACATATAAAAACACTGTATACTCAGTGTGTTACCTCCCGAGTGAAAGTTGGAAAAATCACTCGGGTGGGACTCGAACCCACAACCTCCTGCTTTCTGGTGCAGACGTCTTACCACTCGACCTGAGCTAAGGAGCTCATTTTGACACCGACTTTGGCTAGATAATGAAAACAAAATGATAAAAGGACAAAGTCTGATTTGTTCAAAATATATTCCTAGAAATCCCAATGTTCCGTTCACTGTGAAAAATGTTAAGCTCCTTAATTTTTTTTGCTCTAATTAAAAACTCCAAATAACAAAATCAATTATTTTTTTAAAAAGCTGGAAAATTACAAGGGTTCAAGAAAGCTTTATGGACTAGACAATTGTAAAAATAATAAAGCGATTACTCATGGTGGGAAAAAAGCATGAAAAAACTTAGTGCCATTAGGCCCCCCCCCCAAAAAAAGTCTCCGGTTTCTGGTATGGAGTTTGCCCAAAAAGTGGTGCGGGGATGCGGCTTTTTTTTTTTCTTACCGCTTTTTTTTCTTCAATTGTTGGCTGATGACTGCAAATGGTGCCCGGCTAAACTTAGTGCAAATATATGTGAGTCCAGAGAGGCCACATAAAGCTTATTCTCGATCATAACCCCATCTAAAAACATGTTAAAATTGTGCAGCAGCAGGATTCCAGTCAAACCAGTGAGTTTGGCGGTTTTGAGACATCTTTCATTAAAAAAAACACCTTTTTCATTTTGCCGATGCACATGGCTACGGCGACGCGCGAGCACACCAGAAACCGGAGACTTTTTGGGGGGCCTTAGGAAATTTTTGAGTAGTCGTACTGTAAATATATTTCGTTACTCGCCCAACTTTCAAGGGTTGTTAAGCCAGATTTTGCAGATTTTAAACGATTTGGGAAGGATTAAGATTTGATTTAAGGTTTTTCCTTTTTTCGTTTTCGTTTTCGTAGCTGATTCGAAAGCTGGCCCAGAATGCTTTGAATGCTTACGCTAAGGCCGGAGCCATCGCGGAAGAAATTCTGTCATCCATCAGAACAGTGGCAGCATTCGGGGGTGAAAAGAAAGGACTGGACAGGTAGGTTATGAAAAGTCTCTGAATGGAACTTGAACGGTTCTAAAAAGAACCGAAAGATTCTTTAAAGAACCAAACATTTATGACAAAAGCACAAGGCTCTGAGAAAAACTGAAAAGTCTAAAAATGAACAGAGAATCAAAAAGGTTTTAAAAAGAATAAAAAGTCTCTGGAAAGAACCATTGACATACAAATTCTGAACCGGTTCTTACAAGAACCGAAAGATTCTTTAGAGAACCAAATGTTTACGACAAAAGCACAAGGCTCTAAAAAAAGAATTGAACAGAACAGAGAAGCTCTGAGACTATAAGGGATCAAAAGATTTTGAAAAGAACAAAAAGTCTTTGGAAAGTACCAAAAACAGAAAAAAAATCTGAATGGTTCTAAAAAGAACCAAAAGATTATTTCAAGAACCAAATGTTTATGACAAAACAAAAAGCTCTGAGAAAATCCAAAAGGTCTTGAAACGAATAGAGAATCTGTTTTTTCAGTACAAACATACTTTGTCAGTTTTCCCATAGTGAAATTACATTTTGATTTGCATTCTGGGTAGGTACACCGAAAAACTGCATGGTGCTAAGAAGCAATCGATGAAAAAAGACACCGTACAAGCGGGACTGATCGGTGTGTTTTACTTCAACTTCTACGGCACGTACGCCTTAGCTTTCTGGTAAGTTGGATCACGACTATCACAGTTTTAAAGGTTTGCTTACTACCTATTGTGGAGTGTGCTATACGATCTTTGCCTACTACAATGGCGACACTGACTTTCCGGTTCCTTGATGTGGGTCAGTGGGAGGACCCTATTTAATAATTTTTTTGGTACCTTATTAACGTTAAAGGAAAACTTTTAAAAAAAGTCTAAAAAAACAATTTTTTTTTGTTTCTTGATTTCTTCTTTTTTACAGGTATGGTTCAACTCTGTTCCTTTCTGGTGAACTGAGCCCGGGAGATATCATTGTGGTACGTGTGAAATAGAACTTTACTTGACAGATGTCATTTCAGTACGCATGAAATAGTCTTCACCACTGGGGCTAATTTCCTGAAGCAGAAAATATCACTTAGCAAATTAACATGCTAAAGCAAAAATCAGCTGACATCCAATCACAAGCATAATGCATCATGTGATGCGTCATGTGATGTATCATGTTTGCTAAGCACTGTTTCCATGTTTCAATGGTAGGTCCATGAGACTAGTACCCTGATCATCAATTATGCCATGAAATTGTTTTCTTGTTTTTCTAAAGTGTTTTCTTGGGATCCTGTTCGGTGCCTTCTCCCTCGGCCAGGGAACGCCCTACATCACTGACTTCATCACAGCCAGGGGAGCGGCAAGCACCATCTGGGAGATTATTGACCAGGTAAACCCAGAAGTCCCCCCACCCCAACCCCCCCCCTCCAAAAAAAAAACCCCACCAAATGCTTAGAAAATAGCAATGAACTGAGAAATAGGATCCAACAACCAAAACTGCGTAAACATTGAAACCCCGAAACAAAAGACAAAAAAAACCAGCAAAAACCTGAAAAAGCAAACAAATTCCAAAAATTAACGGACTAAAACCAAACAAAAGAAGGGAAGAATAGTAAGAATTTGGTAAAGATTTACAAAAAGAAAAGAAGCCCATTATTCTTCCTCACAAATACCTCTTCAATAAATATTGTATACTAGTTTATACTTTCCTTAAGAATATTCCCCTATGGAATATGTACCTTATTTGTTCCGGATATTGAGCTTGGTCCGAAACAAGACACTAGTCTGCTTGTACTTCCCCCCACACTTCAACTATTCCCCTTACCTCTTTATATTTACCTTTATATATTTGCCCTAAGTTAAATATATTCCCTCTTTGAAGGTTCCGGATATAGACAATTCATCAGATCTGGGTCTGAAACCAGACTCACTGACGGGGGACATCACGTTTGAGAATGTCCACTTCTGCTACCCGTCCAGACCTGACACAACGGTAAAAATATCTAAAGAGTACTTATTTAGACTTTTTAAATATTTCTTTTCTATTGGGTTGCCTCCTCAAAACTGCATCGGAGCATTATTTCCCCCATCTTGAAAACTTTGGTTTTGTTTTAAAGGTAGAGGAGATCATTTCCAAAAGGTAACTTATTATTGTTAAAAAGCTTAATTGGTTTAAAGATAGTAATGACACTAAACTCCCTGTGAAATTATTCCTTCTGGCATGCTGTCATTATGAAGAAAACAATAACAGAAGGTCATTTCCAAAGATGTGTCATGTGACACACTTGTGGTAATTTCCATCAGTAGCTTTGGTATGTTATTGGGTGAGTCCGGGAATGGATGCGCGCAACCGTAGCTATTATTTGTCGGTTCAGTGCGTGACGTCGCATAGCTGCAGTCAGCTGAATGAGAACGTGTTTCAGATGCTGATTTCGAGTGCAATTCAAAATCTGACTAGGCAAGTTTTGAAATGAATTCGAGATCCTAGAATATTGTTTTCCTCGGAATATAAAGCATTCACAGAGCTAAAACTTCATCAGGTTTAGTTGTTAATTAAGAACCCGTCTTTGGATTTTGAGCACTTTTGTTGCTTAAAACAAACAAAAATGCACTGACAAATAGTCTACCCTCCCTTTAATAATCAACCCCGCTCTGCAGAAATTGTTACCTGACAGCCGTCTTCTGGTGTTGGAATTTGAAGGATTCATTCTTATTTTAATTAAAAGTTTAATCAAATTATAGGTTTTGCCCTTCACCGACGTTTAAACACTGTATACTCAGCGTGTTACCTCCCGAGTGAAAGTTGGAAAAAATCACTCGGGTGGGACTCAAACCCACGACCTCCTGTTTTCTAGTGCAGATGTCTTACCACTCGATGAAGGGCAAAACCAATCATTTGATTCATATCACCCTGACGCAAAATTCCATCTTATAAAAGTTTAATGTTTGATCAATGGATTTTGTTAGGTCCTGAATGGTTTGAACCTAGAGGTCAAGCGAGGTCAAACCGTAGCATTGGTCGGAAGCAGTGGATGTGGCAAGAGCACCACAGTGCAGCTTGTCCAGCGATTCTACGACCCTCTCTCAGGATGTGTAAGTTCTCCCCCTCCTTCCCCCCCCCTCCCCCCCCCCCTCCCCCCCCAAAAATAAAATATAAAAAAAGTAAAATTAAAGGGAAGATACAACATTTGCAAACATCAAAAAACGAAATGATCAAATTGTCACGAAATATCTCACTGGATTGTTAGGGAATGACAGCCTAAAGCATCCTTAAAAGTTGCGGCTCCTGGTGTGCTGACATTTTCAAGAAATAGTGTATTTTTCCAACGCTGGTCGGCCGACCAGTGTTGGAGAAAACTGGCTTTTTTCATATTTCGCTCCTAATTTTTCATATATAGTTCATCTACGTTTTCTTTGCAATTGATTACACACCTGTGAAGACTACAAGCCTGCTAGACTAATTATCATGATCTTACAATTCCCCAAAGTCTATAAATTGCTCCGGTTCATCTTAAGTGGCGTCAGGGAACCAGACTACAAGAATATGATTGGTTTTCTTGGTTTTTCCAGCATCTACGAACCCAAAACGTGAAACAAGTCAGTGAAACAATATTTGCTGTAACATACTAATCCTCCAAATCCATTTATTTCTGAAAATTGCAGAAAAAGCAAATGTTGTACATTCCCTTTAAGTAAGACATCTGTATTATCTTTCTTTCAACCCCAAAAACAAGCTTTTTTAAAATGGGAATTAAGATTTGGTCTAACTTCTCATTCACAGCCAAACGTTTTTCGTATTTTGACCCGTTCTCAAATCTTACATGAGTCAAATCTTGTGATAATAGTTCTGAATAACTTCTCAAGTCGGCAGAATCACAAAATTAACACAGATATTGAGAAACGTAGAGGGTGCCAGTGTAAGTCTAGATATGTTAAATGGTAACGACTGACATTGTGTTGAAAAATGTTTGCGGGTCCGAATCCATGTCGGTCAATTTGGGCGATTCACAATGCAGTGCGCCACCAAGAGTTTGCCATGGAGAGTCTATTTTTCAACTTTACGGTCGACAAAACACGGCTCATTTGAACGAGTGTCTGTATACAACTTGAGCTAATTTGTTATAGATTGATGCATAGCATTCTGCTGTATTAGGCCAAAAAACAACATAAATTGATAAAAATGAAAAGAAAAGGACAAACAGATACTCGAATCATACGCTTACGAAACTACTAGCCGGAAAAACTAACAATTTTATATCTCCAGCACTGCCAATTTGTTGACCATCTCCCACAATGCACTGCAAAAAATGAACTCTCCGTGGCAAACTCTTGGTGGCGCACTGCATTGTGAATCGCCCGAATTGACTTTTTTATTATTTTCAAAAGTTGAATCAGTATTGTGTGTAAGTAGAAAATAGTCAAAAACATTTAGGTACGATGTATTCTGTGTTTCCATGGTCAGGTCAAGCTTGACGGTAACGACCTTCGCGACCTCAACGTCCGGTGGTTGCGGGAGCACATCGGCGTGGTCAGCCAGGAGCCGGTGCTGTTCGCCACGACCATCGCGGAAAACATCCGCTACGGTCGGACGGACGCGACAGACGAGGACATCAAAGCGGCTGCGATTGAGGCTAACGCTCACGACTTCATCTCTGAACTTCCAGAGGTAAGATATATAAAGCTATAAATAGCCGGCAAAGTAAACCAAGTTTAAAGGGACAGTCATGTTTAATTTCAGAAATGCATAGAGATGTTAAAGTCGCTGTGATTCAAGTCAGTGCTTGTAAAGGTTCCATTAAAAGTTAAAGGGGCAGTCAGCTTACAACAGAATTAAAAGAGGCAGTCACATTGAAATAAGCAACTTTGCCTTTACCTATCCTTCTAAAAGTTGGACAACTATTACAGTAAAACACCCTGCATAAGGACACAAGCATCAGTCCATGGTTTTGAAATGCATTTCCAAAACTTCATAGAGCCAGTCATTTTGCAATAAGCAACTCGGCTTCCACAGTCTTTGTTTCTCCTGCAATTATAGAACAACAATTGATGTAAAATGTCTTGCATAAGGACACAAGTGTTCCAATTCTATTCAAGACACTGCAACATTTTAAATGGATTTTTTTTTATGACACAACCAACTGTACCATAACAGTTTGTGCATTTTATGTTTTCAGGGATATGAGACTTTGGTCGGCGATCGCGGAGCCCAGCTCTCCGGCGGCCAGAAGCAGCGTGTGGCCATCGCGAGGGCGCTAGTCCGTAACCCCAAGATCCTCCTGCTGGACGAGGCAACCTCAGCCCTGGACACCGAGAGTGAGGCCACGGTCCAAGCCGCACTGGACAAGGTAAAGCTGCTCTCCTCAACATTTTGAGTTATTGGCTCTGTGCGGGCACCATTGAGGGCGCTATTTCCATAACCGTCAATGAGTAAAGGTTCTAGAAATCCCTTCTTTTTCTTTCAATTAGGTTCAAGCCGGACGCACCACCATCGTCATAGCTCACCGCCTCTCCACCATCCAGAACGCCGACGTGATTTGCAGCTTCCGAGGCGGGGTTATCGCGGAGAAGGGTTCCCACGATTCCTTGATGCAGGACAAGGAGGGGTTGTACGCCATGCTGGTGCAGCTGCAGTCCCGCAAGGAGCAGAAGACTGAAGAAGACGAAGACAAGAAACAGGAGGAGAACGTCGACGACAATGATGATGATGACGAAGATGAAGAAAAAGGTGAGATCGTAGTCATTATTGGTTGAAAAGTGAAGTGGATTTGGAACCCTTGACCTTCGGAATGATGCATTGGTGTGGTACCAATCTGTCCAGCCCCATGTTAATTGTGTTCTGATTTGTCTTTGAAAAGAGAGATTCTAACCCGTGCCTGCTTGTGTGTAGCACCGGTGCACTACCAACTGAGCTAATCAGCCCAGTCAGTGGTACTCATTTTGTAAAAACAAATTGAAGAGGGAATTGGAACCTATGACCTCCGGAATGCAGCTCTAGTGCATTACCCAATGAGCTTTCCAAAGTCTGTGTTGGCAGTTCCGCGATTTATCACAAAATGAAAAGAGGACTCGAATCTGTTACCTCTAGACTTAAGCATTGGTGTGCTACCAACTGAACAAGCCAGCTGTATGTTGGCTGGCTTGCAATGTGTCAAATTGAAAAAGAAAGGGGATTAGAACTTGTGTCTTTTGGAGTGCCACACTTGTGCACTACCAACTCTGTCAAGCCAGGTGTTAGTCTTTCAAATTTCTCACAGAATAATCAAGGAGAATTCGAACCCGTGACTTCCACAATGCTACCCCGGTGCATTACCAACAGAGCTTTACAGCCCGATGTTGGCATTTACCAACTTTGTCAGTTTCTTTTTGTGTGTGTGGGGTGTTATTTTCATCGATACCGCAATTGATCCAATTTTTCTTTGCCTTTGAATTGTTCATATATTCTGTGAAATATTTAATCCAACATTCTCACTGGAAAACAGTAACTTCGTCAGTACAAGGCCCGCCGAAATCTCCCGGAATTGTTGAGGTTGAAACGGCCGATGTCCACGGTATGGTGCCCCAATCGATGCACAACTTACCCTCGTACTTGTATTGCACCTTCATGATTTTGAGCCTCTTCTAACCCCCCTTTTCAAGAGTAGTTTGTGTCGAAAGTTAGCAACTTTTTGAAAAACAAGGGGCACTTGTGGTGTGCAGTGTGTACCTTTGGTATTGAAGTGTTTATCCTTTCCCTTTTTTCGTCGCCCAGTTTCGTGAAACCTTCTCATATTCACCAGGATCATAAGCACTTATCACTGCAAAGAACGTGCTTAACAACATTAGAGACCAGAATATTCTTAAATTAGTTATTTAGAATTTGAATACCACATGGTTCAAACGTTTGCAAGGCTACAAGGTATATACTTGAAGTCACTTCGGATCATGTGCATTTTTTTGTTTGTTTCCAATCATAGCACCACTCAAAATCCAAACAAGAATGTCCAAAGCCTAACCTGTTGAAGTTTCAGCTCAGTGGATATTACACTTTTAGGGAAAACAGTGAAAAATCAAGCACAAACTACTGACCAGGAAACACAATTTTATCATATCACTCTGTTTTTTTGGAAATCACCTACATTTCTTGATTTCTTCAAACGACAGCAAGCCAGACGGAATAATTTCACAGGGTGTTTTATCAGTATGATATTTGGATAATATCCAAGTAAGCTTTTTGTTAATAATTTGGTGGGTTACGTTTTGGATAAATGCGATGAGATTCCTGCGATATTTATCACAATATTTCTGCCATCGGTTAGCCGCGCCATGAAATTGATTTTCCACACTTGTGTATTTATTATTGAAATAAGTTCAGAGGCCGACCACGTTTTTGTTCTTAATTGGCTGGGGGAGGGGGTAATCTTGGAAAGGGATGCACAGAATGTGCTAATTGAAAAAAAAATAAGCGAAAGTTTGTGAGATCTGTTACAAACTGGGTTCCAAAACCTGGAGACAAAATGGCTGCCACATGAAACGCCACAGATTTTACACATTCGATTCACTTTGTGTCCAAATTTCAACTCTCCATTGTTAACAGTTCAAGTTATTTGCGTGTTCTTGACTAATTTTCCTCCATACTATTCCGTGACACTCCATCTGACAATTTCTAACCCATTATTTCTCTAACAAGACCGCCTAAGTGAGGAGGAATTTGACCCAATACCAGGTAGGGTATCCACAGTAATGCATGCATGGTGAATATTTTGTATCATTTTTTGGGGTAGCTAGGGAGTTCCCTTGTAGAGTTGCATGCAAACTAATTTTTCTGTTTTTCAGTTTTTGTTGTTGAGTTTAGTTCGTAGTTACAAGCAAACCTTAGGTTTTTCCTGTTTTGTTTTTGGAGTGTCTCAAAATTCGGAACAACCTGATATTAACAGGGGCATTTACTAAACTACGGTTTTATTATATGAAACCGTGGGTTGCTGATGGTTTGAATATTGTAAATGATTTTAAAAGTTCAGGTGAAGCTGAATCTGAAATGGATTCCGGGGTTTGGAAACTGCCCAGGTTTCCCATGGAAACACAATGGGAATACTGTTTTCCTTTACAGGGAAGGACTGTTTTCCAAAAGGAGTTTTCCAATGGGAGTAGGAATGTTCCCAATTTTGACACATTCCTTTTTTTCCTTTTTTTTTTATGGCTTTTTGGTTCTGTTTCATGCTGTGAACGACTGTTAACGGCTGAAACATGTACCCTAGTTGCCTGGTAACCAGCTACGCAAATTTCAAATTGGCCAATCATAGTTCAGATTATAAGTTAATGTGGTGATATACTGGTAGTATTTATCCGTTATAGAAATATATATAGTGATATAGAAATACGCAGTTGAATTTGTTTTCTCATAATTGATTGAGAATTTTATTATTTTTTCTTTAAGTATTTCTAATTGTAGATTTTTGAGCATTAATCACCAATATTTGAGACAATTTCAATCATTCAGTTTCTTCCTGGTACATTCCCCAATATTAGAAATAAAATCAATATTCTGGAGCACAATAAGCTAACATATGAATTTTTAATTTAATTATTTCTGTCATTTTTTTCTTCAGAGTTTAGCTTAGATGATGGCACTGAAATAACGTCTTTCAGAGAATCCGTGTTCAGTAATTTCGATTGGAAAGTTATGTTTATTCATAAAAAAAGAAAAATGATGGCACACCAGCATGAAGTCAACTAGTTAAAAAGCATTTCAAAGAATGGCTATTGTCGAGCTGCCATAGTAGCCTACCGGTAGTGGGTAGTAAGTTGAGCTATGGATTGAGAGATCCCTGGTTCGAATCCACAAATACCCATTTTTTTCAACTAATATTTTTCTTCTCCAAATTTATCGTTGGGATAGTTTTAATTTAAGTGAAAAGAAGCGTCCGAGAACTTAAGTGTCTTGCAGTGATCTCATCGAAACTACAAAACACAGGTTCTCTGAGAAACGTTCGCAAAGAAGGAAATACCGATCTGCTTGATTTTGTAAGGATTTAGGAGAGTTAGAGTTAATGCAATGCCAAGTTTGTTTGAAAATGGTAAAAGTTAAGGTAAACAGCAATTTTGTTTGTAGCATAGCTTTTCTTTTAACTGTCTGCAGCACTATGTAGTCACGTGTGGGCATTCTTCGTTCCAGCTGCAAGAACATTTCAAGTAATATTTCAAAACAGACACAAGTTGATACCTTTTGCTAATTTTATTGGGTCAGGGTCCAAGGAAGCCCAGAATGTAGAGAAGGAACCACTGTCTAGTCCTGGCTCTCGAAATCGGAACATTTCTGGCTCAAGCGACAAAAACCCAGACTTCAACCGCATGGTGTCGACACATTCCGCTTTCTCAGATGTTCCAGATTCCGAGGTTTGTAATTGTTGACGTCTTTGTAGTCAGTGGAATTTTATTTTTTACAGATTTTAATTCTTTAAAGCAAGAATCAACTTCTTAGCATCAGAAATGTCATTTTCCAAGATGTGAACTGAAACGGCCACGGGGCATGGCAGTTTCTCATATGTAAAAGTTTTATGGTGTGAACATTTGCGTGTGAAGTATTAAAGGGAAGATACAACATTTGCAAACATCGAAAAACAAAATGATCAAATTATCACGAAATACCTTACTGGATTGTAAGGGAATGACAGTCTAAAGCATCCTGTAAAATCGTGTCTCCTAGTGTGCTGACATTTTCAAGAAAATGTGTATTTTTCCAATGCTCGTCGGCCGACCAGCGTAGGAGAAAACTGGCTTTTTCAAAAACCGCTCCGAATTGTTCATAACAGTTGTGTTCCGCATTTTCTTTGCAATTGATTACACACATGTGAAGGGGTACAAGCCTGCCAGACTGATTCTCTGACCTTACAATTTCCCAAAGTCTATAAGTTTCTCTGTTTCATCTTAAGTGGATCAGGGGACCAGACTACAAGAACATGATTGGTTTTCTTGGTTTTTCCAGCATCTACAAGCCCAAAACGTGAAACAAAATCAGTTTAACAATATTTGCTATAACATACTAATCCTCCAAATCCATTTATTTCTGAAAATGGCAGCAAAAGCAAATGTTGTAGATTCCCTTTAAATTAATTGGGCTCAATGTTTGTCTTTAGAACTGTATGTTATTCTTCATCCAACATGTCTGATTTTTTTTTCAAAATAAAAATAAATTGGTCTCTTTAAGACAACACTTTTGTTTTGTAGATCTATTCCATTGCGGTTTAGGGGAAGCAGACAATTTTCATTTGGAAAAAAAAAAGAATAACATTTGTTTTCGCAGGATGATGAAGAGGACGTTGTGAAGAATTTCAGTTTCTTGCGAGTCATGAAGCTGAATTCGCCCGAGCTGGCCTACATGATCATCGGGGTGATCTGCTCCGCTTTCAGCGGTGGGGTGCAACCGGCGTTCGCTGTTATCTTCAGTCGTGTTCTCCAGGTAACGAAAAGAGTGTTTATCATATTGCATTGTGGGGAAAAAAGCGTTCCGGATTTTAACGTAAGTCGAGTTACGCATCATGCATTAGTGCACGCTTGTCAAACTTTTTGGTGGAGACCTTTGAATGTGCACAATTTTTGCTTACCACAGAAAAGTATATGCTTAGTGAGATTAGGTTACCAGCCAAAGTACCATTTATTTACTGTTTGCTACCGGTACCCAGCCAATATTTGCTCAGCAAGAAACTTTGAGTTTGAATATTAGTATAAAATTGCCGTTATTTTTTACGTCTTAGACAAGAAACATTTACGTGCATTGATCTTGCTTAGTTTTCATGGTTTTTGTTTATTTTATTTCCCCTTTAGACTTTCGCTTTGCCGTTGGATCAAGTGAGAGCCCAAGTTGTGATCTACTGCATCCTCCTGTTCAGCCTTGGTGTTCTTGCGCTGATTGCCAATGTATTAGGGGTAAGTTTACAATCCAATTGAAAAATTAACCATATTATCGTTAGGAGTTATTCCTCACGAATCCCTGAAACAGGATAAAGTAAAACGCCACCAAATGACCCCAGGCACCAACAGTAGAGTGCCGTAGAGTGCCCTTATGGTCCGGAGCATTTTATAATGTGGGTGGCATGGGTGGCTTGTGCGTAAAGCGCTCACCTCTCACCAAGGTGACCACGGTTCGAATCCTGGCCGCGGATCACATGTGAGTAGAGTTGTGCGTTGGTTCTCTCCTGCGCCATGAGGGTTTTTCTCCGGGCCCTCCGGTTTTCCTCCCTCTGGAAAAATCAAACACTTTCAATCTCAGGCTGTGCTCCGTGGTCATATACGGGTCGATGTGGCCGGCAGCCATAGGCGCCTTTACGTGCCAGCGGCCCGACCACGTTGTAGCCGCGTCCTTCGCAATTCAGCATACCAGCTGCGAGTAAGGATGATTAGCCTCCCAAATTATTATATTATTATTATTATTATTATAACTCGTGGTCTGCGGGTAATTCTGTAGGTTGTGGGTTCGAGTCCAGCCTGGGTTTGTGGTACGTATGCCCTTGGGCAAGGCACTTTGTCACTCATTGCTTCTCCCCACCCAGGAGTAAATGGGTACCTGTGAGGGCACGACCACTGTACTGAATAATCTTTTTTTGACCCCAATATCCCGTTTCTCAAACACGCACCCACACCACTATAAATTACTAGCGCCCATTGGATAAACACTCAAGTTACGTTATTTTCCAGTTCCAGTGGTTCCAATGCAACTTATTGGCCAGTGGGCGTGGTTTAAACTGAACTGATTAGGCCAAAAAAATAGTAGTTCTGCTTCCGGTGTACCCTACCTACCCTATTTTGACAGCCCCTACCCTAAAATGAGGAAAAAACCCTGAAAATCATAAATTAACTACCTTTTACCCTTGACTACACGCAGACACCTCCATATGATAGTACACACAAAAAATTGTCCCCCCCCAAAAAAAATTTCCCTACCTACCTACCTTATTGTCAAATGCCATGTAATCGGAAACAGAAATATTTTTTTTTGGCCTTACTAGCGCCCATTGGATAAACACTCCAGTTGCGTTAACTTCTGGTTCCAGTGGTTCAAATGCTACTCATCATTGGCTTAAAATTTTCAGAAATGAACTATTTGAGGGGTTAGTATAATAGATCAAATATTGTTACACTGACATGTTTGAAGTTTTGTGTTCGAAAATGCTTGAAAAACCAAGAAAAACACAACTGTTTATGTAGTCTGGTTCCCTGACTCCACTAAAGATAAAATGGATCAATTATAGATGTCGGAAAATTGTAAGATAAGGGAACCAGTCTAGCTGGCCTGCACCCGTTCATGAACATGTAACCAATAGCAAACAAAATTTGGACTGAAAAAAAAAATTGTAAATTTGGAGCAGTAGTTGAAAAATAGTTAGGTTTTTCCTGCCAACCACCGTTGGAAATGTATACAAAAATACCATTTTCTTGAAAATGACTCGACACCAGGTGCCATAATTATACAGGATGCTTTAGACTGTCATTAACCAACATCCTATTAAGGTATTTCGTAAAAACTTGGTAGTTTTATTTTTCGATGTTTGCAAATGTTGTATATTCCCTTTAATAGCCAGTGGGCGTGGTTAAAACTGAACTGACGTCACACTAACAAACCGGGTAGTGGCATTCTATTCTACCATTGTGTGTATTTGTCTTTGTCTTTTCAGGGCGTGTCGCTAGGCAAGTCGGGCGGGAACCTGACAATGCGACTGCGGGGCATGATGTTCAAGGCAATGCTTCGACAGGTAACAGCTCACTATAAAAAACCTCAATTTTTAGGGTTTTTTTCTGATTTCAGTAGTTGAAAACTATGTAGCTATGGATCGCTGCAAATGATATACTCTACCTTTAATTCTTCAGTCACTTTTTTCGTTGAACTTTATAAAAAACAATGTTTTTGGTGACTAACAATGATCTGGTAGGATATCGGCTGGTACGACGACCACAAGAACAGTAGCGGAGCACTGACCACCAGGCTGTCCACGGAAGTTTCGCTGATTCAGGGGGTGAGTCCACTTGAAAGCAATCCTCAACAGAAGTTCCCGATTGTTACAATGAATGACAATAAAATTGAGTTTTGAACAAGCTCGAAATGATCGCGGAAGCTGCGGGCCAATGAGTTTGTGTTTGTACATGTGTAACTTCTGCCCAGTCTGTATGAGATAGATGGCGCTCTTGCATAGTGTAAACGTTATGCTTGCATCTTGTACACATCATGCTTGCATAGTGTACACGTCATGCTTGCATAGTGTGCACGTCATGCTTGCATGGTGTGCACGTCATGCTTGCATGGTGTGCACGTCATGCTTGCATGGTGTGCACGTCATGCTTGCATAGTGTGCACGTCATGCTTGCATAGTGTGCACGTCAGGCTTGCATAGTGCGCACGTCACGCTTGCATAGTGCACACGTCACGCTTGCATAGTGCGCACGTCACGCTTGCATAGTGCGCACATCACGCTTGCATAGTGTGCACGTCATGCTTGCATGGTGTGCACGTCATGCTTGCATCTTGTACACATCATGCTTGCATAGTGTACACGTCATGCTTGCATAGTGTGCACGTCATGCTTGCATCGTGTGCACGTCATGCTTGCATAGTGTGCACGTCAAGCTTGCATAGTGTGCACGTCATGATTGCATAGTGTGCACGTCACGCTTGCATAGTGTGCACGTCACGCTTGCATAGTGTGCACGTCACGCTTGCATGGTGTGCACGTCATGCTTGCATAGTGTGCACGTTATGCTTGCATCGTGTACACGTTATGTCTCTGGCATTAAAATAAAGGATTTCCCATTTGTTGAACGTCACAATGCAAACTTGACGTCGATAATGCAAGTCTGTCGGCCCTCCCTTGAGGGCCATAAACCTGGCACAGTGCCTCAAGCAGGAGCTGGCTAACGCTCAGATGTGCATTATAGTGCACAGATGTGCATTATAGTGCACAGATGTGCATTCCAACGTTTGTTACTAACTAACTAACCCACTGACTAACGGAGAGACACTAGTACTTGTAGAGCTGCTATCCGAAGCTAAAAACTAATACAATGTTTATTACATTAGTACGTCGGAGGGTGTCAAATTCTGTAATCTACAACCACGCTGACTTTCATAAAGTCTGTGGAAACTGTTTCATATGCCTCCTTAGCTCAAAAAATGGAACTTTTATGGTAAAAAGGACTTTGAAATGTTCTCAAATCAGTCGGCATGAGAGGATCTTGTTGTGTTAGGTTTATGGAACTGGTTGGGTACTTTTTAAAGGTGAACCTTTTTTTTTGGAAAATGGCCTTTTGATCAATTAAGACTTTTTTTTAAAGGTGACCATTTTCTTTCTGAAATGAATCATGGATTTTTTGGGGGTTTGAATTTTAAAGGTTGCTGGTTCTCATATTTTTTTTAACGGTGACAATGCTTTTTTTGTCTTTAAAGGTGACCGGTGACCGGTTCGGCTTCATCGCCCAGGCCTTCTTCAACATCGGCGTGGCCGTCATCATTGCGTTCATCTTCGGCTGGCAGCTGACGTTACTTGTACTGGCCTTCCTCCCTATGATTGCCTTCTCGGGCCTCATCCAGACCCGGTTCCAACGGGGTATGGCTGCCACCAAGAAATCCAGCAACGAGAACATTGGCAAGGTCAGGATTCTAAGACTGATTAACATGCTTACGGCTTATGAATCACACACGTGCTTATGGGAGTGGCTGTAGTCACTATCCATAGACACGTGTGTCTAGTAGCCGTAGCCTTAAGTCATAACGCAGCTTCAAAATCTCACATGGCTGGCACAGCATGTATTGGGAGTAGCCACATGTATTCTGGTGTAGCATACATATAAGGTGGTAGTAGCCACATGTTTTAAATTTGTTTTTAGCATTATTTTTTTCTTTTTCAATTCTGTACCCAGTCGTAAAACGTATCATGGTCTTCTTTACTCATCCTCACGAGAGGCAATTTTGCATTGCAGTGTAATTATTTTAATGCAACCCTTAAAATATGCACCTTTGTATCCCATTGAAAATGTAGTTTCAATTTTTGTTTTGCCATTTTCAAGGATAGTTTGATTTTTATGCTTATGCAAATTTCCATGTATTTAATGAGCAAAAAGCGTGATGTCATTTCAGGCAGAAACCTCAATGTTTCAGTTATTTCAGCACCAAAAATTGCCAGAAGCTTTGATATTTTGCTGTCGTAAATTTTCTTTTCTGTGGTGATTCGTTGTTGTGCCAGTCCATGGCAGTGAGCCAGTGAGACCCCTTAATGGTTGTCATGAATACTGGTCCATTGTCCTCTCATTGTATTTTTTGCTTGATGCAGATCGTCACGGAAACCATTGAAAACATTCGCACAGTCGCCAGCTTGACAATCGAGCCTGCCTTCATCCAGAAATATACTGAATTTATGGCCAAACCGTACAGGTAAAAAAAGAAAGTGGCTAAATTTGCAAAGACAATCTGGGCCCAATTTCATAGAGCTGCTTAAGCAGAAAATTTGCTTAAGCACGAAAAAACATTGTTTAGTAAAATTAGGTTACCGGCCAAAACTCCATGTGATGTACATTGCTTGTGACTGGTATTTAGCTGTTGTTTACTTAGCATAACAATCGCATGGAGTTTTGGCCGGTAACCTGATTTTTTTAAGCAAGACGTTTTTGTGCTTAAGCAAATTTTGTGCTTAAGCAGCTCTGTGAAATTGGCCCCAGCTGACTTTATCCAGCAAAGTTTGTCATGTTCGCTTGAAAACAAACCGAAAGAAATGAGCTTTTGACAATCTGGCAAAAATGTGATTTTCCTCCCACTGGGTGAGTCACTGACTCCCTGACTGACTGACTCCCCGACTGACTAAGTTTTTAAAAATGTCATTAACAACCTGACTTGCTTTCAGACGTTTTGATCCAGTTCAACCAAGCAAACCTAGACTTAAAAAAAAAGAGTTAAAGGGAAAATACAACATTTGCAAACATCAAAAAATAAAACTACCAAATCATTTTGAAATACCTTGCTGGACTGTTAGTGAATGACAGTGTAAAGCATCCTGTAAAATCATGGCACCTGGTATACTGTCATTTTCAAGAAAAGTGGTATTTTTGTATCAATTTCCAACGCTGATCGGCCGACCAGCGTTGGAAAAAAACTGGCTTTTTTTCAAATACTGGCTCCAGTTGACCATCGCACTTGCAATCGATTACACACCTATGAACGGGTACAAGCCAGCTAGACTGGTTCCCTGACCTTACAATTCCCCAATGTATGTAAACTGCTCTGTTTCTTCTTAAATGGAGTCAGGGAACCAGACTACAGGAAAATGATTGTTTTTCTTGGTTTTTATAGCATTTTCGAACCCAAAACCTCCAAAAAGTCAGTGTAACTATATTTGCTATATATTTCCAACCCCCCAATTCCATCCATTTCTGAAAATTACAGCAAAAGCAAATGATGTATATTCCCTTTAAATAATTTTTTTTTGTCTCCAATTAACCACAATGAGAAAACTGACAAGGTGCAAAATAACAATTATTAAAGTTGAACAAAGTAATTGACTGGAGTGGGGGGGTGAACCTACGACCTCCGGTTTGCCGTTCCGGTGCTTTACCAACTGAGCTATCCAGCCCTATGTTGGCAGTTCCCCATTTTGTAATTTTTTTTGTTCAAGAGTCAGAAGCCATATTAAACTGGTATATGTCGCATTTTGTTAAATTTTTTTCCTCTTCATCTTCAGGGACAGCCAACGGGACGCCCATCTCTCCGGTCTCACCTACTGCATTTCGCAGTGCGTCATTTTCTTTGCCTACGCCGCGGCGTTCAGACTCGGCGGTTGGCTGGTCCAAACGTGCCGCATGGAATTCCAAAACGTCTTCTTGTAAGTGTTAAAGCCAGAGTCCATCATTTTGCAGCTATCCAAAAAATAGCTGGCGTATTTATTGTTGAAAAACATACTTGGTTGAAAGATAGCAAGGGGACTAAACTCCCTGTGAAATTATTCTTTCTGGCAAGCTGTCATTTTGAAGAAATCAACAAAAGAAGGCCTTTGCAATGGGGCGTCTTAAGAAGCACCGTTGGAAATTTCCGTTAGTAGTTTGTTTTTTTCAATAGGCGAAGTGCGCGCAAGCGTTGGCACGACGCACACATGCGCGCGGTTGCTATAATTCGTTGGATCGGTGCGCGACATCGCGTAGCTGCAATCAGCTCAGTGAGAACGTGTCTCGGGCGCTGAATTCAGGCCCAATACAAAACATGATTCAGCAACGTTTGATTTTGAAATTGAGATCCTAGAATGTTGTTTTTCTCGAAATATACAGCTGAAGCTGAGCTGAAACTTCATCAGGTTAGGTGTTCAGCATCCTTCTTTAGAATTTGAGCACTATTGTTGCTTCAAACGAACAAAATGCACAAAATTACAAATGATGGACTATACCTTTAAAGCCTGGGAAATTCATAAGAGTTTTTTTTTATTTTTTTATATTTAAGAGACTTTTTGTTCAATGGAAAATTGAGCTCTATATCCTTATATGTCAAGATACTATATGCACTGCACTCTACCAGTCAAAATCGTTCATTGGATTTAAAATCAGAAAGATGTACATTTCTTAAACTTTTTTTTTGGTGGGGGGGGGGGAGGGAGGGGGTGGTATGAAACAAAGACAAAAACCCCCCTCACTTGCTCCTTAGCCCCGCCCCCAAAGTCCCCAATTCAACTAAAGTTACAACACATCAGAAAATTTAACTCAATTTTATAATCGTCTTTATACTTTTCAAAACACTCCAATATTCACTAACTGCAAACTCCATGTTATTCTCTGTTAAAAGCAAATGAATACAAATTTATACATTTTTTGTATTCCCTGTCCATCTGAAGTAAAAGTTTAACCACCCAACCTACCTTTTTTTAACCTCAAATTATTTTTTTCGTAGAGTATTCTCGGCCATTATCTTCGGTGGTTTCGGCCTGGGTCGTGCCATGGCCTCGGCACCAGACTACAACAAGGCCAAGACGGCCGCCGCCTTCATGTTCCGTCTGATCGACAGAATCCCGCCGATCGACAGCTACAGTGAAAAAGGCCTGAAACCAGTAAGGACATTTGCAAAAATAAAATTTCAAAACGCATTTCTCTTTCCTCGATATAAGTGCGGGGTCGGCAAACCCCATCAAATCTTCTGCACTGGTTATTGCAGTCCCATTTTATGCGATCACAACTTTTCCGTCAACCAGTTTTTATCCTTTTTTTTTTCCTTTCATAGGCGGAGTTTCACCCAGAGGTTTCCTACGATAAGGTGCGATTCCGCTACCCGACTCGGCCCGATGTAGCCGTCCTTCGCGGCCTGTCGGTCTCCGTCAAGCCTGGGGAGACCTTAGCGCTTGTTGGCAGTAGCGGTTGTGGGAAGAGCACCACCGTTTCCATATTCGAGCGTTTCTATAATCCCAGAGCTGGACAAGTGGTAAGCACATCACAAGCCATCACAAGCCATCATAAGTCCATCACAAGCCATCACAAGCCCTTCACGTCCATCACAAGTTCATTACAACTCCTTCACACAACCATCACAAGTCCATCACTAGTTTACCACAAGTGCATCACAAGTGTGACACATGTCCATCACAGGTTCATCACAAGTTCATCACAAGTCCATCACAAGTTCATCACAAGTCCATCACTAGTATACCACAATTGCATCACAAGTGTGTCAGTCACATGTCCATCACATGTCCATCACATGTCCATCACATGTCCATCACATGTCCATCACAAGTTCATCACAAGTCCATCACTAGTATACCACAATTGCATCTCAAGTATGTCAGTCACATGTCCATCACATGTCCATCACATGTCCATCACATGTCCATCACATGTCCATCACATGTCCATCACAAGTTCATCACAAGTTTATCACAAGTCCATCACAATTCCATCACTAGTCTGGTTTACCACAAGCTCATCATATGTCCATCACAAGTCTGTCACGAGTCCTTCATAAGTCCCTCACAAGTCCATCACAAGTTCATCACATATCTATCAAAAGTCTGTCACATGTCCATCACATGTTCTTTCACAAGTCCATATACAAGTAACATGGGATTGATGCAAGTCCATCACATGTCCATCACATGTCCATCACATGTCCATCACAAGTCCATCACAAGTCCATCACATGTCCATCACATGTCCATCACAAGTCCATCACAAGTCCATCGCATGTCCATCTCAAGTCCATCACAAGTCCATCACAAGTCCATCACATGTCCATCACAAGTCAATCACAAGTCCATCGCATGTCCATCTCAAGTCCATCACATGTCCATCACAAGTCCATCACATGTCCATCACATGTCCATCACATGTCCATCACAAGTCCATTGCATGTTCATCTCAAGTTCATCACAAGTTTATTTACTAGTAACATGAAGTTGACATCAACAAAATAATGCCTACGCCACTGTTCATTATAGACTTGGCTTGAGATTTTAGGAATTGTGACAAACTGGCAATCTTATTTCCTGAAAGGTTACGCATTTGATAATTACAAAATGTATCTCCGGGATGATTTACATCACTAGCATTTTATAAAGAATTTGAATTGAAACAACGCCGTAACGAACATCGCGGGATCCACAGAAATTGTTTGTAATAGCGATCGTTTGGTATAGTGATTTTAAGCTGCCGGTGCTCCGGTACTCACTTTTCAATAAATAGTGCCCTTCAGAAATTCATCTTGCTCGGCCTGGTAGTTAATACTGAAAGACGACTTTAAACGCGTGCTGATTATGTAATTACACAGTTTCTTTTAGCTTACTACTTACAGCAATGGGTGGCTTTCTCCGTCTATTCCTTGGGAAAATAATGGCCACTTGTCGCTCTTCTGTTGACATTTTTCGACAACAATGTTTGGTACGCTTTGTATACAAAAATCGGGGGCCAAGGACGATGTTTGGTATAGCCGAAATTTTCGGTATAGCGGTGTTCGGTATAGCGACGTTACACTGTACTTCATTCAAAGAATTTTTTCCAATTTTTTTTTTTTTTCGGTGACAGAGCTTAGACAACAACGACATCAAGATCCTGAACGTGAGCTGGCTGCGCTCCCAGATCGGCCTCGTCTCCCAGGAGCCGGTCCTCTTTGACCTGAGCGTGGCCGACAACATCGCCTACGGGGACAACACCCGGGAGGTCACGACGTCAGAGATCATTGATGCGGCCAAGAAGGCCAACATCCATGACTTCATCGCGTCTCTGCCCGAGGTGAGTTGTCGCAGAGGTCACACAGAAGCAAGAGTCAAAAATTTGAGCTCAATAATATATTTTCCAAAAACAAATTTCGTTTTCTATCAGGGTTACGAGACCCGAGTTGGGGACAAGGGTACCCAGCTGTCCGGCGGCCAGAAGCAGCGCGTGGCCATCGCGAGGGCGCTAGTCCGCAACCCCAAGATCCTCCTGCTGGACGAGGCCACCTCGGCCCTGGACTCTGAAAGTGAACAGGTTGGTTGGAGTCTTTTTCGCCTTTATTTCTTGTTTGCTTTGGTTGATATTTAAGTTTTTAAGTTTTTTTTTTTTTCAATTTTTATTAAATATTCCTTGTTCATTTGTCTTCCGTTAAAGGATTAGAGTAGGTTTACAGTGCGGACAGATTCTGAGCCTCCAAGATTATATGTATTTTTCCCCCTCAAAAACCCTCTTCTAACTGTTAAATTTTATAAATTAAATTTTCTCTTTTTTTTTGCATTTTGAAAATTTACAATTTATACCAAGCATCAAGGGCATACTTGCAGATGTGATTGAGGGGGCGGGGCTTAATTGACCCCCCCCCCCCAAAAAAACACCCCACAGCTCTTGCCATTTTTATCACTCCTTTGAAACAACAGTAATTTAATCCTGAAAATCCTTAATGCCTGGAATTTTTTAAGGATCTGGGAAGGGGAATGAACAGTCTGTTGAATTTCATGATAAAATTCCATGACTTTAACCTCCTGTTTCGGCAACGAAGCGTTTCATGATAGTATTGGAATTTTGTCGAAGGTGGTGCAAGCGGCTTTGGATGAGGCCAAGAAGGGACGGACCTGCATCACCATTGCCCATCGGCTGTCCACCATCCACGATGCCGAGAAAATCGCGGTTATCCGACACGGGAAAGTGGCCGAGATCGGCCGACATGAAGACCTGATGCAACTACAGGGCCAGTACTACAGCCTGTACACCGCCCAGGACATGCAAAACTGAACTGCTGTGGTGCACAGCGGGAGTCTTGGTACTAGATCTAGGCAACCAAATACAGCCGAGGTTTTTGAAACTCCGGCATTTGTTACAGCCCTGGCTTCCTCTCTCGTTTCAGAGTCATTGAGAAGCCTTTAATGTCCATTTGGTTAATAAGAGAACTTTCATAGTTAAGCCAAAGCCAGAAACAAGACAGAGTTTCAAAAACACTACTCTGAAAGCATGGGACTCTCAGTTCTGAGTATTGAGTACAAAAAATGCAAGAAAGCAGACTGGTGCATTTTGAAAAAATTCCATTCACTGCCACCTCAGTTAATGCAGTGGTCTAGGTCCCAGACTGGATTTATCAGAAACGTCTGGAACCAAGTCTTCTATTCCATTTATTCCTCCACAGTCAAGCCACCAGACTACATGCATAGTCCGATTTTTGAAAAGTTAGACAATGTGCCTCTCTCATTAACTTAAAATTTCAAAAATGCAAATCGCGATCAGAATCAATTTCAAATCATTTGGAATACCTTCCAAATACTGACCCGGACTTATCAGAAACGTCTGGTACCAAGTCTCCTTTTCCATACATTCCCTCCACAGGCAAGCCACCAGACTACATGAATGGTCCGACTTTTGAAAAGTTAGACAATGTGCCTCTCTCATTAACTTAAAATTTCAAAAATGCAAATCGCGATCAGAATCAAGTTGAAATCATTTGGAATACCTTCCAAATACTGACCCGGAAAATGATTTTTAAAAAAGGTGATTTTTATTTGTTTCTGTGGAGCTGTAAATTTATGGAACAATTTAATGCAAAATAAATTGTCTTGTAAATATACAGGTCGTGTATATGTGCTAAAATGTGAACTGAATTTTCAAAATGTCAAGGGTAATATTTGTGAATTTCGATAAAATAATGCAATCATTTTTAATTACCAATATCAAGATATTGTAGTTATTGTTTAGTTGTGCCTTTGCTGTTTTAATATTCTTCTCAGTCGGTGAAACGGGAGGTTTGCACAAATCCACATGTCACAACAAAATTGTAAATTTATTTTGTAGTTATGCCTCAGCATTTTGATAGATTTATTTTATACGTTAACCCCAACTGAAGAGAACCATATATATTTTTTGTTTTGTATTTGTTTTGTTTTATGTTATTTTGGGTATTTATTAGTTCAGTTTGGTCTGAAAAGCTACTGTAATACTTATACTTTCTTGAATTTTATGTTTACTTTGGGATACCGGCTACTTACATTTTCTTGTGCAATGGTGTACTTTATTATTCTTGTCTCTACTTAAAGCTGTGCAATTTACGCGAGAAAGCACCTACTAATCTACCAATGTAATGACCGAAACCTTGAAGTGAAAATAAGTTCTCTCTGTTCTCGGGTCGCCGATTACGAACGCCCAAGTGTGTGTGGAGTGCAGCTGTGTGAAAATTCGAGATGACACTGAGCTGTCGTATTAAAACGCCAAATAAAAAGAGGAGAAAACTAATGGCTTTCGAAGATAATTTAAATCACGGAGCAGCGATAAAAAACATTGGCAAAGACAAGCCCACTCTATGTTCACGTACGGTTCTATTTTTTATCATTAAGTGCTTTAAATTTTATGCACAAAAAATTTGAAGCGCAATTTCCGTTAGGGGCCCAAGTCCGCCATCTTTGTTCTGGACATTCTTCATCTACTCCCTGATAAGTGGGGATTGAAAACCCTGTGTGAACACTCAATTTTATCGACTGAACGATAAAATATCTTACACGCAGCACGAATGGGTTTTATGTTTAATGATTTATTGGAGATCATGAATAATGAATTGTTGAGCAGATTGGCTAGCCCAGCAGCAACGTGGTTAGACAGAGGCAAGGTGTGGGCTGTTGTCACGTGGAGAAGACCACTTCGTTGCAGTAACTGAATGTGCGGCAAATCCAATATATTGGTTAATGATGTTTTGATTGTACATGTATTCGTGTCTGAGTGTAACGCTCGCATGTTAGTTCTCGTCATTCTAAACCTTGTTCTCGTATTTATTCAACACGAGAACGGGGTTTCCATTACGCCCTATGACTGGCACCAAGTATGATATTATCCCGCCTGAAATGGTGGCGTTAAATATTAACATTGAAGATAAATTCAGAAAAGTTGCCCGCAGGCACACTTTTTTCATTGAGTTAGGAATAGAATCCAGTTGCGGGCCCCAAATTTATTTTGCAAAAGAAACAAATGCTCTTTTGTTGAAAAAGAAAAGAAAAGAAAGTACTTGTCACAAAATGTATTCAGGGTTTTGTCCTCGGTGCTAGTCATTAAGAAAAAAAAGGTTTACTAAGTTTGAAGTTTTAACTGAGATAAACATTTTTCAGGTGAACAGGGTTTAACCACAAACCAGATTCGAGTGAGCAAAACCCATAAATCAAAGTCTGGTGTCTGTGATCATGTTGATGTTAACATGACTTTGAACCATGTGCCTCAGGGAACCATACCAAGATGGCTGGCCTAACTGAGAAATTTCGAACTGGATGGAGGAAATCTCATTGTCTCTTACACCCACCCTTTTTTCTTTTACTATTTTAAGATGCAGTAAAATGTCTTAGCCGTTCATTCTTCATTGCAGTATTACTGTCCTGAAATTGTGTGAGTAATTTTTGTTTTTAAGAAGACTGAGCTTTCAAATTTGCTTCATTACTTGCACAACTGAAGTCTGTTATTTACTTCATCAAATCTTTCTATTTTTCTGTTCAAAGTTGGCTTATTTTTTGTTTATTTATTAGTCATTTACGTTTTTGTGTTCTTTTTTTCCTTTGGAAGGGAAGATGTTTGTAAATATATGACAAAGTTTACAACAGTAGAAGTTAAACTTTGCTCATTTTGGTGCAGTTTTTCACAATTAACTATTTCATCAACCTAAGTCTCTAATAACCAATGATTTATTAATTTGCAAGCCGTTTAGTTCACATTTCTTTCTTAATTTTCCTGTTTATTTAACCCCTGGAATAATTCTTCCAAAACTGCACACATGACTCAATAAATGATCACAAAGGCAAAAGCATTTTTGTTTTTAATTGTATTTACCCAAAATATTTACATGTACACTAATACCACAGTTTTTTTGTGTTTAAATATTTTTAATTTTTTTTTTGTAATCTTTACCAAGGATAGTTCATTTCAGTTTAAAAAACTGCTTTCCAAAGGTGCCCTCACATTAAAATTGGATGGAAATAAAATGAGACAAAGAATTCACTAATACAAGAAAAGTGGACAGAACATAACACACAATTTACACAAGACATTACACAGTGTTACAGTATAAAGACAAGAGATTGGTGAGCGCAATGAATAGAACAATATTTTCTTTAAATTAAAATTCCTCAATAAAGTCATCGTCAAATTCACTGCAACGCAATGAATCTAATTGGAAGTTGTAGAGCTGATGAATTGCATTTCGTTTTAAAACTGAATGAGCTAGAAGCGAAAACTTTAACATTGTGATCTGAATGTGGACGGACCGTACCGACGGATGGACACAATTTGAATTTGTAAACATGAGCTGCCAGTATATATGTGTATTTAAAGAAGATAAAAGATTCTGATTTGCAGATATTTACAATTTTACAGTTTGGACTTGCAACTTTATGTCAATTTTTTAAAAATGCATAATATACAAACATTCCAAACATTTGACAAATTACAAAAATCTGTAAAATATCAAGATACAAATACTTCTATGTATAAATGTTTGATACATTGATTTATAAATAAAATCAAGGCAGTCAATTTCTGAGTTGCATATTAGGTACATCCTTAATTGTTTTTTTACCGAGATACTTTTTCTTTTTAATAATAATAATTCAAGATTTAACATACATTATTATATACAGCTATTTCACTGTGCAGCAATTTAGTCCCACATTTGTAAAAACACTTCATTCATAAATACCATTACCACTTTTACCTATTCCTATTGGTCAAGAGTCTGTGACATGCCTGGTTTAAACAAGGCTGAAAAGCAAACCAGGTCATGAGACCTCACTCTACATACTGCATGTACATGCGCACAGCTGTGCACACCATAAGTGGCCTGAGCATGGCAGTCGGCCTAAAACAAAAATGTTTTTAAAAAAAAAGTAAAAAAAAAATAAAAAATTCAGGAACCCATTTATACTCCAGGGCAGAAGGAGGCAATAACAGTAAAATGTGTCTTGCCATAGAAGACAAACATCATGTTCTCCAAAGTTATATTTTCGAATAGGCACTTTGGAATTCCGCATACATTTCATAATTCTGAGTAAAAAAATAAAACATGGCATAAAAACTTCTTAAAAAAATAGTTTAGTAACGCATTTAGACTCCTGGGTGGAGCTAGGCAATTGTAGTACTGTAAAGTATCTTGCTCAAGAATACAAACACTACGATCTTCACATTCCTTCCTGTAGCGCCCAAAACCGCCGGAGTACTCTATGGTTTGTTTAATTCATGAGTGAATAAACACAATGTGATACAATGTAAGTAAGATTTGAGGCTTTGCATGGTGAAGATACTAAATAATGAAAGGTTTGCGGAAACACCATGTGCGAATAATTTCTCAACTAAGAGAATGGTTCTGAAAAGAACCATTCTGAAAAGAACCAGAGGTATAAACTCGATGTTCCGGTCAGTATGCTCTGACCGTCTTCAGGAGAGTGCCTAAACTCTAAGAAAGTGAATACTTAAGTAGCAAAAGGTGAAGTCAGTGAAGTGAGAAGTTGCATCCTGTGAGGATGCCAAGTAGACAGGATTTTATTTACAAAAATATATACATTATTTCACAATTTTTTTTTAAGATTTCTTTCGAAGTTTCACTCCCTAATTTTTGTTTCAAAAATAACTGTTTAAATGTCTACTAATACAAAGCCAATTAACTTTTGAATGAGATGTGAACACATTATCTGTGGACTGAATATGATTTCAAACTTCTCACAGGGTAGACTGGTTCCTGTCCCTAAAAATCGGGTAATCAGCAAAATGTAAAACAAGATGCATAAAAAGAATATGCATAAATAAGACAGAAAATGCTGTCATACATAGGACTCAATGAAAAGAGGAAAAACTAACATGTAAGTGGTGAGAACAATATATAGAACACTATTGCGAATACTTAGTTTAAAAATACTGCTTAGTTAACATAAAAGCTGTTTCTTGCTGATCATCATTACACAAAGTTCTACCAAATAGGCCTGGTATTAAAATTCCATCTAATAAAAAAGTTACTTATTCAAAATGATATAAAAGTTTTTGACTTGCAGATATTTACAAATTCACAGTTTGAACTTACAAACTTTACAATGTTGATTTTTATTAAATATAAAAATAAAAAGTCCAAACGTGACAAATTGAATACAGAAATCTGTTAAAAATAAACTCAATATAAAAATACTTCAATGTATAAATGTATGACTCATTGATTTATATATAAAATCAAGGCAGTCAGTTTCTGAGTTGCATATAAAGTAAATCCTTAATTGCTTTTTGGAACCTCTTCAATAATTGAAGATTTAGCATACACTGTTATATACAGCTATTTCACTGTACAGCAATTTAGTCCCACATTTGTAAAAACACTACATTCATAAATACCATTACCACTTTTACCTATTCCTATTGGTCGAGAGTCTGTGACATGCCTGGTTTAAACAAGGCTGAAAAGCAAACCCGGTCATGAGACCTCACTCTACATACTGTATGTACATGCGCACAGCTGTGCACACCATAAGTGGCCTGAGCATGGCAGTCGGCCTAAAACAAAAATGTTTAAAAAAAAAAGTAAAAAAAAATAAAAAATCCGGAACCCATTTATACTCCAGGGCAGAAGGAGGCAATAACAGTAAAGTGTCTTGCCATAGAAGACAAACATCATGTTCTCCAAAGTTATATTTTCTAATAGGCTTTTTGGAATTCCGCATACATTTCATTTTTCTGAGTAAAAAAAATAAAACATGGCATAAAAAACTTTAATAAAAAAAAAATAGTAACCCATTTAGACTCCTGGGTAGAGCTAGGCAATTGTAGTACTGTAAAGTATCTTGCTCAAGAATACAAACACTATGATCTTCACATTACTTCCTGTAGCGCCCAAAACCGCCCGAGCAGTCTATGGTTTTTTTTTTAATTCATAAGTGAATAAACACAATGTGATACAATGTAGTACAGGTGCAGATCGAGTCACGAAAAATTAATTGCTAATCCCTGAAAACCATCTCAAATTTCCGGTGGCACATAACCATCAGTTGGCGGCCCAGTCACAGGAATCATGGAGGAAGAAACACTGTCCAGCTCTCTCTCTGCAACGTAAAAAAAAAAAAACCCCAAAAGGATCAATTTCAGGTACTATGTCCAAAATGTACAGAAACTATGAATAGTCAAAACCGGTCACATGATCACTGTATACTCACGAGGCCCCCTTTAATGGAGAAACCACTGTGCACGGTATTGTACAAAGCAACTGCCCCATAAGTGATTATCTGGACAATAGCTAGCACAATGCTTTCATGATAGAAGTAGCAGCCTACCCGGATATGATATCAGGATTTTAAGGGATGCTCCCATTACTCAACCACCCCCCCCCACCCCACTCCCTAAAAAAACAAACTAATAAAAAAACATAGTTAACAAAAATGATTTTATAAGGATAAACTGTCACTCACTCAGTTTTGTAATCTCGCACAAGACTTCAGCTGCTGGGGGTTGCTTGTTCATGGCCCATGTGAGAAATTTAAGCAACCTCTCATCAGTGGTCGTGTAGGAGGTAGCCACTACTTGCTTGCTCTTTGAAAAGACAAAAAGAAAACAAAACTACATGCAACTTCAGTGTTTTCACAGACATTTACAAGAATTAAAATAACTCTGGAGAAGAAAAATCTGTTTTTTTGGAGAATACAATCATTGCTTCAGGATGGTTGGAACCTGTAGAAACATGTTTTGTTTCATTCTGTGAAACGTTACACATTAAGCCAGGAGGAACAGGTGGGGGAGTTACAAAGTTGTGGCAGAACGCACTCTTTCCTTTTCTTCTATCAACCTTTTCAATTCAAAGTTTTATTGCAAACAAACTTAATTAGTTTACCTGATTGTCGTAGCTTAGACGAGCCCCACAAAGACGCTTCAAAATCTCAATGGCACACCTTACGTCACGACGATAATTATGGCCATCTGAAGGAAACAAAACAAACAAAACAAAAAAAATGGGTGAGGGTGTCAATTTGGTTCTGTGGTACTTTCTTCCTCTGTGACTGTGGTTTCAAACCAGTGTAATAGTCGAGATCCTATTGTACAGCCTATGTACTATGCATCTTATGATTATATGAGAAATGTTACTGAGACTAGCTTGTCTGTTGCAAAACACGACTGGTCACACAAGGCAAATATGGGGCAAGGCAAAACTGGCAGTGAAGACGGGGATTGTTTGTGGGGCACCTCGGCCAGTAAGAAGGCAATGAAGGCACTGGCCGTCGTTCATTTCAAGCCCTGGACCAAGCTGAGAAATTCTTCTCTTTCTAAATTTTTTTGGGCAAAACACTGCAGAATTTCAATGTATATTGCCTGACCATTTGTGTATTATCATTGAATGATGATCTTTTACCTATCTTCTCGGAGTCCCCAAAATCAATCATCTTAAGGGATATCCTGTCTGCAGACTCATTAATGAGGATGTTGCCCCCTGAAAAACAAATCAATAGAAAAAGTTTAAGTTTAAATAAGGCATCTTGATTTTGAATGCATGATTTTTTTAGATAACTGCAATTCACAGAAACGAGCCCAAAAACTTGACACACATGATCTATCTTAATTAAGCGACTTTGATAATTGCAAATGTTCCATAGCTTTGTATTCACAACTGAGTGAAGTACTGAAGTATATGCTCTTCCTGCTATTCTTTGAGTTGCAGCTGGAAAAATAGGTTTTAATTATAAAATTCATTGCTATTCTTCTAACTATACCAAAATTATTTACTTTTGAATGAAACAACAAACAAACAAAAATCCATCCACGTTTAGCTATGAAATACACATGTATACTTTGCAAACTTTCAGTTAACTTAGGGACAGAGGACCAGTCTGCCTGCAGAGCGGATCAGTTTGGGAACAAAAGACACCGCTTATAAAAGCCTGTTTCATCAGAAGGTTGCAGATGCCCTTTCATAGAAAAAAAGTACTTTTCCCAACATCCAGAATGGGGAATTTACCATGAATGTCCCCGTGCACAATGTCTCTCGAGTGTATGTAGTCAAGAGCTTGAAACAGTTGCTCGATTAGAGAAAGTGCTTGTTGTGTCTCAATCCTCCAGCTGCCACGTTGAATTTTTCTTTGCTCAATGGTCTGGTACCCAACGTTGTACCCTGAGAAGTACCTGACTGTGACGTCTGTCAGGATTAAACCCAGGAACCTGACAATAGATGGATGGTTGAGACGGCACCAATTGATGGCCTCATTTAGACAAAAACGCTTCAGTGGAATCTGAAAATGGATAGTTGAATATATAGTTACTACAATAAAAAGAAACATATACTTTGCACAAGTTCTATTTAACCTGCAATGAAAACCAAGAGAACTATGAAGCAAATAATATACACTGGAATTGTGTTGTGTGGGAAGGGGGGGTAATATAGTGAGTAAATCTCCTCCTTTCAAATTTCTTACAGCTCGAAAACTTGAAAATTTTTCTCAGGTTGAACCTTCCTTGACAAATGCCTCACTTCACTACTGCATGTCAATTTAAATTTGACGATTGCTGCAGACAGATTGAAGTATTTTATCAATTAATTTATTAATTAACGAGGAAAAATGGAATTCAAACATTTTTCCTAAGATGAATCTCATTACTTACGCATTTTTCGACGGCCTTTACTTTGGACTGCCTGTCTTCAATTAGCTTTACCGTGCCAAAAGAACCCTCCCCCAGCAGCTTCACTCTGTCATACTCAGAATTTTCGTGATATCTGTTGTCTGCTATTCGCAACTGTAACATGTGAAGAAAAGGAAATATCTATGATGATGGATACAAGTTTATGAGTTGAATTCAAGGCTTAAGAACTCATCACAAGTGAAGTAATTACAAGTCAATCACAAGTCTGAGTGCTAATTTCCTTGCCAATTAAGCCTTGGTCCCGACGGTGTATTTATGTGCACAATGAATGGGACTGATGTTCCTCTTAATGCAAAATTCTGATATAACAAACAATTTGGCTAGGTCCGAACGAGTTTGTATTAACGAGACTCGACTGTAAACAGGAATGGATGCAATATGACATTGACATGACTAACTCATAAAGAAGAACAATAAAAAAAATACACGTACAATTTCGTTGTCAACAAGTACTCCGTCTTGTCCTTGAACGTCACTTCTGTCCTTGATCTCGTGTATACGTTCTGCACAACTAGCCACGTCATCTGGTCCGCCATACTTCACTCCGGATCCTAACTGTTGACGACCATCGACAGGCTCAGAGCCCATAGTGACCTCATGAACACTGTCAGGAGTGTTCTGAGCAACATTATCGGCAGTGGTGGTGGTGTTTCCGGCGGCTTCGCTAGCCTGGCTGTCACCGGCTGCACCTATCTGACTTGGGCCACGGTTGTCCACATCCAGTGGAAAAGGACCAATGGAGGATCCCATGTCTGAATCTCCTCCAGCTGCTTCCATCTCGTCGTCTCCATCCAAATTTTTCACTGTTATGGCAAATCTGGACTGCTCAGGAACAGGCTCAGAGACCACGTTGTCTCCGTCAGGAACACTGGCACGAATGTCCTGAGCAAATTTACTAAAGGGATCGTCAGGAATGGTGGCGGTGTTTCCGGCAGCCCCACTTGCCTGGCTGTCACCCGCTGCAGCCGTCTGACTTGGGCCATGGTTGTCCACAAAGGAGGATCCTATGCCCGAATCCGGCCCTCCAGCTTCTTCCATCTCGTTGCCTTCATCAGCAGGGCTCGTGCCGTCCAAAGGCTGAACATTAGGACTGGTGGAGTCATGATCAGATACATGGCTGACCCTGCATATGAAAATAGTCAACATTCTTTTTTTTAAACCTGACCAACAGCCCCCCAAATAGAACACTTTCTTCAAGCTACTAATTAATATCCACAATAGTCCAGGCAGTATAGCGGGACTTTTTAACAAATTATTCTGACAAGAAATGGCGATTATTTCGATTGAAGTTATTGTACAGCAAACCTGACAACATTAACACAGTTGAATGCATGTGGATTTACGAATCTTTGTCTTTACTTACAGGCTTGATAATGAATCAAAACTGTCACTAGTGTCAGCCATTTGGTCCGCAGCACTACTCTCCATCATCAGTGTTTCACTATATGAGTATGAAAGCCGGATTTCAGTTCAGAACTTCAAAAGAGACCCACAATATGATATTGATAATCTGCAAAAGAAGAATTCCATACATGGCCATCACTAATTTTCCCCTGCAAAATTACTCAGCCAGCATCAGCATGTCCTTATAAAATGTCAAATTTAGCAGGGAAAATATTGAAGCATTAAAACACTTCGAATTTTTCAGACCAGTCTTGTTAGGCTAGCTGGAGTTACCCCTAAATGTTATCATTGGGTTGTCATAGCAATGACAACCCAATGATAAAATTTAGGGCTGGGTAACTCTAGCTATTAGTATTACTATTAGGCCGGTTTGTGCACTGCGTGACTCACTGACTGCTACTGCTAGGTAATTTATTTTTTAAAACAAAAGCACTAACTCGGGGTTCTAAATATTAAATCCATGGCAGAAAGTAGTACGAGTACTAGTCTATACAAACATGACAAACATCATGACGGGGAAAAAAATATCTATATCGCCTTTTTTGCATGGTCACGGTGGTATCGGGACAAATCGTACCCGGGACGACTCGTACCCCAAATTTGTGACCCGGGACAACTCGTACCCGAGACGACTCGTACCCGGGACAACTCGTACCCGGGACGACTCGTACCTTGTACTTTTCTTACCATTTACTTTTTTGTTCCTTTTTAGTTAGATGTAATTAATTGACAAATCCGAAGATGTGGAAAACCAGTTGAGTTTTGGGGAATTGCCAGTGGTGACAAGCAAGAGATTGTTCTGGAGAGATTCTGGCAGCTGGCCGATGATCGCGGAGTTCGCCGAATTCGCGGAAGGAGCTATAGCAATCATGAGCTTCGTAACTTGTTTGATCTTCATTTATTGCGAAAACTTATTTCTAAAATAAGTGGACCGATTCATTAAAATTATAAAAATGTTACACATGTCACCTTCTACACTTTTTATGACGTTAATTTTGATAACCATCAACAATCCCAGTAGCGTGTCAGTCTTTTGCATAATTATGTGAAATAATTCAAAAGTCACTTAATTAGAATTGTTAGCTTAGTGAGTAGCGTGAAATGCCATGTTTCACGCGTCATTGTGTTCCCGTTTGCAGGGCTATAACGCCAGCTTAGGGCGGAGTTTGCTCGTAACTTATTTGATCTTCAGTTATTACATTACTAAATAAGTGTCATTATGAAATGTTACATAATTATGTCACCTTCTACAGCTTTTATGACATTAATTTTGTCTTTCATTTCATGGGGTTTTATTTTACGGGGATAACTCAATCAACACAAATCATCATACCATCAACAATCCGAGTAGCGTGTCAATCTTTGCCTATGTGAAATAAATGAAAAGCCACTTAATTACTATTGTTAGCCTTGTATAAGTAGCGTGAGATGCCATGTTTAGCGAGTCATTGTGTTCTGGCCCAATGGATAGTTCTGAAGATGCCGCTCCCGTTTGATCGGGGCCGCCCACGCCAGCTACTGGGGCGTGCAACCCCAATGTGTGGAACGCGAAGTCGCCTATTGGGTGGCGGCTCTTCAAAAAAATAACAGCGTTGCTGTTGAAACCCCTCAGCCAGAGTCAAGTTATCATCTGGAAACCATAACCTTTAACTCAACATGGTGACCTTGATCGACCTTTGGCCTTTGACCCCAGAACCAGTCCCAACATGCCTGTACCGATGGAAAACCCCCTACCAAAGTAAGACACCAAAATTTCATTTCTAACCCAAGTTATCATTCGGAACCATTTACATTTAACTCACCACGGTGACCTTGACCTTTTGACCCCAAAACCAATCCCAGCTTGCCTGTACCCAAAGGCAACCCCCCTACCTAAGTCAGACACCAAAATCTCATTTCTAACTCAAGTTATCATCCGGAAACCATTTACATTTAACTCACCATGGTGACCTTGACCTTTGACCTTTTGACCCCCAAACCAATCCCAACTTGCCTACTCCCAAGGGCAACCCACTACCAAAGTTAGACACCAAAATCTCATTTCTAACTCAATTAAGTTATCATCCGGAAACCATTTACATTTAACTCGCCATGGTGACCTTAACTTTTTGACCCCAAAACCAATCCCAACTTAACTACTCCCAAGGGTAACCCTTTACCAAAGTTAGACACCAAAATATCATTTCTAACTCAAGTTATCATCCGGAAACTATTTACCTTTAACTCACCACGGTAACCTTGACCTTTGACCTTTTGACCCCAAAACCAATGCCAACTTGCCTACTCCCAAGGGTAACCCTCTACCGAAGTTGGACATCAAAATCTCATTTCTAACCCAAGTTATCATTCGGAACCATTTACATTTAACTCACCACGGTGACTTTGACCTTTTGACCCCAAAACCCATCCCAGCTTGCCTGTACCCAAAGGCAACCCCCTACCTAAGTCAGACACCAAAATCTCATTTCTTACTCAAGTTATCATCCGGAAACCATTTACATTAAACTCACCACCGTGACCTTGACCATTGACCTTTTGACCCCCAAACCAATCCCAACTTGTCTACTCCCAAGGGCAACCCACTACCAAAGTTAGACACCAAAATCTCATTTCTAACTCAATTAAGTTATCATCCGGAAACCATTTACATTTAACTCACCATGGTGACCTTGACCTTTTGACCCCAAAACCAATCCCAACTTAACTACTCCCAAGGGTAACCCTTTACCAAAGTTAGACACCAAAATATCATTTCTAACTCAAGTTATCATCCGGAAACTATTTACCTTTAACTCACCACGGTAACCTTGACCTTTGACCTTTTGACCCCCAAACCAATCACAACTTGCCTACTCCCAAGGGCAACCCACTACCAAAGTTGGACACCAAAATCTCATTTCTAACGTAAGTTATCATCCGGAAACCATTTACATTTAACTCACCACGGTGACCTTGACCTTTGACCTTTTGACCCCAAAACCAATCCCAACTTGCCTACTCCCAAGGGTAACCCTCTACCAAAGTTAGACACCAAAATATCATTTCTAACTCAAGTTATCATCCGGAAACTATTTACCTTTAACTCACCACAGTAGCCTTGACCTTTGACCTTTTGACCCCAAAACCAATGCCAACTTGCCTACTCCCAAGGGTAACCCTCTACCAAAGTTAGACATCAAAATCTCATTTCTAACCCAAGTTATCATCCGGAAACTATTTACCTTTAACTCACCATGGTGACCTTGACCTTTGACCTTTTGACCCCAAAACCCATCCCAACTTGCCTACTTCCAAGGGCAACCCTCTACCAAAGTTAGACACCAAAATATCATTTCTAACTCAAGTTATCCGGGAAACTATTTACATTTAACTCACCATGGTGACCTTGACCTTTGACCTTTTGACCCCAAAACCAATCCCAACTTGCCTACTCCCAAGGGCAACCCTCTACCAAAGTTAGACACCAAAATATCATTTCTAACTCAAGTTATCATCCCGAAACCATTTACATTTAACTCACCATGGTGACCTTGACCTTTGACCTTTTGACCCCAAAACCAATGCCAACTTGCCTACTCCCAAGGGCAACCCTCTACCAAAGTTAGACACCAAAATATCATTTCTAACTCAAGTTATCCAGAACCCATTTACCTTTAACTCACAATGGTGACCTTGACCTTTGATCTTTTGACCTCAAAACCAATCCCAACTTGCCTACTCCCAAGGGCAATCCCCTACCGAAGTTACAACCCGAAACAAGATTTCTAACTCAAGTTATCATCCGGAAACCAAGCTACCCGGACGGACAGACGGACGGACGGACTGGTCAGAACGCGCTGACATACGGACGGACGCCCTAGGCGATGACAATACCCCTCGAGCCTTTCGGCTGAGGGGTAAAAAGAGAAATCTGGAAAGCGATTGGTGGATTAAAAAGTGCCCAGAATCCATCATATGTCTATAAAAGGGGCACGTCGTCAAAGATCAGCATCTAGATGAGGCCAGTCCAAGTCAGATATAGCTTTCCAAGTCACTTTGCGAGATTCAAGAATCAAGATCAAGACCAAGATGCCGTCCAAGTTTCCCTGCGTCATTTACCACACGAACTTCCGTCGCAACTACTCCTATAACTATGAGGCTGATTAAGAACCCCGCAAAATTTTCAGCACAAAACACTAATTAAGTACAAAAACGTCTATCAAAATGCAGAAATTTCCCACAGAACCGCTGCACAGTTTGCCCCCAAACTCCGTACCACACCTCATGACATACTCACAAAATATGCACAGAACAAACATCGCTGGATTTTGTCGGTTTCTTGGCTAAAATGATGAAAAATATGCCCTTTCCGCACTGAGCCAACCTAACACTTGAAACGTGCACGCATATGATCGAGCGATGATTTTCGGTTCGCTCGGAGCGCGCCGCGGGGAGGGGGGGGGGGGGGGGGGGGGGGGGGGGGGGTACGGTACAAGCACTTGTACGCATGCGCATACTATCATTTCGCTTGTACCGTACCCCCCCGCGGCGCGCTCCGAGCGAACCGAAAATCATCGCTCGATCATAATTATGCACGCGTGCACGTTTCAAGTGTTAGGTTGGCTCAGTGCGGAAAGGGCATATTTTTCATCATTTTAGCCAAAAATACGACAAAATCCAGCGATGTTTGTTCTGCGCATATTTTGTGAGTATGTCATGAGGTGTAGTACGGAGTTTGGGGGCAAACTGTGCAGCGGTTCTGTGGGAAATTTCTGCATTTTGATGGACGTTTTTGTACTTAATTAGTGTTTTGTGCTGAAAACAATTTTGCGGGGTTCTTAATCTATGAGGCTCCACTCATAGTTCTAGGAGTAGGAGTACGTCGCAACCAGCAGGCATGCCAGTGCGATGTCTGCGACCAGTGGCAGCATCGGGCGTGCAACACGGGTTATTCGGCTGATGAGTACGTCCGGATAATTGTCAGCGATCCAGACGTCCTTGCCAGCTGGATGTGCGAGATTTGTGCGAATCTCTCACCGCTACCATTACTCCTCCTGAAGAGGCGATGGAGGTCGAGGTCGGCTTTCAGTGCACAGTGTTTTATTTTCAGACGGGTACGAGTTGTTTCGGGTACGAGTTGTCCCGGGTACGAGTTGTCTCGGGTACGAGTTGTCCCGGGTACGAGTTGTCCCGGGTACGAGTTGTCTCGGGTACGAGTTGTCCAACATTCGTCACGGTCACGGTCGGGCGATGGCGATTTGAGTTGCTGGGGCAGTTGAACGCGAATAAATAATTTTCAGTTATGTTAGAAGAAAACTCAGAAACCTATGGCGTATGAACAATTTACATCATGTAATACCAGCACTGATATGAAATTTCACTGTATAAATACCTCCAAAGGGAGGGATATTCCGGTGAAAAGACGGAGTTTAACAACCGACGAGTACACTCACAGCATTGAGGAAGTAAAGGAAGCGAGGTAAGTACGTACGTATTCTAGCCTCTTCGTTATAGTACACACCGCCACCAACCGCTAACGAGGTTGAATCAGTGCATTGCGTGATGTGGGGAATTCCCAGGTTTTCTTGTTAACAAGAAATTAACAAGAAATATGGGGGTGGCCCAACCTCGTCCTCAGGGTGTCGTACAGTACGCGCCCATCACTACCTGCTTTCTCACCTGGTATTGGATCATTTGCATGTGCAAGATTTTTGAACACGTATGCAAATGAGCAATAGTCTGGTGCCTGGATTTGCGTTACATTAGCGTTTGTTTTTGTATGCGGTGTCTGGTGTAAAAACAGAGTCAATTCGTCGCAGCACGAGCACAGCGTGAGTTACAAAAACACGATTTATTTTTAAATCAGCTGTTACGATTTTATCGAGACAACATGCAGTAACATATTTCATATTAATATGGCCATATTAGGTTTATTTTGCAGAAAATAAACTGATTATCCCATAGCCGAAATGAAAAGCGGCACACCAACGTGTAAGCGTGCGTGTACGCATCGCGTAAATACTCGGTGCGCATTTCTAGCTTTGCACGCACGCGTTGAGCTTGGTCACGTGCGTGTTTTAATTTGCGCAGCATTGAGCTATTGTTAAAATGTTGGTAACACGGGCTTCGGTATAAAATAAAATTATTTTATTGACGACCTCGAGGATGACTTTAAAAAAATGGCAACACCACTCACTTCAAATGCAATACTTGAAATACAACAACGGCGATTTTATCGTGCATTCGATATGGCAACATGATTAACTTGTGCGTGAAAAGCATTGTATTTAGTGGTTCAACGGAGCCGTAACCGATTTAGAGATATCTCTAAATATTTAAAGATGTATCTTTAAATCACAATTTCGAGATATCTCTAAATGAATAAGAGATATTTCTAATTCATTTAGTATCTCTAAATGAATTAGAGATATCTCTCAAACCCCCCCCCCCCCCAGCTCTGTCCCCAAAAAATTCTCATACAAATTCCTAAAAAATAAGTTGAAGGTTGAATAAGTTGAGGCCACATAAAGTTTATTCTCGATCATATCCCCATCTAAAAACACGTTAGAATTGTGCAGCAGCAGGATTCCAGTCAAACCAGTGAGTTTGGTGGTTTTGAGACATCATCTTTCAATGAAAAAAAAAACACTTTTTCATTTTGCCGACGCGCATGGCTACGGCGACGCGCGCGCATACCAGAAACCGGAGACTTTTTTTTTTGGCCTTATGTTTGAAAGCATTGATCCTTAAAAAAAACACAACTTTCAACATTTTAAAGATGGCGTCGCGTAAAAACGGATAAACTGCAGCCTTATTATAATGTGCCATATTTTGACACGTTTAAATTACACAACATGGCGCAGCAAGATCTCGTACCCATGGAAACGAGGTTGTAAAGCACCCAATCATAGAACGGAAAACTGGTTCCCGCCTCATAAACGTAAAAAAGGAAGGAAGTAACATGAACCAACCTGACAGCTGCAACACGTGGTGGGTTTTCCCATTCATTTATTCGCGGGCGCGGACGGAGTGGCTCATGGATTTTGACCGACTGCAAAAGTCGAAGTGAAGTTTTACCATTTTCAAGCAGAAAACACAATTTCTAAGGCCTCCAATGTGAGCTGTGACATACGTTCGTTTAAGCTAGTACTCCGGGTAAGAATATTTCCAATTAAAAGTGGAGTGTAGTAGGCCTACTATATATTAAGCTAATTTGGAAAGAATGATGTTGCAACCTGACGCCACTTTTTTCTTCATATATTCTCTCAATGAAGGTCAGTCATTGTATTGCAAAAATGCTGATAAGACATGAATCTGGGACCATATGAGAAACACTCCCAATTTTGTAATTTTTGTTAGGAAAATTGTCTTGACTCTCCGTAGACTTTGTACACAACCGCATTTATAAGTGGCGTCAGGTTGCAACATTCTAGTGTGTAGTATCAGACGCCACTTCAGCGGTGTGTGTACAAAGTGTATGAAGAGTCTAGGAAATCTTCTAGGTACAGTCAGTGCGACAGTTCCGGATCATCGACATTTCCAGATCACTTGATTAAATAAGAATTAGTTGAACTGTCACATTTCTTTTTGAGATTAAATAAGAATTAGTTGAACTGTCACATTTCTTTTTTGAGATTTTTTTCCCCACCAATTTGAAGTTTATCATTTTGCAATTGTCCGGGAAAGAACATTTTGGAAATCGCTCAAACATTACCGATGATCCAGTTCGGCGAAATATCCACTTGTTTTAGTGTTCTTATTCCTACATGTATTAAACTGGCCTGTGAAAGGAAGCGCGTAGTTCTGGTTCGAGTCCTGTGGAACATAGCCAACATTTATCATTTTTTCCTTCGCTATAGGCCCTATAGGTTTTATTGTAAGGAAATAATCTCAAGTATCAATGCATGAGTATTCGCCAAAAGCTTTTTATTCCCGCGTGCGACAGTTGTGGATTACCCATGCACAGGATGCAGTTTAGATGATGAAGGCGTGACACGCTGAAATTATGAGAGTTAATTTTTTTACGTAGACAAAGTTTTCAAACTTACTTCATGAAGTCTGTAGTTATTAACTTTATCAAATCTTTCAATTTTTCTGTTCAGAGTTGGCTTTAGTTGTTTATCAGTAGCTTACGCGGTATGGTTTTTTTTTTAGCTGCGGGACGGCTCAACAAATCATCTTTCCTCTCCGTTAGTTAGTAACAAACAGTTGACATTGTCTATTGCGCCTACATATTTTGACCGATTTCACCAAACTATGTCAAAAGTAGTAGCCCACCCACAACAAGCAAGCAATGCAGCAGCAACAAACAAAGCCATATGACCAAGCTGAGAATAGTAAAGAGAACCGTACGTTGACAAGAACTGTTTCTGGCAGCTCGAGATCAGTGCAACTTGGTCTCTACCTTCAGGTACCCAATACTCCTGGGTGGAGAGAGGCAATCGTAGTAAAGTGCCTTGCCCAAGAACATAAGCACCATGTTCCCCGACAGGTTTCGAAGTTCCAACCCATGCACCATTCACGAGTCGAACACCGTAACCATTGGACCACAGTGCCCCACACGCATGAACACGCTTCCGAGATATTTCAGATCGAGCTTGATTCCCTTGGAAAGGAAAATGTTTGTAAAATGTATGACAAAGTTTACAAGAGTGTAAGTTAAACTTTGCTCATATAATCAGGCAGTTTTTTTTCCTCCTTTAAGTATCTAATGACCAGTGATTTTATAAATTTCCAAGCCGTTTTATTCACATTTTTTAAAAAAATGTTCCCATTGATTTAACCCCCTGGAATAACTCTTCCAAAACTGCACACATGGCTCAATAAATGATCACAAAGGCAAAAGTGTTTTTGATTTTTTAAAATTATTTTATTGTAATCTTTACCAAGGGTAGTTCATTTCAGTTTTCAAAAAACTGCTTTTCCAAAGGAGACCTCACATTAAAATTGCATGGGAATAAAATGAAACAAAGAATTCACTTATACAAGAAAAGTGGACAGAAAATAACACACAATTTACACAAGACATACAGTATAAAGACAAGAGATTGGGCAATAAATAGAAATTGTAAAACAAAATGCATTAAAAGAACACGCATAAATAAAGACACAAAATGCTGTCATACATAGGACTCAATGAAGAGAGGAAAAACTAACTGGGTTTTTTTTATAGTTAAAAAAAAAATTGTTGTTTCCTGCTGCTATTATTACATATGGTCCCACAAATTAGACCAGCTGCCAGAAATCACAGCCTAATCATGAATTAAAAATATAATGCTACATGGTGCTTCACAATCGCATACCATCCAATAAAAAGGACAATATAACAAAAGGGGTTTAATTTAACTAAACATGTGTTTTTAAATAATGCATGTACATGTACATGTACATGTTATGTACATTACATAATGGTATATACGTGTAACACTTAAATTCTTTAAACTATAATTTAATTAAATCATAAAATTCACTGCAATGCCATGACTCTAAATGGAAGTTGTAGAGCTGATCAATTGCATTTTTTTAAAACTAAATGAGCGAGAAGCAAAAACTTTAACATTGTGTTCAGAATGCGGATGGATCGACAGACGGAATTTGAATTTGTAAAAAGATATGACTGTATACATGTGTATTTACAAAAAAATAAAAGATTCTGACTTGCAGATATTTACAAATTTTCAGTTTGGAATTGAAATTTTTACGTCCATTTAAAAAAAATACATAATATATACAAACAGTTCAAACATTTGACAAATTACAGAAATCTGTAAAATGGATTAATGTATGATAGTTTGATTTTTATATGAAATCAAGGCAGTCAATTTATAAATATATAAAAACAGTCCCAACATTGACAAATTTATTATAGAAATCTGTAAAATATTCAATGTATAAATGTATGATATACTGATTTTTATATAAAATTAAGGAAGTCAATTTTGGAGTTGCATATTCAGTGCGTCCTTAATAGTTTTTTATCTCAGGATAATTCTTCTTCTTTTTTTAAATAATAATTAACATTTAACAAACATTATTTTATACAGCTATTTCACTGTACATATATACATAAAATGCAGCTTTTTTGTTTTGCACTTGTGAAATAATATTCGTTTATACCATTACTACATTTACCAATTCCTTTTGGTTGAGAGCCTGTGACATGACAGGTTTAAACCAGGCTAAAAAGCAGGGAAAAGGTCGTGAGACCTCACTCTACATACATGTACATGTGCACAGGTGTGCGCACCATAAATGGCCTAAACGTGGCAGTCAGCCTAAAACATCCATGTAAAACAAAGAATGGTTTAAAAAACATGTTCTTAACCAGTTCCCGCCGGGATTATTTTGACAAGAAGGGAACGAGGCACGGGATTACTTTTCACTCGACCTCAAGCCAGGCGGGTTGAAGCCATCACCCTCGGGCAGCACACTCATATTTCCGGCCTCACTCGCTGCGAGCGGGTCGCTGACTGATTTTTCCGGCCTCGCTCGTTGCGTGTTTATCCGTCGTCTGTTCCGAATACTGCCAAATTTTTGCGTGTATACACGTCATGCGGCGTGAACTGGTTAAACAACTTTTCTACAACCGTTATCCTTAGTTAAAACTCCTTCAAAAATATATGTAATATAAATATTATATATTTATATAATATGTCATAGAGGACGATTTCATTGGATAATACAAGTATAAAAATATGAGTGGTGCACAGGAGTACCACACTTTTGCACGTCATTCATGCACTGCGCAGTTACATCATTGCAAAATATTAAGTATTGTTAAGCGTATTCCACCTTGCCGTTTGCGTGCATCCTCCACGGCCAATCCCCACCATCCGGTGCTGGCATGGCAACAAGAGTATGGTTGCCTATCCTAAAGGTATGACCTCTACCCAAGGCTCCTCCGTTCATCTCATGGAGAGTAAAAGGCTTCGTCTTGATCTGAATTTGAAAAAAATTAATGCACAAACTTCACTTTAGTTATATGGCCGTGCGAAACTTACAAACTTTGGAATTCAGGGACTATTTTTAATCAAACTAAACTGAAAATAAGTAAGATTTGAGGCTTTGCATGGTGGGGATACTAATTAACGAAAGGTTTGCGGAAACATGAAGTGCGAATAATTTTTCAACTAAGAGAATGGTTCTGAAAAGAAACAGAGGTATAAACTCGACGTTCCAGTCGGTATGCTCTGACCGTCTTAAGGAGAGTGCCGATACTGCTTATGCTGAGTTTAGGCACTGTCCTGAAGACAGAGCATACTAACCGGAACATCGAGTTTATACCTCTGGTTCTTTTCAGAACCATTCTCTTAGTTGAAAAATTATTCGCACATGGTGTTTCTGCAAACCTTTCATTATTTAAACTGAAAATGTTTTAGCTTGTACCTCCTCATACAATGCTTCAGCAACACAGATCACAGAGTTCAATCCTGGTGGAAGTTTTATCTTCATGTCCTCGCAGCCTTCATCCTTGACGGTCACAAATATACCTAAATAAAATTTAAAAAAAATACAATTAAATATAAACAAAATCGTAAAACAAATCACACTTCATTTTAATAGTAATCTATTTCTTGAAGGGAATATACAACATTTGATTTTGCTGTGATTTTCTTAAATGGATGGATTTGGGGGTTGGTATTTTACAGTAAATATAACACCCACTTGTTTGAAGTTTTGTGTTCACAGATGCTGAAAAAACATAGAAAAAACAATCCTTTTCCTGTAGTCTGGTTCCCTGACCCCACTTCAGATGACACAAAGCCATTTATGAACATCGGGGAATTGTAAGGCCGGGGAATCAGTCTAGCTGGCTTGTACCCGTTCATAGGTGTGTAATTGATAGCAAAAAAAATGCAGACTAACTAAATATGGTATGGGGACAGTAAAAAAGCATTTTTCCCAATGCTGGTCGGCCAACCAGTGATGGAAATTGATACAAAAATGCTTTAGACTTTCATTTGCTAACAATCCAGTAAAGTATTTCATAATAATTTGGTAGTTTTGTTTTTTGATGTTTGCAAATGTTGTATACATGTATTCCTTTTAATATTTATCATCTTGGTTATTAGATATATGAGGGTACCTTTGACACCATGGGGGCGTACATCTGCGGCACCTATGTCATCGTGTACTGGTGCTGGCTGGTTGTGGGTCAGAGTCTCCTCATCTAGTTGTGGATCGGTAGGTGGGCCGGGCACGGGGCGGACGGGGCCATCAGGACCATGGGGGCGTGCATCCCCGGCACCTATGTCATCGTGTACTGGTGCTGGCTGGTTGTGGGTCAGAGTCTCGTCATCTAGTTGTGGATCGGCAGGTGGGCCGCGGACGGGACGGACGGGGCCATCAGGACCATGGGGGCGTGCATCCCCGGCACCTATGTCATCGTGTACTGGTGCTGCTTGTTGTGGATCGACAGGGTGGCCATCAGAGCTGTCATCTGACCACGGGCTATGAAGCATTGAACAGTGATATTAAAATGTGTGTTCCGAAGAAGAAAAAAAAGATTGGATGCTTTAAGACTAAAGGACACTACAATTGTCACGATTTCCAGTTTTCCTTTATAAGGAAACATGAGGTCACGAGAATACCATCGCCCACGTCAGATTCTCATATTTATGTCTTTTGACACATGCTTAACAGTAGTTGATGCTTTGTGAACACCTCATCTCCAAAAGGAGGTGTATATCAAGGACACGCATGTGAAATATCCTTTTCTAATTATGGAAAAGGTGTTCAAAACCAATGGGAGCTGTTCGAAAAATTTTTTTAAGTATGAACAAAAGAGAAACAATAGGAAATCCTTGATTTAAGCTTATACATGTAGGTACACATGTGTGTGCCAACCATGCCATTTTTGTGTGGACCTGAAAACAAACAGGTCCATAGAATGCAGGTTGTATGAACCTTCTGTGGACTAAGCCAGGTCCACACCGTGTTTCCCCCTCTCTGAAAAACAGGTTTAGCATTTTTAGGTTAAAATTATCTGTCGTAAAATGTAGAGGAACACTCATTACAGAGATGCCACAGGGTCTGCTTGAAAAAACCGGAACTGGGTCTGCTTGAAAAAACCTGAACAGCTACTTGAAAAAAACGGAAATTTTTGTGTTTGAAAAAGCCACTCTGGCACAAATACAAAGTCCCTGTTATTTTCTTTTTTTTGTAGTCAAGCCCAGTTCCATTTGTTTTTGCTTCTATTTGCCTTTAAGCTGTCGGTTCGTTCAATTACTTTGAATTGTTCATATTCCTATTATTTATTCCGCCTACCCAATCCCAATTTCCAACGTTTTCTACACGAAACATGCACGATTCCTCAACACTGTCGGTGTACATGATCTTTGCACTACGCGATGCGCGCGACGAAAACATGGTTGGTACCGGGCGTTTTTTTTTTATTCACATATCGCTGCGATCGGCAGGAGCCACTGATAACTGAAATGATAGACTTGATTTCCAGGCTGAATGCTACGTGTGCTTAGCACACAACACGCCCGCACTCTGTGCATGCACGCGAGGCGCCGTTGTATACTGCATGCAATTACGTTGGCCGCCTGTATCGCTTGCAGGCTCGGCAACAACAAAGACTTGTTTTTTAAGACTACTTCAATGAACAACGTTGTGCCGTGCGTGCGTGTGCAAGTAGGCCGACATGTACTAAACTCAAGTCCCATACGAGGTAAAAATCAACGCATTTCCACATTTTTTCCTCTCTTTTTTCCAAGCTTTTTTTTTTGACGGCCGGAAAAAAGAACAGATTTTTTGGGGGACTTTTTTCCAGTTTTTTCCATTTTTTTTTTCAATTGACACCGGAAGGAAACTGGAATTTTGTGAGATTTAAAAAAAAACACCCCAGAATTCCGGTTAAAACCGGAAAAGTGGCATCTCTGACTCAAGGAATGTCCACACTAGGTATGTAAGGTAAGCCCGTGCATGTGTGTACGGACTTGTTGGTATGCGTTGGAGTATTCTGAATCTGCAAAAAGTTGATACGTCTTTGTGCTAGTGTCGGGCGTTGTCGGCAATGCGTACGAATGTCCCTCCCCCAACTCTTTATGAAACTGTTGAAGGGGATGTGCACAGAGCTCATCTCTTGCACTTGAATATCATCTTTGCATGCAGGCATGACTAACCTCTCATTGCTGTTTCCAAGTTTCGCAGGTGAGGAGTCAATTAGTGGCTTAGCGGGTCTGGCACGAATGCTGTACATCTCTTTCACTGTTGCAGAACAGGAATGACAACAAAATGGTAAATCTTCATAATTTGATTTCAAATTCAGATATTTTCCACAAATATTTTCAAGAATGCAATGGACATTTCAGCTCGGTAACCACCACTGCAGTGTCCTGTACTTTGATTTCTAGTTGACTTTCTTTTTCTAACATTTGATTTTGTAAGAAAAAAATTAAAAAACAACCCAAAAGTAAATTTTGCCTCCAATACTTGTGTTACAGTCCAGGTGAAATACATGGTCATGAAAATAGAATAGACCCATAAACATAGAAAGTTAGTACTGTTTGCTCAATAACAGTTCATAATGGTGAAAACTGGGACTTGCCTTTCTCCCGGGGGATATCCTTGCACCTCTGCAATACCTCCTGAGCTCTAGGCCTGGAATTCTTATCAACCTTGTGGGCCCGTTCCACAAGATCTCGCACTATGGGATCAGTGGAATTTGGTATGTCCACTAAAGGATAATCCTATTAACAATAAAAAAAAAAAAATTTCATTTTATGGGCTCTATGCTAAAACTTTTCCAAAGCAGCTGTGATATCTTGGGTGTATTTTAAATTCAATCACAGAATAAGGTAGTCTGCAGGATCAGACATTCACGTTTGCAGAGCCACATATGAACGAAGGTCTGAGATCATGCACATTTTATGTGACCCAGCGCGCCAGGCAATCGGACTGTGATGTCATTTCGATCAGAAAGGCGGACTAAGCTGTTGATTGGTCAATTTAGATGCCATGTTTCTGTAAAAACAACAGGTTATGGAAGACCCAATAGAAGGTGCCTGCTGATTGGTCTGAATCTCGAGGTCAAGGCGCAGTCTAGTTTCGCATAATTAATCGCCGAATCTGCGCAAATATCATAAGATGCTTGTTTGCAAGCTGCTTTTCCATAAACTGAGAATGAGAGTGGAAGTGATCACTATTCATCATAGTCCAATTTCATGGCTCTTGGTGAAGTAAAGAATCCACCTACAACAATAGCAGAAAATTCCACACTGACAAAAATTGGATAAACAAGAAATTTGGCTTCTGGACGTGCCTTCAACTACTTGAAATTAACCTACTTCTCCCCCACCCCAAGCACATATTCCCTGCATTAGAGCAAAAAAATCTACCTTGATTATTATTCCACACCAGGGAGCAGAACCCTTGAGAAGACACATCAAAGTGCAACTTGCAGACCAAACATCAACACGCCCATCGTAACTTTCACCTCCTAGACAAAACAAAAAACAAAAACAAAGACAGTCTCTGCAAACAATTAGCTATGTTTTTATCAAGAGAAAGTGTTACAAGCTGATGTTTACTTGTTTTCAGAACACTTTTGTACCCAAAAAAAATTGTTGCGTTCACCCTCAACTCAATTCTCCGCCAAAACGTGACCATCTAGCAACTGTCATTATTAATTAATTTTTCTGTTTCAGGTACTAAGTTTACACATTTTCAGTCGAATTGCTCAAGTAACGTTATTTATACAATATTTTCCTTCACAGTAATGAACTGTTGTACAATGTGTACTGCTCTAATGCATTGTTACATGAACGGCAGGGTGAGTTTTGTCCATGGTTATGCAGCTGCACAAAACAACACGGAACAACATAGACTAGGTTTTACCTGTTTCCCAGATCATTGGGCCATCATACAGAGGTGTGCGCTGAAAATTCAGACCGATCTGACCGTGTACCGGATGAAATCAAACATGTTTGATTTTTTCGCATCCGTTTTGACCGGATCCGATTTCTCCGGACGCAATATTTATGTTAACCAATCAGATTCACGGAGGAAGTCCATGATTGTCGTCATGTGACTGATCATCATGTTATCGATTATATATGAAATTGGGCATGTGTGTGGGTAACGTAGCGGTCTAACTGCAACTGTGAAAAACCAGGACTGGTGATGGGGTGATCCGGTGATGGGGTGACACTGGTAAAATCGGTGAAGGTGTGCGCCGGGTTTAGCAGGTTGGAACGCCCAGCCATGGGCACACTTGAATGGTTTATTTGAATACTCCAATCATGCTCCAATACAGCAGTATGCAACTACATTGAGAAACTGATAGCGTATCCCCACATTTTTAACATTTTGTACAACACATCCTCTTACTTTCAATTTCTGGTGCCCTGTAGGTATCATTTCCCATTCCATCCGTCGTCTCTTCAATGTAACCAGCAGTTTCAGGACATTTCAGCTTCACAGCAATTCCAAAATCAAGCAACTTGACGTTCCCACCATACTTTTGATTTGATTGGCAAGACTTTACTAGGATATTGCTGGCTGCAGTAAGGAAACACAGAAACAACAGAAATCAGACTAAACAAATTTATCCACAGTTCACAGTGAAATAAGACGCAAAATGCTTTGACAACATAATCTAGAATATCACACACTTTTACCATGTCTGGCTTACGATTGATATACTTTAAAAACAATTCGACTGACTTCATCAATAAATAATTAACTTAGAAATGGATTAGAAACTCTGTGTTCCCTCAGACATCTGCTAGTTTAAGCATTTAGTACAGTTGTGTGTTTCGATAGCGAATACTGATTTTTGTTTCTTTTCCCGCTGAATTTTAGTGGCGAGCAGGCTTTGCCAGGCCCACTATGAAGCCGCCTCTCACACCACATTACACTAGGAGGTGCTGTTCATGATACATATGTGCAAAAGTTTTACATGTTATGCAAACTGGCACGTTCACAATACATCAAGATGGTGAATTTCAAGCTTTTGTGCTCTTCATTCTCTCAGTGCTATTTAATACCTTTGGGCTGTTAAAGGTAGAGTCCATCATTTGTAATTTGTGCATTTTGTTCGTTTGAAGCAACAAAAGAGTTCAAAATCTAATGAAGGATACTGAACAACTAACCTGATGAAGTTTCAGCTAAGCTTCAGCTGTACATTCTGAGAAAAACAGCATTCTAAGATCTCAATTTCAAATCAAAAGTTGCTGAATCATGTTTTTGAATTGTTTTGAATTGCAACTATACGCGACGTCGCGCACTGATCCGACGAATTATAACAACCGCGCGCGCGTGTGCGTCGTTCGAATACTTGTGCGCGCTGCGCTGAATAACAAAACGAACTACTAATTTAAATTTTCCTACGGTGCTTCTTAAGAATCACCGTTGGAAATGCCTTCTTTCGTTGATTACTTCAAAATGACAGCTTCCCAGAAAGAATAATTTCACAGGGAGTTTAGTCTCCTTACTATCTTTCAACCAAGTTAGTTTTTCAACAATAATTACGCCAGTTACTTTTCGGATGGCTGCAAATGATGGACTCTACCTTTAAGTTAGAAAATAACTTTAAAATCAGCATTTCTCGCCACACAAATCCAGGGCATGATCTAATGGCCCATTTCCCCCCCCCCCCCACATTTATGCAATTGGGCAACAGCATGGAATAGCAGCAAAATCACAAAGCTTTCTGAGAGAAAGGAGGAAAAGGACCCCCCCCCCCCCCCAATAAAGAAAGAAAGAAAATAATTGAAACTATACTAACGGTAAACATCTCTGTGAATGATGTTCTTTTGATGAAGGAAGGCCAGTGCTTCAAGAAGTTGCTCTGTCACTTCTAACGCTTCACCTTGTCCAAAGGCCACACATTGGTCCACACGCGTCTGAAGGGTCTGATTACCTGGGTCATATTCTGACAAAAACATGACCATAATACCCGTCTGTATCAGACCAAACAGACGGACGATGTTTTCGTGGATTAGGGGACACCAGATGATCGCCTCGTCAGCCACAAAATGCTTCAAAGTGACCTTAAAAAATAAAGCAAATTATTGTGTCTGATTCACGAGATAATGATATCAACAATCCAATGCACTTACAGCACAACCATTTTTCTACTACATGTACATGGATATAAATATACGAAATTCATTATCCACAAGCTATTTAGAGAGACCATGGACTCAAACACCCCTACGCCCCAACAGTGGCAAAGAGAGGGGAAGCCACTTTACACTAGCAGGGTTCGACCTTAACTTTTTTTTCACTAGCAAGCCAGGCTACTGAAACAGAGTCTTATAAACTAGCCCGCGGACACTTTCACTAGCCCGCATGTTTTTTTTCTTTTATAGAGTGTCTCATTAACAACAATGTGCACATGTAAAACGTGTATAGAGCCTGAAAGTTGACCCCTGTTGGTGCGTTTGAGGGCCCCTCGAAAAGGAAAATTAACATGTAAAAGTCAAAGTTTCTGAAATTAGTTTTGGTACATTGATTCTGAAGAAAATCACCCTCGATATTTTATGGAAACTGAAAAATTACATGACGTGAAAGAGAAAAATCGTGCCAAAAATTGACCTTCCACTTCCGTGTGGTTTAACGCGACTTACAAATTTTCCGGCAGCGACTGCTGGTGATTTGTTGTCACGAATGGCGAAGACTTTGCTGTGTGCACCAGTTCCCAGTAGCTTTCCTTGACTGTACTCGTAACCATTTCGATAATGTCCACCCCGAATAGTGAATTTCTATAATTAAAACAACAAATAAATGATGCCAAAATGAAAACAAAAAATGTACAATTAAAATGCAGATGAGACTATAGCTTCACACATTTCAAATAAAATTAAAAACAGATTCTCTTTTGAACAATTCAAGAAACAAAATGAAAGATCAGCCTGTCAGCCTTTATGATTATAAGCAGTACACCAACTAAAATTGTTGAACCCTGTTCACCATATGAGAGAGCACTCACTTTCAATGTATTCTATGATTTAAGAAAAAAGTAAAAGATATTTGCATGTTTTCAAAAGTGGTCAGAGCTCAGTCAATTTCAGTTTCATATTCAAAATACCTTGCACATTAGCACTCCATCCTGACTTCCATCTTCTAGAACTGCACAGGTTGTCTGACGTTTTCTGATGTCTTCTGCCAACGCAATCACCTCAGCCGCACCACCATAGACCACGGAATGTTTACCCGGGCCACGAAAATTCACGATTTCGTCTTTTTCCCCCTCAATATATGATCTGCGAGAGTCACGCCGTTTCAGCCAATGAACTGTCGGGTCATCCCTTGAAATTTGACTGTTGCCAGAATCCACTAGAGTCTTATAAATGGCAGAAGAATAGGACTTGGAGGCATAAGGGTTGGACTCGGAGGTAGGCAGCTGAGCAGTACTGATGGGATGGTCAGTAGGCCTTGCGTTCCTTGTGGCATCAGAGTTGGCCTGGCTGTCACCAGCCTCATCAACGTGTACGTGACTTTGATCATTGACCTCTCTTGGGGATACTTCAGCTTCAGCAGTCAACGACGCTCTGCTCTGGTCACCCCCGGCTCCCCTTTTCGGTATGGCGCCTGTCTTTCTCCAGTCAAATGCCCCGCCATCTGTCGACTTCTCAGGAAGTGTCTTTGCGGTCGCCTCTTCCTTATCTCCGGCCAGGTTGCCCTGGTCTCTGCGAGACTGGGAGCCCAATCGGCTTTGGTCGTAGCTGGTTGGACCGCGCCTGCTACTGCTGGCATCATCAGTGTCATCCTTTCTCGTAGCTTGATACTTGGGCAAGTTGGTAGCCATGGCTGAAAGTGTAATACACAAATAAAACACGTATGGTTTAAAGGGAATGAAGGGAAGTATCGCAAACTTATGGCCCTGAGGTGTTTGCTGACTTGCTGACTACCTCCAAAAGCAGAGCGAAGGGGAGGTAGAAATCATCTGAAAGAAACAACCCTCCACTCCAACTTCAGGATTTAATATGTGGCAAACATTGCTCTCGAAACCTCTTTGTGTTCTCTCTACTTTAATGAATTTGCCATGCCATTAGCCAAAACAATTCGAGGAGAAAAGATTATATCTTCTCAGCTTTTGATGGCCAAATTTTGCAATTAAAAAATTACTGTATAGACCTAGAGCAATTTTGTTTATCCAGCACCAATTTGGATTGGCCGAAAATAGATACAACTTAAGGCCAGCGGGCCCCCCACCCTTAAGGAAAAAAGAATGATGCATTTAGGCCTACACCAGTACCCAATGTACATTTTGCTTTTCACTGAAGTAATTTGTTAGAAGAAGAATGTTCAAACAATAACTTCATGAACTTGTTCATCGTTCACGCAACTTTCTGCTCGATCAGTGAGTTATTACACTTTTTCGAGAAAAACGCGAGAGAAAACATCAGGCACACTACTTTTGTGTCATGTACATTGTACATGTACTATATAGGCCTATAACACGATGCATTCTCCAAAACTTTGCCAAAATTAACTGGTCATGGGACATGATCACGTCAACTAGTAGTACTAGCCCAACTGCCTAGGCCTAAATCGCAAGCTAGCTCTGATCTGTAACTTGTAGTACTTGCGGAAGTTGCGATGCGAAAGTATTATTAATTTGTACGGTCAGAGGCAGTCGGGCCAGGAATCACCTCAGTACAGCGTGATTTCTATATTTTTAATGACAGTATTTCGTCCGGCGCAGACGGAATAACTTCACGGCTTGTTTATGCAGTATACGATCTTTTGTCCAAATGTATTGAAACTAATGAAAGAGTACTGATGCGGTTACACTTGAATGGCGTATACACACACGACACACGCGCAGCCGGCTAGGGTTCCCGGTTCAATGATTTCATCAAATTTATCAAGTTCAAATGCAGATCGAATCATCGCAAAAAGACGGCAGTTGCATATATCATGGAGGAAGGAACCATGCATAGGATTAGATCAGAAAAACGAGGTCTTATTGAATTTAAAAGACCTCAGTCTTTTAAATTCAGACACATAATTTGCTCACTTCTTCGGCGAAATGCTTACTGTTTGAGTGGTGGCGGGAATTCCCGATCCCGACCGCGCGGAACGTCCGATCATGGCTGGTTATCCTTCATATTCATACGCGGAGCCGTAAAAAGAGGGCCAAATCGAATGCCACACTCCAATGAACGTTTGAGGGCTTTCAATTTCACGTAAAAACCAAATCGTGAATAAAACTAAACGGAAATGTTTTATCCGCAAAATAATCCCGAAACTTTGGAACTATTTGTGTCGCGGAAGAGGTTGAGCGTGGCCATCTACTTGCGTGATGAGGTGGCTAGCCGGCAAAAAAAACCTTCCAGAAAATTCTAGGACAACCTCGTCCCCCCATGCATTACGGTTTTTGTAGAAAGCGTTTCGATCATGCAATTAAACGCTCTATCTTAACCCTGGGAACGACTGTGTGCAATGTTCGCTCGTACCCCCGCCCTGCAAACAGGACGCTGGAAGGGCTGACGAATTAACGCTCTGATTGGATAGATTTTGCGTGACCTCTGCTGCCAGTCATCACAACCACGACCCTGAAAGGTTTTTAAAAAAGTCATTCATCACTCTTTTATTCAGTCCCATTCATAAATGCGGTGTCCTTTTTTGGTTGAAAAGCATAATAACGGAAGGAAAATCTGTAAAAGTTATTTGTTTTGTAAATTTTCAAGTCCCGTCAGTTGCTCAGGCGCCGTTTCAAATTCACGAAGGCTCGACCATGGGTCGACGAAATGTATATGATTCGACGCTCAAAATGTTGTCAACATGGCCCGCAATGAAAATCACATCCGGTATGGTGTGTATGCATTTCTGTGGCAAATTTTTCGGATAGTATTTGCGCGCATTGGCTAACCGCGGTCTACAGCTGCAGCCAGATGCTTTATACATCGGTCATGATAAATTACCCAGAATGTCATTCCCACTTCCTTCACATGATTCTGTGAAGCTCATCTGCCCTTCCCGGCCCAGCGCCCTGTTTGCAGGGCGGGGGTACGAGCGAATGTGCAATGGGGCAATACTTTTGTGGGAGGAGCTGAGGGAGATGGTTTTGGAAAGGGGCCCATAAATGATTCGAAAAGTGAAGGGGGGGGGCGGTGGCGGTGAAAGTGTGGATTTCATGGAGGACGCTGTTCAGATATCACCGTCATGGGAAGAGGTTCACGCACCCCGTCATTATAATGAACACTCTAATTCTACCTCGCCCTTATTTATTTTCCAAAAACAAACAAATGACCCTCCCCGGCATCGCATTAAGCCCCCGCGGAGTACTGTTAGGGGAACCCGGAACCTGGTGGGGGTGCACCGGTTTTTCAAGTGCGGCACCGGCACTATGAATATTTGAACTATGAACTATATGAATATTTTGCAATTTAAAATTTTAAATTCAGCACCGGGGGGGGGGGGGGGGGGGGGGTTAGTACGTCACACAAGGGAGTAATTTCCGGGGGGTGGGGGTATATATCCCCCCGTCCAGGGCCGGGGTGGACCCCCCCCCCCCCACTTTTTTCGGGATAAAAAAGAAATCGAGGTATTTTGCGAACATCCCAACAACCAAAATGCATTAAATAAGGGAATAAATGTGTGCTCCGGAGGTTTTTATCACTCGTTTAATACCGCTTAGAGTCTGGGTGCTGATAATTACCCGAGCCGGAGGCGAGGGTAATTATCAGCACCCAGACTCTAAGCGGTATTAAACAGAGTGATAAATACCGACCGAGCACATATTTATTCCCATTCATAAATACCTTATCCGTAAAAAAATATCAAATAATTCGTTCAAAAAATCCCGATTTTGTTCAACAAGTTCACTTCATGCTTTTTGAAACATCCCTCTAGCAAAATAATGGAGTGTTCAGCTGGCGAGTAAGATGTAAACAACCCTTTTATGGAGATTGACGCGCGCGTAGCATGTTCTGCGCGATGTCACGCAGAACGCACCTGGGGCGTTGCGTTTTGAATTTAGAACTTTAAAATTCTGTCTCGCTTGTAGTGTTGCGCATGCCTACGTGAGGATTGTGAACGTTCAACCAATGAAACGTTAAGAGGCACTGGATTTTTAGGAGTCCACATTTTGTTGTGACACTGGAAAAGTGTTTAAGACCAGCTAGCCATGTCTTTATCATCCGTTTAAGACCGGCCACGTGACGGGCTCTCGGCCAATAGGAATGGCTAAACTGTCTGAGGTATTTATGAATAACGCTCAAACATGCATAAAAAAAAGCTTTGAAAATGCGCCGTAAGTTGATGTTTGGATGTAAGGGCGAGTATACATAATTGATACACAGTTGAGTCGTTCCGACCCGTAGCCAAATTTGTTTGTAATATCAGTCCCATTCATTATGCACATAAATGCACAGTGGGGACTAAGGCTTTATGTTTGTTATAACCAGAATTTTGTATTAACAGAGTTTGTACTAACGACATTTGACTGTACATGCCTGAAGCGAAGAGCGCCCCCTATTTGAATGTGGTGTCCAGCCACCAGCCCTAGAACGGTAACTGGTTCCCGCCTCGTACACGTTAAAAAGGGAGGGAGGAACCGAAACCAACCTGACGGCTTTAACACGTGGTGTGATTTTCCATTCATTTTATTCGCGGGCGCGGCATGGCACTGTGGAGAAAGGAGTGCAAGTGACGCTGGATTTTTCACCGACCGTCTGCAAAAGTTCGAAGTGAAGTTTTACCACTCACTTTCAAGCAGAAAACACAACTTATAAGGCCTCCAAATTTAGCTGTGACACAGTTCGTGTAAGTACTGGTAAGAACATTGTCAACTAAAAGTGGGAAAGTGTACAAGTGTATGGAGAAGTTAAGAAAAGTTTCCAATTATTTCCTAACAAAATTGGAAATGTTTCTCAGTCCCATATTCATGTCGTATCATCAATTTTGCAATGACCCGGCGACCTTCAATGCAGGTGCGGTTCTACAACCAATATTTTGGGGGGGGCTAGCATGGTGGACCCAGAATTTTTTCAGGGAGGCGTGCTGAAATGTAGACCGGTTATACTTAGTGCAAATATATGGGAGTCCAGAGAGGCCACATAAAGCTTATTCTCGATCATAACCTCATCTAAAAACACGTTAAAATTGTGCAGCAGCAGGATTCCAGTCAGACCAGTGACTTTGGCGGTTTTGAGACATCAACTTGTATTGAAAAAAAAACTTTTTCATTTTGCGGACGCGCATGGCTACGGCGACCGCGCGCATACCAGAAACCGGAGACTTTTTTTTTTTGGCCTAATGCAATTTTTTTTTACGGAATTTATTTTGGGGGGCTAGACAAAATTTTGGGGGGGCTACAGCCCCCCTAGCCCCCCCATAGAACCGCGCCTGCTTCATTGAGATATATGAAGAAAAAAATCAGCAGGAGGTTGAAAATTCTTTCCAAAATTGAGAAACCAGCATCGGTTGTGTACAAAGTCTACGCTACTCCTAGAACTATGAGGCTCCACGTAGTGGAACATAGTTCTAGGAAATTTAGTCAAGGAAATTTTCTAAGTAGAGCCTACAGTCAGTGTGACTGTTCCGGATCATCAATATTTCCGAATCACTTGATTAAATGAAGGTTAATTCAACTGTAACCTATTTTTTTTTCTATTTTTTTTTTCTCACCAATTTGAAGGTCTATCCTTGTGCAATTTTGGAAATCACTCAAACATTACACACAATCCTGTTTGGCAGCTCACTCTTCTGATTTTTTTTCCGAAGTGTTGCTCACAGGTGACAAATAGATGGGGCTCCTTCTTGTTTGCCCTGCTCTAATTTGAAATTAATGCCAGAGAAACTATTGCTACACTGATCTTTAAATTTTGTTTCTCCAGACCAGACATCACAACTTGAGGCTAGGGATACGACTGCAAGACTGCATGTTCACTAAGGGGAGTAACCATTTTTAAAACTTATTTTTGCAGCTGTGGATATGCTCAAGACCCCCAGAATACAGACGGCTGCGGACCTGATCGAAAAGGAGCGTTATGAGACAACTTTTCTTTGAAGAAGTGCAGACAGTGCAAGTATAGAGGCCGGGGACAAGACTGCATGTTCACTAAGGTGAGGTAACCATTTTGTTGCAGCTGTGGACATGCACAAGACCCCTGGATTGCAGAAGTCTTTGGAACAGGAACTGAGTAAGCTAAGGGAGTGTGACTGAGCGACTTTTTTTCTTGGAAGAAGTGCAGACGGCGCAAGTAGAGGCCGGGGGACAAGACTGCATGTTCACTAAGGTGAGGTAACCATTTTGTTGCAGCTGTGGACATGCTCAAGACCCCTGGATCGCAAGAATCGTTGGAACTCAAGAACTCCAGACCCAAGTACAGTTTGCAAGCGGAGTCGTTCGATGGATTGTGCAGAGTGAGTCATAGCCAGTGGCTTGGATTTTTCTCATTTAGTTTTGAACCACTCTGGAAAAATGTGGCAGAAAGTGTCCAACTTTGACTTTTATTTTACATTGTATTTTTGGCCAGTACTTCAGCCAAAATACTCAATGCATGAATTTTGTTTATGCGAGAGAAAAATGGAAAAAAAAAAAAGTTGATTACTGCACATGTGACTTGATTTTCAAAAAAAAAATCAGCAAAATTTGAAATGTCCTGTTTTTAAATTTTTTCCCCTAATTTTTACTCAATCAGTTTCCTTGCCAATCTTCATTTTTGCATTTTTTGGCCAAAAAGTACAGTTTGATTTTTTTTAATTTGCATAATCACTGACTATTTCTTCTCACATGTACCAAGAGTAATTGAAAGTCTTTTTTTTTGGCAAGTTAATAATTTTCCCAGAGAGTTGGTTCAGATATGTGCAGCTTTGGTGGTGGTATGTGTTTGTGATTGTGGGGTTTGGTGGTGGTTTGTGTGGGGTGGTGGTTTCTCTACAGGTCGTCGGCTCAAATTGAGCATATGTCATCGGCTCAAATTGAGCACAGCAAGACTTACTACAGGACTATGGGATCACCTATATCCCGATGTCCTCCAGGATCAAGATGGGATGTGGGATCTGCTTTATCCCTTCATCCTACTACGCAAGACCAGCAGGACTATGGGATCTTCTATATCCCTACGTCCATCCAGGGGCGGATCTTGGGTGGCAATCAGCTCCTTGGAGAGCAAAATGTTAACTTTCATACTAGAAACATTTTCAAAGTGTCATTTACTCCTTGATGGAGAGAAGCAAAAAGAGTTAGCAAGGATAGAAACCAGTGTATCGAAGAAAACAAGTCACTTT